AAAAAGTTCTGCAAACGCAGTGCCAGGATGCCGCAGCTGTCCCCTGACTCTGAGGCTGCAGCTGTACATGAGTTCCCTTGAAGTTGTGGGCATCTTCAGAATCGGACTACCGTACTACCAAGGTATGATTCCGAATACCTAAATAAATAATTATTTGCATTCGGAAAGTTGGAAACTCCAAATAAGCATTCGGAATCTGCTTTTTCGGAAACGGAAATTAATTGTTAAATCTCGTTCGGAAAGTGATTTTGAAGCCCGTATGAGCTTAAGGTACGTACCGGTACCCTTTAAGACCCACTTTATAAGGGTACCTGGGTACCTTTTGTCTCATTCGGATTCAGGGTCGGATTTCGGAAAATAATACAACATTTGGGCTCGCATTCTGTTAAATAATCAGCAGACTACATAACTTTGTTAGTCTTCAAAACTACGTCATCGGTGACATCAGCGATAGCAGTGGTGGGGTACGGTACCTGTTGTTATGGTTGGTACCGCCCGGTTTCACCGGGTGCGGTGAAGTGCTCGGGGCAGATTCCGGTTACAATGAGGGCAAACCTGTGATCTTGGTGGGGTTAGCTGGGGGGTTAGGGTGGGTACGGGTGCGCTCTGGCGGAACGCCTTAGGGTTTGTTAAAAACCGGGTTACTGCTCAATATTACCCTTAGGGTTTTAGTGTGCGTTAGGAGGTTAACCCTGTGTGACATCATCAGTGACGCATATCGTAAGACTAGCAAACTTACGTACCTACGTCTAAATAATTGCATTTTTCAAGCATTCGGAATCATACCTTGGCAGTACGGTAGTGTAAAGCGCTCCAGGTAGGTCCTAAAGCGAGGAAGAACGGAGCATTCAGGGATCTGGTGCCCATAGCTGGGCCTTTTGCGTATTGAGGGAGGAAGCGCAATTGGCGGTCTTGTGCAGTTGTGCACTAATCAATTGCTCTGCAGCGGCGGGTGGGCGATGATGTGAAGAAGACACGGGAGTTGGCAAGGAGATAAACATGGGGGACGTTCTTAACTACTTGAAGAAGCTTGATGCTTATCCGAAGATCAACGAGGATTTCTACAGCCGGACCCTCTCTGGAGGGCTTATCACGCTTGTGTCATCCATCTTCATAGTCCTGTTGTTCTTCACAGAGCTTGGTGAGTGCTGAGCTCTCCAATTTTAGAAGGTCCCAAGATTATTCTGCTGCAGATGCTTAAATGTGTCAGCCGTCACTGCTTTCTGGGTTTCCCTTGTCCTCGATGTACTTCAGCCTATGTGGAATTCAAATGGATGTTTCTATATGTCCTGGGTTTAGTAAACTGCATCTCACCCCAAGAGGTTTTGATTGAGGCCGCTGGTTACAGTCTTCATCAGCCGCCTGCACATCAGCTTTTTGGCAGGTGATATTGAACCATCCACGTTGCTTGACAGGCTTGTTCTTGACAACCAAGACCGTCAATGAGCTCTCAGTGGACACATCGAGGGGCGAGCAACTTCAGATCAATGTGAGTCAAGGGCTCCTTCAAGCTCTTGGTTGCGAGCTTCAGCCTAGTGTATGCTGTTGATTGGTAATTGATATATGCATTGTGAAGAGCTGGCGTTGCACTAAAAGTATGGGCAGCCCCATTGGAATATCGTTTTGGCCCATCTAACGGAACTTTAAACACACACGTGGTGGTGATATGTAAGAGGGCTTCGTACAAGAACCAGTAGGTGAACCAGCGATGATCCCCATCCTGAAGCCGATCCTAGGGCTCCATTCACTTGCTTTGGTTCCGCAAGTGGTGCCCCCCCTTATCTGAGCTGCTCTTTCAGGACTCTGCCTCAAAGATTTCGGGCAGGGCGTCGGAGACGTTCCAGTTTGCTCCTCTTACTTCTGCTCACCCTGCTGCCACTCTTTTCTTTTGACCCACCTCTTACCATCCCGGTCGGCGCTCCTGTAGTTTGACGTCACGTACCCGCACCTTGCGTGCTCAATCTTGAGTCTAGATGCCATGGATGTGAGTGGGGAGCAGCACCTGGATGTGGTGAGTTCACTCATCACCTCACTTGGCAAAGCGCCCAAGTTTCCCCGTTTGCCTCACAAGCTGCACTTCTGTTGGTTGCTTAACTGGCTAGGTGTTGGTGGCGCTTCACTTTGGCAGCATCAAACACAAACAAGCAGCAAGAAAGCCTTACGTTTGCCGCGCTGTCTTCTGCAACGGGTGTTGAGAGCAGTTTGTGATACATGTCGCTTATCCACACAGGTGCATAACATCTTCAAGAGGAGGCTGAGCCCAGAAGGGAAGCCCATTGATGTGGGCACCAAGGATGAAATTGGTGGGCCTAAGGTAAGACAGAAGAGGACTTCATAAGTGGTTCTTGGCCAATCGCAGCGCTTAGCCTAATCACTTATCAGAGGGTTGTGGTTGTAAATGAATAGAAAAAGGCGCCATTGCCCTCTGATGCTATCCATCCCTGACTTTGGGGCTTCAGATATGCGGATCAACACGCGTTTGCGGGCCATGTGTGTGTTTCCTTTGAGAGTCTCTATCTATGTATCTATCTTGTGCATTTTCCAGGTCCAGACTGGGGAGGTAAAAGTGAAGGAGAGCGAGGGGGGCCCTGCATACTGTGGCAGCTGTTGGGGTGCCGAAGAGGTAAGCTTGAAAACAGCAGCTTTCGCTCCTGTTCCTGGCAACGTCTGACTCAAACAAGACTGCTTCCAGACACATTTTGCACTCACTGCTGTCAGTGCTTTCGGTTGGACGTACCTCGCATCATCCTGTGACATGTCATTCGCCCCTTTCTTCTCGGGCATCACTTGCCCTATTGGGTGGTGGCAACTGCGCCTGAACGTCCCAGGCGCCGTGAGCTGCTGAATGTCAACGGATTGCTCAGACGCATCTGTCTTAGGGCTTGCGTGCTTCTTGTGCAGAACGCCGAAGACTGCTGCAACACCTGTGAGGAGGTCAGGGAGGCCTACCGACGGAAGGGCTGGGCGTTCTCGAATGCAGAGCTCATTGAGCAGGTACGTCCGTGTGCTACTTTCAGCAGCTGCAGCAAACTGCTCACTGGATGCGACACACCGGTACACAATTACTTCAACAATAAGGTATGCTGGTCAGTTTTCTGGTGGATCGAATCGTAATCAGTAATATTGCTTCTCTGTGGTGCTGAACCTTTTGACGTTATTGCAGTGCTCTAGGGAGGGCTTCGTCGAGAAGCTGAAGGAGCAGGAAGGGGAAGGCTGCAATGTGTACGGCTATCTCGAGGTGAGGACCTCTGTTGGGAAGCCCAACGCCTCATCTTTGGAAACCAGGTAGACATCAAGATTATCTGCTCCGAAGCGCTCAGCCACTATCTTACAGGGTTTGTAAGAAGGTGGATGAAGAAGGTGGAAACCGGAGTTCAAACCGGACGTGTTTCTCGTTGATAGCTGGGGAAGTCCTATCGCATCCTGGAACAAGCTGGGACAGAAGGATTGATTGCCTCGCGGTCAGCTAATTAAACCAGCATCCTGTCGCAGGTGAACAAGGTGGCTGGCAACTTCCATTTTGCGCCCGGCAAGAGCTTCCAGCAGGCGCACATGCACGTCCACGACCTCATGCCGTTTGCCTCGCAGAAGTTCAACGTGAGTGCCACACCTCTGTTGACAGAAGACACCAGGCTTGAGTTTCCAAGCTGCCTAAGCCTGCTTTGCATACATGATCCAGATCCGTTCGCTTGGTGTCCGCTTTCTTTTCTGAATTAGGGTGCAGTAAGTGGTATTGCTCGATTCGATGAATTTGTTATGCCCTCAGGGGCTTCGTATTTCCTGTTACCAATTGCCTGTGAATTTCCATCATACCAATTTGTGAAGAGGCTTCTAAGGTCAAAATCAAGCCGTTTGCCTTTCTTTGGAATGCAGGTCAGTCACATCATCAACAAGCTCAGTTTCGGAGCCGATTACCCAGGCGTTGTACATCCCCTGGATAAGTGAGTGACTTTAGGAATGTATATACGAGCTTTCGAGACGTTTCCCCCTGAATGTCCTTCATAATGTTCCAAACAGGTATTCGTAAGAACGCCTTATGAATGACGCTCCTCAAGCAGTTTGATGTATGGTTAATGGCAGAAAGTAGGGTCATGGTGCCGTTGTTGTGCAAACAATTCCTTAGTCGTTTGGAAGCACCCGCTGCAAGAACAGACATAATGAAGATTTCAGCATCTCGAAGGACTGAGACGCCGCCACAGTCTTTCGCACTAGATTCCGACGCGATTCTACGACTTCGTTAGCAAGTCGCATGCTACTGGTGACAGGGTTGGGACGTCTGGTTGTTGCAGTGTCCGTCGCATCCAGGAGGCTGACGGCGGGATGTACCAGTACTTCATCAAGGTCGTCCCGACCATCTACACTGACCTCAGCGGCCACGTCATCTCGACCAACCAGGTCAGCCTCGATACCCTCGCAAGAACCAGTTCCTTTCAAGCGGACGGTTCGAGGTTGACCGTTTCGTCTCCTACCAATCGTTGTCCCAAACGATCCACGCGGTTTCTAAACAGAGCCAAAACTGGACTCGCAATGAGAAGCTTCAATTGATGCCGTGCAGTTTTCGGTCACGGAGCACTTCAGAGAACAGGAGGTGGCTTCCGGCAGGAGCCTGCCGGGGGTCTTCTTCTTCTACGACCTGTCACCCATCAAGGTGAGACGATCGGCGGGGGCCCAGCTGTCGTGTCGGCCGCTCAAGACAAGGCCGTCTTACGAAAATAGAGGATATTATGGTACAAAGCTGTGCCTGCTTGTTTCCGTGGTTGCTTCCAGCTTGTCTGGTGGTTTAATGTGAGTCTTGCGGAAAGAATGAATCTTGCGCTGCCTGTGTCCTTGGGAAATGCGTTTGTGACCTGGTTGTAACAAATTCCTTGTTACCTCTGCAGGTGAAGTTCACGGAGCAGAGGCAGTCTTTCCTGCACTTTGTGACCAACGTGTGTGCAATCGTCGGAGGTAAGGGGCCAGTCAGAGCTTTGACTCTGTCGCCGCTCTTTTCAATCTTTTTCTCTTTTCAATCACCAGTCGTTCTTACGAGGGCGCTGTCAGTCCACGAAGAAAGTCAAAGAGTCAATCATCGCGAAGAGGGCACCTGAATTGACGGGATCGTCCTTTGCAAATGCTGGCAATTCTGTTTATTAAGGGACGGAAGCTTCTGCAGCCGTAACTCATGCGTTTGCTGTCTCTGCTTTCCAGGTGTCTTCACGGTATCGGGTATAATTGATGCCTTCGTCTATCATGGCCATAAAGTCATAAAAAAGAAGATGGAACTCGGAAAGCTCAACTAGGTCGAAAGTCACCAGTCTTTGACATCATAGAGAGAGCTTGTAGCACAGCGAGGCAGCTACATCTGATTAGAACACAGGTCAGGTTCGAGAACTTGAACTGATGGGGTTAGAAACTCAAAGACAATTTGCGCCCTCTTTTCTCGACGAAGGTGATGCATCTCAAACAATGTCGACGTCTTGATTTCTGGTTGAATTGCATCTTCTAGATCGAAAAAACTTTCACCTTAAGGTTATAACGATGGTCTTCAAGGGCGTTTTCCTGAAGCCCCTTTTACAAGCACATGGCGTCGAGCATTACTGAGATGAGCTGAGCCGCGTTTGGGAATTAGTGTAGTAGTTTCCGTCCATCATGGTGGGCAGCAAACATTGAACCGGATTGGACACGTGTCCACAGACGAGAATAGGATCCAAAGGTGTATTCCTCGTTAACTACGAGTCCACAGTCACAGGTTGGCTTGACTGGGGCACTGCCGTTTATATCGTCATAATGACTGACATTCGATCAGACTGGTTCACTGTACCCGGCTATAAGTCAAACTAGACTGAGTACGGCTCACTTTGATAGTTTGCGCAGCCTTTCTGCTGCAGGGTCCACACGGATGTGGACTATGTGATAGGTGCATGCTCTAAGTTAAATATGCAGCCGCGGTAGGCTGCCGGAACACGCGGATCAATTCATCACAGAAATTCGAACTGTCGGACCCATAGCTCAACTCCTGGAATGTACGGTAGTGTTACCGTACTAGATTTGCACAAATCATTAAATGTCGATAATAATGCTTAAGCCAATTGCTCACATGTGCTCAGTGCATCATGTCATGATGCACATGCACGTGTGCCACCAGTGTGAGCATCATTCATATCTACCATGCAGTTAAAAACGCGCGTGGGAGCATCATTGATACGTGTGCTCTAATCGGCTGCCCCCCGGCCTATAGCATTCATGCTCAACTTGAGATCGAAGATCCCCGACCCAAATGACCTCCAAAATTCTGCACGGCTGCATTTACTAAACCAGTTTGAACTCTATGATCATTCCACAGTTTCATACATGCATATGCTAAATCAAACGAGAACCAGGTCGATCCATTTAAAGATGCTATATATTCATGCCGCCACGACGGTTGCATGGCAGTAGCTTACTTGCGTTGCATTTCCGATAAGGCCCCTTCGAAGAAGGTGCTGAGCGCTGCAGCTACTACTGCAGGGCCCACAAGCATTATAAGTTTCTAAGAATTGACTGACTCGGTAGTATCATAAGGGTAACGAAGGTTGAAGCGGTTGCGACTCTAGACTTATCCCCAGTTTCTCTAGCTCTACTTCTAACGACGAAGCACTTTCAAAGAGGATACCTGCCATACCTACTGCCTGTGCGGCTTCTACGTTCTTCAACCGATCGTCGATGAAGACACAATCCTGTGGTTCCAATCCAAGTGTCGTGGCTGCTTCCATGAAGGCCTCCAAGTCAGGTTTCCTTCGCCCTGCATTTGCAGAAAAGCCAGCGCATGTGAATCTAAAAGGGCCAAGAGAGTGAGGACACAACGAGCACGGACAACTGCAAAAACTAAGATCGACGTACATCACTACGAATCCTCAATCGGCGAAGGGTGTGCACACGTCAGATACTGATCCGGGGACACGAACCTGTGTGGCAAGAGACGAACGTCCAGTCCAGGTATCTCGAGAGTGACAGCTTCTCTTCGATCATTTTGTACCTATCATGATCAAAAATATTTGGAGTCAGCATCAGGCCACCAACAAACTGTATCAGGAGAAGGATGTCCAGGAGAACTACAGTCCTCTGTCTTCACCGGCTAGAAAGATATATGAGAAGCTTCACGAAAGAAAAGTAAAAGGGGCCTCCTTTGCTCACCAGTGTGGATAGTTTGTGAACGCATGAGCTTCGTACCCAGCTTCCTGAACCCTTCGCAACAGATCTTCGCACCCTTCGATCCACCGGTAGCCTTCATAGGCGCAGTCCTTCAAGCCTGAGTAACACGAATAGTGGACAAGATGTCAACGTTTTTTGAAGTCTGCCTTCGACTTTGACCAGGAACCTGCCTTGCCTACCTATGAGGACAAGACCGGATTCCAATCAAAGTACTCCCGACTTGGGTCAAGCTTGCAACTTCGATTGTCTATCCTGGCGTGTTAGAGTCAAGGGGTTCTTAAGGGGAACGTCAAGAATATAGAATCCACTTCGCGTTTTCAGCCAGAATCTGCTTCACTTTGTCCGCCAGAGTCTGCTTCAAACTCCTTCTATAAAGGCTTGCGCAGCAAAAAGGACAAACCTCCAACGCAGCAAATCTTAGAAATGACTTGACTTACCCGTCAAATCGAAGTCCCTGCCGTCCTTAAAGAACTTGCTGAGGAGCTCTCCCTGTGATAAAAATCGTCATCAAGGTCAGGCCTTGTGGTGACAAACGAGTGGATACCTGACCTCACAGAAACCAACGCTTACATAACAGCCGCTTACAAGCCGCCAGTACTTCCACTCAACTTCCAACCACGTCCCCGCTGCGTAGAAAATCGTAGAACATACCGCGCTTGATGCGGCGAGCTCGCGCTTGGCCTCAACTTACCTCTGAGATCAACCCCGTCTCAAACTCAATCCATGCGGTCGGATGCTTGACCGCAAACAACTCTTTCAAAGTCAACCTACATGTGTGGAGAATGACTCAGCATTGGGCAACGAGTTCGAGAAGAGGATGAAAGTCAGTTGAAGCGCTCCGTTCAATAGTCGGAGGATGATGGCAACTCCGTGCTGCTGGACAGAATAACGAGCCCTTTCAAGCACAGGACACTTTGATTGAAGGCCCTCAAAGCGTGATCAAAGCAAAAGTCTTGGTATACGTAGTGGCAGTTGAAGCTGCAATCAACAGAAACCCCTTTGCCTGGGCTTGGATTACTTCACACAAACGAGTCAATCTTCGAAAGGACCCCCGACACTCCACTTCCACCATCACTATATCTCAAAAAGCTGCTTCAGTCGAGGCCGCTGTTCGAAGGAACAACGCACTGTTTTACACAGTTCTGGAGGCTTTTACTACGGCGTTAAAGCCAAGAAGAGATGGAGAACTCACTTGAAGAACTTGGGCATATCCTCATAGAAAGGGTCCCGTATCAAGGTATCCTGCCATGGCAGATTGAGCAAGTCATCAGTGCATCATTCGAAAGTAAGCACATTCAGGCTTTCACACAGTGACAGGAGGCAGCACAACACTAGCTTACTTAGACAAGCTTATGTTGTCTCGTTGCAAGCTCAAAATTTGGTGTATTCAGCTCTGCTCCGGTTCCATTGAAGGATGATGATGGGGCAGATCCATTCAGTTGCAGAGGCATTGTTCTCTAACTGGACGAGTGAAGTGCATATGACTATTCTGGAATGCTCTTGAATGGAAGAACCCACCATCACGTCGAACAGGAGGACAGGCAGCTTCCTCTTGGTAGATTCCTGCTCAGCGGTGTTCACCACCATTTGGTCAGCTCCACTGCGCGAGTGCCAGGTTCTGCTCCCAACTTTGCACCCCAGTTCTGCTGTCTTGTGATGACTGCCACTAAAGAGAAGACTTTTCCCGCCTTCCTCAAGTCTCGCCTGTAGGGATGGCTCGACTTTTGGAGAATGCTGCCCTGGCTGCCCAGTCCTGTAGATCTTGCTGGAGCGATTGAGATGCCTTGAAGGCGGCAACCCTGCTGGGGATAAAACTCTCTGGCCTACATCCAGGGCGCAGGTCGTCACTCGGATTTTGCAACCACAAGCTCTGGTGCCAACAGAAGCTGCCACCCGGAAGGCCATCAGAGAATTGACATCAGAAAGCAGGCACTCTGGAGGACTCGAGCTGCATGTTGCTCCGGGACAAGAGGCGCCTTTCTTTGCACACCATTTGAAGGGCCCACCCTCAACGCTTTGAGATTGACAGCATTGCGGAAGGAGCTAATAACTAGAGCGAACCGCAGAAGACGGCTATTCTCCACCTTGGCGGCCGCACTGATGCTCGATAATGGTTACGAGGAAGTTCTTAAGTTCTGGCACCCAACTACCCAGAAGCGAGTAACACTGAAATTCAGAATTTGTGGTTAGAGCAACCGTTACCAAGCACTGGCCCCCTGGGGTCCAGCCTACTTGCTCAGCATGGCGTGTGAGGCGGCTGCTCATGTGCGAAATCAGAATGTTGGCCCCAGCGCATCATGATTGTCAGGGCTGAATCATACATGTTTATCCGTAAAGAAGATCAGAATGGAGGTGGGGGCAATATTGCTGATGCCCTTTACGGCCTTGATTGAAATTTGCGTTAGGAGATACGATCTTTGTGAAGCTGGAACAGGGAACCTTTTTCCTACCAACGTTGCAGCTGGCATAAGCACACTAGCTGTTCGTAACTCGAAGCATCCCTAGCTGCCGGCCGATCGAGAAGGCTCTGAGAGTATAGCTGCTCGCAGGAGCAAAGCTGAAGGACCAAAGGGACGTGCTTCTATTTGACTTGCTGCGGGAAGCTGCCAGGAGCAGCACAGGCGGTTTACTCTGCCCAGGACGACCATCTACCTTCGCTAATCACACTGGACACCTTGCGACCGATCCATTCGCGAGCTTGATCTGCCTAACGCATGTACAGTTTCTACGACCTACTCCTAGCCCACCCCAAATTCACCCCGCTCTTGCGACTCTTTCACATCTGGAAAACCGACAGACTTTCCATGCGGCTTCTCTACATCTCGTATCAGTCATCTGCTGTCAAAGGGTCCCGAAACGACCCTACACTTTCGGCTGTCCCCCCGCTCAGTTCGCCTCCAGGCGCTGGCTCATCTCGTACCACTGCCGCAGGAGGTCGCCCAGCGTTCGCGGCAGCGCCGCTGCGTCCCGCAGCAGGATGTAGTACGGGAAGGGGAAGGTGTCGAGGTACTTGGAGAAGCTGGGCGCGCCGCCCGCGAACGACACCGTCTGCATGTCCAGGATGGACTCCTGCCGCCCCGGCTGCGGGTTGTCCAGGATCAGGAACGCCAGCAGCTGGTGCGCCCGCTGCGCCTCGCGGATGCACCGCTTCAAACTCTCCTGCGGTTAGAAGGCGGCACCAGGTCAGCCACGTCGAAGGATGGCAGCCCGTCTCAACCACCAGAAGCGCCCGCGAATCGAAACCAGAAAAAGGACAAGGACGCAAAGAAGGACTTCTGGCGACGGGAAACATTCTAGAAGCTCTGGACAACCATTTTGAAAAGTTCCCATAGCAACTTTGTCTGCAATCGCCAAGGTGCGTAAAGCGCCCTCGGCCTGAATTAGGCGCCACCCTTCTTCGAGATGCTTACGAAGGGCTGTCGGCGCAGTGAGATGATATCATCGGCCTTGTGGTTGAAAAGGTCACCAGACCAGCCAACAGCGCGGATCGAAGTTGGCACGCGCACCTTTTCGTGGAACCTGCCGTCCGCGATGATGAGCACGAGCTGCTGCAGCTGGTTGGCGCCCCCGGCCGCGCTCCGTGCCACACGCGCGCGCGCGCTCTCGAGCACTCCCCCCAGGAAGCGCAGCAGATCCACGACGGGCTCGTCGGCAATGGTGTTGTCCTGCCGGAACGAGAACTGCGACAGAACCGCAGCGCCCGCCTCGTCCGTGAACGGGCGCTCAAACGGGTGGACCAACCGCGTGTTGCCACGTGCCCCGAAGCTGACGACGGCCATCTCGCCCACCTCGAGCTGGGTCATGGCGCGGCACAGCGCAACGGAGGCCTCGAGCGCCAGGTGGCCGCACCGGCTCTCGCCCATGCTGCGCGAGTCGTCGATGGCAATCACTACCTGTCGACAGAAAGGGGCTGTCAGGAAGGGGGCGAGAGGCAACGCCGGACTACAAGCACGTCGAACGAGCACCTGACATCTGAGACAAAGACATCTTCGACAAGAACGGCAAAACTGCGGGAGCCTCGGTGCCCGTGTTAACAGGTCGTCCTGTTGATCGAAACAGATCTTGGGAGCCGAGCAATGTTCAGCCTCACGTCCACAAGATTCATGCAGATTCAAATGGCAAAGCAAGCCGTCCCGATCCACATTCTGAACATTCGGCGGCCGGCTCTCCCCAGCGACTCTCACCTGGTACTGGCGCTTGTTGGGCTTGGTCCTGCGCAGCCAGATCTTGTCCTTGCGGAACTGGCTGGCGATGTAGGGGATGACCTTCTTCATGTTGATGCGCTTGCCCGACCGGTAGTCGCCCTGCAGCTTGCTCGCCAGCGTCGGCTCCAGAATCAGCCGCAGCTGCTCCGTCAGCTCCTGGCTCAGCCGTGACGTCAGCACCTCGTACCTGCGCAGCGCACACGTGCGAGGTGAAGGCTCAACTCTGGTTTTTATTATCGCTGTGGCCACAACCTGCTGAGTAGCCACAGGTCGTCGTATCCACCAACTGCGGCCCGGGCTTTCGCAGCTAGGGTGAAGTACAAGAAATGCGGCAAGTGTCCAAGGACCACTCGCGAAGGGCCGTGATAGTGGCTTGAAAAAAGACGCACACTCTCGGTCTGTCTCACGTCTATACTCCGTTCCAACTGACTTGGATGAACCAGGTAGACATATCACGCAGAACAGCGGATGCTGTCCTTACCGTCTCCAGAGCGCCGCGGCTTTGGCGGCCCCCTCCGGCCCGCCCATCTCCTGCGCCTCGCGCAGCTTCCGCTCCAGGTCGTCCCGCATCTGCCGCAGCTCCTCTTCCGTCAGCGGCTGCATTTCCAAACTCCGCTCCGCGTCCTCTTCCTCCCCAACCAGGCTCTTCAGCGTCGCCTGCTGCTCAAACGCGCGCGCCATTCTGCTCTCGTCGAACGCCTCCTCCGACTGGTCCTCGGGCAGCCAGTCGATCCCCTCTTCGTCTTCGCTCCCTTCTGCCAGCTCAGCGTTCTCGTCTAGGGGCCGGGAATCGAGCGCCTTCTTCCGGTCGGCTTTGCGACTTTTGGCAGCGGACGCCGCCGGGGGTTCCGTTGCTTCCGGCTCCGGCTCGGGTTCGTCCAGTTCCGGCGCGCGCGCTTCCTCGGCGTCTTCGTCCATGTCGTCGCCGTTCTGGTCCGCGTCGCGCTTCTCGGCGGCCGCCTGATCGTCGGTGGCTGCGCCGAGGGCCTGCGGATATATTGCAAAACATCGTAAGCTGCTCGACGCAGTACTCCCACGAAGCACGCTATCGCGACAGGACAGGCTTTCTTCTCGTCACTTAGAGGATGTAAAATACGACCTCACATGCGCAGGAACACGCTTTCAGTTCAGCAGCCCGCACATGCTCTGGTACTGTAGAGGCAGGCACGTGACCGCTGTCCAGAACGTACATAAATCGAACCTCCTCACCTGTGCGGTGGCCTCCTCTTTGTTGGCCACATACTCGTACTCCGCATCCATGTCCCCTTCCTCCTTGCCGGCCCCCTCTTCTTGGTCCCCCCCCTCCTCTTCTCCTTGCCCCTCGGGCTGCTCCTCCCCCCCCTCTTTCGTCTGATCCCCGACCATCCGCACCCGCTCCTTCCACTGCCGCAGCGCATCTCCGGCAGATCGGTACGGGTTCGCTTCCAGCCGCTCCTGCCTTTTCTTCTTTTCACCTCCCCCACTTTCTTCCTGCCTCACGTTCCGTTCCCCCTTGTCCATCTGCTGCGCCCCCCCCGTCTGGCGCTGCTCGGACGCCCCTCCTCCTGCATTTTCCTCCGCCTCCTCGTCCCCCCCCGTCATTTCCTGCCCGTCTGTGCCCCCCTTCACGCCGACGGACTGCTCCGCTTTCCGCTCCTGGGGGGCGCCCTGCCAGGCACTCTCCACTTGCTCCTGCATCGCTACCGGGCCCGTCTCTAGTTCCTCCTCATGCTGCAGTTGCTGCATGCGCAACTCTTCCTCTTCCTTGGCCCCTTCTCCTTCTCCCCCATCTTCCTCGGCACGCGCCTCCTGCCCTTCTTCCTCGGCTTTCTTTTCCCCCTCCTCGTTTTCCTCCCCTTCGCCCTCATCTGAAGCAGGCTCTTCCACGCCCGGTGCCTCTTCTCCATCCCCACCGGCCTCTTCTTCCGCATCCCCCTCTTTCTTCTCCTTTCCTCCGTCCTGCTCCGTCCCCTCTACTTCCGGTGCTGTCTCCTCCCCGTCTCCCCCCCCTTCTTCCTCCTCCTTTTCCTCCCCCCCGTCCAGGTTCATATCCTCCGGCAACTCCAACTCTTCCTCCTTCTCGGCCTTCAGCCCGTGCGACTCCTCGTACTTGTCCTCACTATCCACATTGATTTCCCCTTCGTCTTCCCCTCGCTCCTCTTCTCCCCCTTCTTCCCCGCCTTCTTTCTCCGCCTCTTTCTCTTCCTTTTTCTGCTCCTTTTTCCCGCGGTTCTGCTCTTCGTCTTTCCCTTCCTCCCCTTCTTCTTCCTTGCCCCGGTATTCGAGGTCCTCCTGTTCCGCTCCGCTCATGGGCGCGTCCTTCTCGTACTTCTCCTGCTCCTGCTTGCCCTGCTCGTCCTCCTTGTCGTCGTCGCCCCACAGCTTCTCATCCACGATGTCGTCATCCTCCCCTGCACACAACAGCACATGTCAGAGTGAGAACCTTTTCAAATCATACTGCGATCGTTCAAAAAATAAGGGTGGCCGAGCCGAAGGAGCAAACAATCATACCGTCTTTGGCCGACATTGAAAGTCTTCCGATGAACATTCGATCCTTCTCAACCGTCTCTGGACGACAATAGCCTCAGAATGTGAGCACAAGGCTTGCTTGCTCGCAAAACTTTAGCGTCACTTTCAGAGTTCAAGACGAGGTTCCAAGCGCCCTACTCAGAAAAGCCGGAAAGACTTCCGGCACCTACCTGCTTCGCCCATCTTCTCGTCCAGCCGCTCTTCTTTCTCGTCCCCCTCCTCTTCCTCGTCTCCCTCTTGCTCCTCGTCCTCCGACAGGTCCAGCATCTCCCCCTCGAAATCTTCTTCCATCTCCACGCCCTTCACTTTTTCGTCCCCCTTCTTCTTCTCGCCCGTCTTCTCCCCCTCCTCCTCGTCCCCCTTATTCCCCAGCAGCTGATCCTCATTCTCAATCTGATCACTCACATCCTTCTGCCCTTCCCCAGCACCCATCCCCATCCCTTCTGCGTCTTCGAAATTGGTCGCGCCCTCGGCTCCGCTCTCTTCTTTCGCCCCGCAGAACCCTTCCCGGAACAGCCCCGCAAACAGATTCGCCAGAACATACCCCAACTTCGCCACCGATTTGCTGAACGCGGCCTGGTCCGCTAAAACCCGCAGCCCCGCCGCGCGAAGCATTTCCAGCAGAGGCTGCAGTCGCGCCAGCATGGCTTGCACCCGAACGAAGTCGTCTCGACCCGCCGGCGCCTCCGCCACGTCACTCGCCAGCGAAACCAGCTCGCGAGTCGAAGCGGCGAGCCTCTCGAGCCTCGAGCTGTCAAGCTGACTGGCGAAGCGCTCCTCCCACGTCTGCAGGGTCTCCTCCGAGGCCCACTCCTCTTCCGCAGCCTCCTCGTCTTCTTCGACAGCGTCTCCTTCTTCTGTGCCAAGCTGTTCTTCCGGCTCGCTTTCCGCTTTGGCTGCCTGGCTCACGTTTTGGGCTGCCACCAAGGCGTCCGCCACCACTTTCTCAAAGAGCTCCGAGAAAGCGGCCATCCTCTCGCCGCCCCGCTTCTGATCTCCTCCTCCGCTGTCGGGGGCCGAACCCGCCGCCGTGCTTGCGACAGCGTCAGCCAGCTCGAGACCCTGCCTCAGAAGAGGCGAGAGCGCCTGCCAGCCGGGCAGCGGAGGCCGCCCGACCGGCCCAGCTTCTTTTTCCCCACGTGGGCCCATGACTGCCGTGATCTTCCCAACGATGTCTCTAACCGCATGTGCGCTACTTGTGAGGCCGGCTTGCATCGCTGGCGTCACAAGAAGCGGCCAGTCACCGCTCGTTTCTTCCAAAACACCCTTGGGGGTCAGGAAAGCGTGAAGCTCAACCCTGCTCCGCTGCAGCACCGCCTTGGCATCTCGTATCGTTTCAAGAGCGGTCTGCGCATCGTGGGCGGTCGGGGCGTTTGCTGCGGGCCCCGTCTCAACCTCATCTGCCGCTGGCGCAGCTCCCGCTTCGAGACCAGTTGCGATCAAACTCTCCACTTCGGTCAGAGACGAAAGCAGAGCCTCCAGCAGCGCTTTCTGCTGTGACAGCTGGCGGCGTGTGCTGGCCTGCGGGGGCAGCGGTGCCCCGTCGCCTTGAGTTGTTCTGGAGTGCAGGGACGCGAGAAGAGTGGAAAGTGCGCCCAGCTGGGAGAGGAGGGCAGCGGCGCGGTCGGCGGTGCTGCGGTTGGTGCGCTGCACGTGGAGGAGGTGCTCCACGAAGCGGCACGCAATGTCCACCTGGCATAGAGGAGAACATTACGGGTATGAGTAAACAGACAGTCGTACGGAAAGGCAATGATATCCATGCCCACTCACTTCTCCAGGTTCAAACCGGAAAGTGCTGATACCAATTCGATTCCAGAAGGGGAAACTTGTTATGCGGACGATAAGCGCGACTCGAAGAGAAAGCGGAACAAACCATCTGGTAGCTTTACTACTTCAATGAACACGTAAAATTCGTAGAACATGTCTGGCTCGACAAAGCCACAGGAGGATCAATCGGATATCAAGCTCCCTTGCTCTTTGGTTGTGCGCCGCACCTCTCTAAGGCTGAGGTCCTTGCTGAAGTCCTGGCGCGCCTGCCACAGCTGCTGGAGCTGCGCCATGTTGCGATGGTAGTACCCCTCCGCTCGGCCCCAGCTGGCAGCGCCCGCCACGGACGACGCCACTACGAAGTCCTCCGTCTCCGCATCCAGGTTCGCAACCGTGTAGAGTCGTTCCGCGTGGTCGGGGCGGGCCAGCAGGAACCAGTTCTTGGGGTCCCGCTCTTCAACAGGAACAGCAGACCTGAGGAAAGGGAGGGAGAGGGTTCGCAACCTTTAAAGATCCGGTTGGACAGTCGCCATGCCTTCGAGGTGCTAGATTGTGCGTGATCCCAACCAGAACAGCTTCGGAGGGCACGTGTACTTAACGTGAATGGCAAACTTCCAATGAATGACAAGAATCGGACAGGAGCATCGCACCTTCCCATTCACGTCAGCCCAAGATGACGTTCTGACCTCTTGATCTATACAGACGTACTCTGATGTAAGAGAATCATCAGAACATCCGACGCCTCTTCATTCGAAAGCAGTGGCCAAGTGCTGCCCTTGCTTAGCCGCCTCACTTGTGGTGCGACAGCCCGAGGCCGCGCAGCCCCTTGAGCAGGTCCACGAGCGCCTTCTTCTTGACGCTGCGCTTGGCCTCGCTGGCCTTCAGCGCCTGCGCGCGCCGTACTATCACGCCGCTCAGCCGCTCCACCGCATCCGCTCCACCCTTGCGGCGCCGCGCGCCTTGCTCCGACAGGACCGTGGACCCGAGGAGCTGGCTCAGGCGAGCCGCCAGGGACGGCAGGCGGTGTTGGTACAGCGGGCGGGGCCCTGAGGGGGTACGCGCAGAGAAAGGGGCAGGTGAACAATGGCTTGAAATCAAAAGCAAAGCGACCGGCAGATGTGGGTAGATTCTCCATTAGTCGGGGTGGTTACCAAAAGGATTGAAAGGCAGCCAAAGGCGAAGAAGGCAACGTAGACTAGTCCCTGTCACACGCAGTGGTATTGAGCGTCGAAGCGAAGTTTGTACCCAGAAAATGACAAGCGGATGTCAATATCCTCTCACCCACCAAAAGGAAGTAGGGATTGAAGTCCAAAAGCAGACAACAAATGCTGGTTCCCAGATCGGCAAGGACCTTAAAACATGCTGTTCTTGTCGTGCAAGAAAGCCCTCAGAGTAACTATGACATTTACCGCCATCATGGAAAGGGACAAGCTCTCAGAAAGAGAGCCGCCCCAATCTGGAGGGTAGATTGGTTTCATCACGGGGCTTCGTGCACGATCACAGCAGCCTTTGAGCAGAGTAATATAGCAAAACCTTCAAGCGACGAGCCGACCGAACTTTCAAGGGACGCAAAACCCCCGATGATGTGGATTCTTGCCCGGCCTTCTTCAATAACGGAGGCAGGATCCTCATTGAAAGGCAAGAGTAAGCTCGGATCAAGATACTGAGCTCGTATCATCGACAGAACAACCAAGACACAGCCAGAATCAGCGTTACAAGATAAGACAACACCCAAAAACCCACCGCATTCGAAGTTTTACCACATATAAGCAGGATGATGAGAGGTACACAAACTCGATTGACCCTCGCCCATGAGCGTTTCCCACCTTTCTCGACCACCTCTCCCTCGTGGCCCTCAGTCAGCGCTGCTAGGCGAGCAGAGCAGAACTCCGACCACTGCTGTTGCACTCCTGGGCCCTCTGCTCCGGCCTCGATCGCATCCTCCTCGTCGGTCGCAGACACGCCGGCAGCCGCTTCCCCAGCCTTGGACGCTGCGTCCACCGGTTCCTTGCCTGCGGGTAGCGATTCAGGAGCAGAGCCGCCCAGTTTGGCCAGCTCGGAGAAGCCGACCTTGTCCGACTGGCGGGCCAGCAGCTGAGCGACGGGCTGCTTCAGCACCTCCTGCAGAAGCACGTGACCGCTTTGATTATGAAGCAGAACCTGTAAATCTCGGTGTTGAGAATCAGGAGATTTGAGATGCCAACGCAGTCTCTGCAATACACAAACATTCCCAACAATCGAAGTCGACCGTTAAGCGTACTCGTATGGCGGGGGAAAGCCAGAAGAAAAGATTGCCCGCGACTTGAAGCATACATGACCGCAACCCTCGTCCACACAGCTCCTTCGGATTTGGCTTCGATCCGGCATGGTTCTCCCCTTAAACGAGGACTCCCGGTTTCATCGTCCTGCCCATTAGAGAATCTCCCTCTCAGATACGCAGCAATGAGCGGCGCCCTCACGTCGAGCTTGCTGGCCAGCTTGTGCAGCTTGCGGTGGCTCCTCTCCGCGGACGCCTGCATGGCGTACACGTTGCGGTCCTCCCACTTCTGCAGCCGCACGAACTCGCGCAGCTCCTTCTCCACCAGGTCGCCCCCCGCGCGCAGCGCATCCGCCACCGTCGGCACAAACTGGCAGTAGTAGCTGTGGACTGTTTTCAGGGCCGACGAGAGTGCCGCCATCTCTGCGTTGTCGGCACCACGCGCCCGGACGCTCATCTCGCCCCCGAAAGCGGCGACCATCTGGAGGCGGCGGTGATACTCTCCTAGGGTTGACGTCTGGATGAACTCCTCGACACCGGCGATAGTCGTGGACAGAGCGCTGGGGGCCGGCTTGGCGTCGCGATCGGTGGGGTTGGGGGCTGGGGTGGTAGCGTCAGGCGCCGTGCTGGCCGCACCGGGGCGGTGGACCAGGCCGTACAGAGCAAACCACAGGGCCTCGGCAGCCTTCTCGTGCTTGCGCCGCACCTGCAACCCAACAGGAGTGGATTAGAACTTTCGAGGTAAGGACAGCAGTCGCAGGGGAAAGAGCAAGTGTTCCAAGCAGCCGCTCTTCCTTGTTAGCAGGTATACGATTCATGCACTGACCCACGGAGACGGCTGAAGTGTGTTAAATTGTCTCTGCAGCTCTAGAAAGCACTTTGGGGAAAGAAGGAAGCAGAGCGCGTCGAACCAAAGCTCTAAGCGAAACGCTTCAGAAATCTTTCTGGGAGGAAACGGAAAGATCACGACACAACAGAGAAGCGGTCTAAGCAGAGTCTGCATACAGCAAATCCCAACGCCTTTTCTGCAGATCGTTAACTCCACCCCTTTGCCCACCTGTTCCATGAGACTCGGCCAGCTGGCCAGCTCCGCCTTGCGCCACCTAGCAACCAGGCGCGCCACCTCGTCCAGCTCCGCCGCCAGTGACACGTGGCGCGCCGCGCCCTCCTGCCAGATCTGCGCCTTGGTCAGCAGCAGCTCCAGGCCGACCAGCGCCTTCACGAGGGGGGCGTCCGCCGGAAGCGCCACGACTCGCTCGCAAATTTTCTGCAGCTGTTGCAGCACGGGGTGGTCCGGCCACTCCCGCAACAGATCGCCCAGACGCTGTAAAACGCGCGCCAGGGGGTGCAATGCTAGGGCGAGTTCGGGGGGGTTCTCCACGTTGATGTTGATGGCCGCAGCGTCAGCATTGGGCCGGCGGCTGAGCCGGCGGTGCTCCAAGCTGACCCGCAGCACGTGTCCCGAGAGCGTCCGTTGTTCGACTTCCGGGCCGGCGACCAGCCCAAGCCCGTGGTGCAGCAGCTGGACGCCCGTGTCATAAGACGCCACGAAGGCGTTCAGGAGAGACGTGTCCCTGTCGCTCTCCGGCAGCGCTGCTTCCGTCTGCTTCGCCTTGCCTTTCTTGCCCGTTTTGGACTTTGCCGGAACTTCTGGCGTCCGAATTTCAACAACCGGTCCGAAGACTTGGCCGTGCAGCCGGACCACGGGGCCGACCATTTCCTGGAGCAGGTTCCAGGAAGCCTTCTGCGACGCATCCGACTCCACTCCCTGTGCGGCCGCCGCCTCTGCCGCCGCCGCTCTCCGGTCGTCGTCCTCTGCGGACGCCATCTCGGGCTCGCCCTCGATGTCCGCATACTGCTCGAAGTAGTCCGGGAACATCTCCTTGTAGTCCGCCTCGTTCTCCTCCTCCTCCGTCCGCATCACGTGGCTGCGCACCTTGTACTTGTACAGCTCCGCGTCCTCCCGCTCCTTCTCCGCGCGCCGCTCCTTCACCCCGCTCCACAGCCGCACCAGCGCCCCGAACGCGCGGCCGAGCACCTCTAGAGATTCCCGGCTCGCGCCTCCGGCTGCAGTGGCGGCCTGGGCGGCTCTAGCGGCCACCAGCTGGAGCACTTTCATCTGCAGCTCAATGGCGGGGGCGTCCCCGCTGTTCCGGACCACAGTGCTCGACAGCAGCTGCAGCGCTCTCTCATCAACCCACTTTTGCCAAACACCACTTTCCGAACCGTCACCACCTTCCGTAAGCCCCCCGGAGCGCCTCACGGGGAAGCCCATCAACCAGCCGAGGAGCTCCTCTAGCTCGGCGCTTCTTCCTACCGGCATCAAGGCCCCAGGGATCCCCCCAAAGCGTGCCTGCTCGACCCCCGCAGCCGCCATCAGCGCAGCCCCGTAGCGCAGCTCGTAAGCCGCCAATTGAACTGGCTGAGCCACGTCACGATAAGCCGGGTACTCCTTGGTTAGCCTTTGAACCAGATGGCCCAGGTTGCCCTGCCAAACTTCCAGCTCTCCTGCTCCGGCCTGCCCCGCCCGGGCCCCGTTCGCGAGACCGACCACCCTCTCCACCCTGGCAGAACTCCCCACGAAGCGCGTCACCTCCTCGAACAAGGCCCCGAACTGGGGCGGCTCTGGGCGGTGCACCACCTTCGCCGCGAGCTGCTCTACTTTGCGGACCAGATCGGACGCTTCTGTACGTAGCCGGGCAACGTCCGCATCGTTCGCGGGGCCCCCCGTGGCCAGCCGCTCGACCGTTTCCCGCACTTCGACCTCGAGCCGGCGGTCCGCGAGCACCTCCTGAAAGTGGTCCCGCTGGTGCGCGTACTTGGCGGCGGGGTCGCAGCCGTTGGAGGGCAGCAGCAGGTGCAACCGCAGCGCACCGATGAAGAGCCACAGCCGGCCCCGCTGGACCAGACTCCGGACATCCCCCGAGATGAGCTCCGACAGCGTGTTCAGAGCTGGTTCCACGAGAGAGGGCACAGTGGCAGCAAAGCGGGGGTGCTGGGACTGTCCTAAGGCAGAGACGACTCCAGCCACGGTCTGCGGCAGGTCTGTCGTGCCCGAGCCATGGAGCGCGCCCCGCAAAGTCTCCAGACCCCCGACAAGCGCCTCGAGCGCTTGGGGAGGAAACGCCTTGCTGTGCGCTAGGACGATCTGGAAGAGGACAACCGCGGCGGCCCTGACGTCAGCACGGCCGGAGTCTGCTGGCGTGGCAGCTTCGGAGTGGGCGGCCGCTGCCCAGAGGTGGCGGGCGGCCAGCTGGAGCTGCAGCAGGCGGGGCAGGTGGTCGCCGATCGGGCTGCTCTGGTGCACAAGCGCCGCCGACAAGACTGTTTGCGGCGCCTGATACAGGCGCGCGGGGCCCGCAGTCCGGGTCCAAAACTCGGAGTGACCTCTTGGAGAAGAGCCGGTGCTGGCCAGGAGCAAGGGGCTGCTGCCGGCGTCGAGGAGGGCGTTGACAGCGGGGGTGTCGCGGCCTTGCTTGGTGTGGAAAGCAGCCGGCAGGGCGGATGATACGTTGTCCCAAAGAGCGGCGTGCCACCTGGATCAGGAATAGAAGGACTGTTTGAGTACCAACGGAAGATTTGAAATGGATTGCGTAGGTCAGTGGTGACAGACATTGAACCAACGCCAAGAACGAGGCTCGGTCTGACCGGCAAAGAAAGTGAACGCCACGGCAACGAGTCGTCGTTTAACTTTCTGATCAGAAACTCCTCGCCGTTCAAGAAAGATCCTGCCTCCTCCAGACAACTGGCCGTGGCATAAGCCAAAAAAATCCTGAAAGGAGAATCAATAATGAAGCAGTTGAAACTCGGCCAGAACATGACCCCGCTCCTACCTGTACACAAACTCATGTACTGCGGCCCTGATAGCCAGCCCTAGGTCCTGCACCCCGCCTGCTGCGACAGCGTCCAACAGCCAGAACAGCTGCTGGGCAGGCGCAAAGTCGGCCGGTGATCGAGGTCCCACGGCGAGCCACGTGTCCAACAAAGACTGGAGCCGGCTGTGCTCTGGAGGGCCCCATGCGGGGCTGCCCGTTCCCGTGCTTACGGCCCACTCGACTAGAGGCGGGATGAGCGCGGCCTGGCTGCTCAGACTGGCCACCTCGTAGAGCGCGAGCAGTGGTTGCGAGAGCGCGCGGGCGCCCTCCCACCGCAACAGCTCGTGAGGGAACTCGCCTCCCTGCACGCTTCTGGACTTCCACAGTTGACTGGGGCTAACCACCCAACCACCCGCCTCGTCCATTGTGTGTGGGATGGGATCGAAGTCGGTGTGCTCGCTTAGCTTCTCTTGGCCGGCCTGGACTTGTCGCTGCAGAAACGCGTGCACTCCCTCTACTCCTGCGCTCTCGAACTTCGCGCCGGGCCCCCTGTCCAACCCTTTGGCCCACTGTAACATGCAAAGCCCCTGCACCGCCAGCCGCCGAACCTCCCCCCCGACTGCAACTCCCTCACTTCCGTTACCCCCCCGAACCTTGAGCTCATCGCACAGCCCCAGCACCGCCGCCTCCTCCAAGCACAGCTCTAGGCTCCCGGGCGCCTGCGGTCGGCCGCCGTACTTCCACAGCAGCGGCTTGCCGAGCGACCCTTCTCCGCCCGTCAAGGCCTCGTCCAACAGCTTGGCCGCAGTTTCTACTTTCGTCCTCTGCTCTTGCCCCGCTCTCGCCGCCAGCCGCGCTAACCCCAGCCCTAGCAGGGCCCTGCTCAGCCCCTCCCAACGCACCAGGAACGCCTCGGGGGGGTGCAGCTGCTGCCGCTGGGCGACCCACGTCCACAGGGAGTAGCGCCACTGCTGGACCACGCGCAGCGCCTCGTTCAGTTCCCGAACTTCCGCCACCATCCGCTCGACCGTCTCAGCAGTCGCCGGCCCCTCGTCTACTTCCATGTTGTCCCCGCTGCTCGCGAGTCCGCCGAACCCCTCCGCTGCGAGAGACCGGAGCAAGGCATCCTCCCAGTTTTGGACGGCTTCGAAAAGGGGGTACAACCAGGGCACCACTCTATGGGCGACCTGAGTGCGCGCCCTCTGGGAGGGGGCCTTGTAGTAACGGAACGACTGCCCCACCAGACTGGCCGCCCCCTCGCTTCTCCCCTGCTCCAGGAACCTGTCCATTACGACTTGCTGCTGGATGGAAGTTCTCGCCAGTCCCCAGCTGTCAGCCAGGGCCGCAACGAGCAACAGGTGGGCTTCTGTCGGGGTGCCAGCTGGCGCTGCTAGATTGAGAACTCGCAGATCGTAGGGCTGCCTTTCTAGGGTCGCTACTGAAGCGCCCACCAGACGAGCCAAGGCCAACCGGACTCTTCCGAGTTGCGCGGTGACCGGATGACCTTCGAGCTGCTCCATCAGCTCAGCAAGGCCGCCTAACAGGTCCCCGGTTATTCCAGACGTCCGCAAACCAAGGAAGCCGCCCCTGACGGCTTGCACCCAAAACCCCCTCAGATCCGCATCCAGAGGGGAGACCCGCTGCACCAGGCAAGCCGATGCGAACCATAACATCCGCTCTGCCCGACTCCGTGCATCTCCTTTGCCTCCTTCCCTCCAGATGTCCGCCACCAGAGCAGCCAAAAGCTCCCCACTCTCGTGTGCTTCCTTCTCCAACCAGGGCCGCAAATGCTCCCCAAACGCCGTCCCCTTCGATCGGCTCAGAATCGTTGCGACTTCTCCGGCCACGCTCTGCGCTGCCAGGAACAGCAGGTACTCGCCGTCCCGCTTCACCGCCGCGAGCTGCGATTGCTGCGCCCATTTTGCTGACGTAAGCACGTTAGGCCAGCGAGCGGGATGCACCAGGGCAGCCTTCAAGTACTCCTCCTCCACAGCTTTCATAGCCTGCGCGGCTCCACTTGAGCCCGCTTCCTGATCCGACCCCGGAGCTTCCTCTGCAAGGTGCACGTTTGCAAGCCACTGCTCGTAAGCCCCCTCCGCCGCCGCTCTCGCCTCCATCGAATCCAGCTTCGCCACGTGGGTGTGGTCCCAACTGACCCGGATCGCTGCTCTTACTTCGGCACCCCTCTCCAAAAGCTCATTCACGAGCTCAGCAAAGCGGGCAAGGTCGCGCAGCGTCAGCAGGGCCCCGCTTCCACTGGAGTACGCTGCGGCCGCCTCTGCCGTCCGGACATGAGCTCGCGCCATCGCCTCGGACAAGGCCCTCCCTGGGATGCCAGCCACGGCCAGTGTCCGCAGCATGTCTTGCCATAGAGTGCTCCGCTCCGGCTCTGTCTCGTTCTCTCCTTGGTCCGACGCCCAGTCTGGCGGCATCATGAAAACCTCAATCCCCCTGTTCCGCATCGCTCGCGAGAGCTCCCCGTACCCTGGGTCCAGCGTCAGGAACAGGCGGAACTTGGGGTGCGCCGTAACTACCATGGGCTGCCCCTCAACCAGGCCGCGCTCGTTGACCATGACGGTGCCCCCCGGCTCGAGCAGAGGGTTCAGCCGGTCTAGCACCGTCGGGTTGCACAGATTGGCGTTCTCCAGCAGCACCCACTCTCCCCGCTCCAGAGCGTGCACCAACACACCGTCCACCCACTCGAACCTGCCCACCACTTTCCCCGCCCCACCGCTTGCACCCGCCTCTTGAACAAGACCACTGACATCTACTGTCAGCACCGACAACCGGGTTTGCAGCGTGCTGACGTCATCGCTTGCTTCGTCCGGGATCTGGTCCGTGGCTGCGGCGGTGAGAGCGCTTGACAGTTGTGCAACGAGGTGTTGCAGCAGCTCCAGCGCCTTGAGGTCCAGCGCGCCCTCGGAGGTGTCGATCTGGCCGGCCCCTGCTTCAGCGAGGGAGGCAGCCTTGGCCCGCTTGGCGTAGGCTGTCCAGCTGGCCTGGAGGCTCTTAACCATCTCGATGAGGCGCGCTGCGGGCTGGCTTCCAGGCTTGCGGGAGAGCAGCAGCTCGCACACGGACTGGAGGGCAGACTGGGCTCGGGAGTGGGCACTGCGCATGCGCCGCATGGGATCGAACTGCAAAAGTGAGGTCGAAATTGGGTGAGTAATCGATCAAACAGGTGTGGACGGAGCAATCAATGACAGAAAACTGTACAGCACTTGCTGGAGACACTAGAGCACATAAATCATGGCCCCAAATACGAAGCAAGATTAGAAATGGATAAAAAGTCAGTCAAATTTTGCTTCGACAACGGATGGATGCCCCCCCTGCCCCTCACCTGTTCGAAACAGCCCAGCAGCTCTGTGGTGTCTGAGGCGCTGGTGAGGGGGTACTCGTGGAGCACGTTCCCCGTCAGCTGCGCCAGCGTCCTTACGAGACTGGTCTTTCCCGAGGCCGGGCCCCCCAGGAGGATGGACATCCACCCCCTCTGCACGCACCGCGCAACCGTCTCCAGCGCCGACAGCTGTCCTGGCATCACCGCCAGCTGGCGCGTTCCCCCGGCTTGCCCAGGCCCGGGATCCCGTTCTCGCGAAAGTGTCGTCCGGCCAAGCTGGAGGGTTTCAGGCGTCATCGTGAGCCGCGGGTGCAGTTCCAAACTCGGCTCCGTCCCAAAGACTTCCCGATACAGCGCAACGACGCGCCGTCGGTCCTCCGGCTGCCGCATCCGCTGCAGGTAGATCGTGCCCAGGTGCTGCCCCGCTGCTTCGTCGTCGGATGCCGCGACGTGCAGGAGCGGGTCTTCTTCCCGCGACTTGAGGATGAGCTCGCACCAGCGCAGGATGTCGCGCAGGTTGAACTCCCAGGGGGCGCCGCGGTGGCCAAACGAGTGCGCCACCATGGTCTCGTGGTGCAACCGCTCGTTGAAGGACACCATGTGGTGCAGCGTAGGCGAAGAGATGGACAGGAAGAGCGCTGTGCAGATGAACTCCAGGTCGGCGGCCTCCAGGGCCTCCACGTAAACCTAGGGGATGGCAGGGCAAGTGTCAGCATTTCGTCGAACTTCACCGTTACGTATTAAAAAGCAGGGTCGTTGAAACCCAAAACGGTGGACTCAAGCCGGAATTTCGAAACCACAGCAGGCATTGCAGCGTAAAAGATCAATTGGGCGGTTCCGAGCGCACATGTCGTGTCGCAGCTTGAAGAAGACGAAAACGCTGGTTCGGTGACTCAAGAAAGTACGGACACACGGTGAATGCTTGTTTCGTGCATGGCCTGACGCGTGCTTCAGTGATCTGCGGCATCAGGGTGACCATTTCCACGGACCTTTGTGTAGCACGAAAGTTTGAACTCAGCAGCATATTGGCAGGAGCGCACTGCTGCCTGCTGGCAAGCCTTCGAATCGTGCCTGGAGATCGAACACCTTCTGATTTCAATCCGGATCATGACAAGCCCTCAGGTATTAAAGGGGGCAATCCAAAAGTAGCTTCCAGCAAAGTGGCAATAGGCCCAGACGGAAAGATACACCAGGACAGAGCCATCGCCAGGTCGAAAACGAAGGAGAAGAGAACGGGCAGTCTCACCCGCGAAAAGCGGTTGAGAAACGACTTGGGAAGGCCCTTCCTGCCGCCCCCCTGTTGCAGCGGATTCTGCGCGGCGAACAGCCGGAAGGTGGGCGGGCACCGGAAGGTGCGGCCCAGCTCCGGAATGAACACCTCAGCGCGGTGGTCCAGCACGGAATTGAGCCCCTCCAAGATCGACTGGCTCGCCAGGTTGAGCTCGTCCAATAATACCCAATCCCCCCCCCGCAGCGCCTGTAGGAACACGCCGTCCGACCACGTAAACGTTCCCCCGGCCGCGCCCTCAGTCGGGAGGTCCGTTCCAAGGAGGTCCATCATGTCAGTCTGCTCCGACAGGTTGATGCGCACCAGCTTGTGCCCCGAAGCAGCGGCCAAAGCGGCCACCAGGCTCGTCTTGCCCACCCCGGGGCTGCCTTCCAGAAGCACCGGCTTGCGCAGCTGCAGGCCGCGCATGACGCGCATCGCGTTGCGGCACGTGCGGGGGGCGCCCAGCTCGAACGGCGCCCCTGCGATGGCGTGCGGGCCTCGCGGGATGTAGAAGGGGTGCAGCCCGAAGGAAGACTCGTCCGCAGTAATGCGGCCGAAGTCGGAGAGGGAGGGGGGGAGGGGGATGCCGGGAGCGGGGATGCCGCTAGAAGCCACGACAGCGGCCCGCTCGACCTGAAAATAAGGCAAGATAAGGGTTGGAGAAAGAAGGGCAAGATGGATGCGGTGGAGAAAGCGTTTACAGCCTGTCAAGGCGAAGACTCGGGCAACTTTTTTAAACGGAGAACAAAGTCGCTCAATACAACACGTGCTGGACTGCAGGTAGAGTGCTTCGAGAACTGATAAGGAATACCAGAGGGCAGATCTTGAGGCAATCCTTACCTCCGGCAGCAGGTCGAGGAGGTAGTGGTAGCACTCAGTGCGTGTGCGAGCTGCGGCTTCTGCTGAGATCCCCAGACCTGCATCAGGAACCGAGTCAGAAGCCTTCAATAATGTCAGCAATTGCAGCGTAAGCCTCAAGCTAGACCATCACGATCTTCTCCCTCAACCAGTCTCCTATGACCCTCCAGAAACAATGACTTTGGTACGCAAAACTTGTCTCCAACCCTTACATCAAGCCTTCTGCTGCCGAGCACAGAACAGGTTTGGATTTTTCGGAGTCAACATCTATTGAAATGCATCAAACGCCCCTTGATATAAGAACGGATCAGTGCAGGCGTACCTAAGCCGATGCCGTCCAGGAGCACCAGAAAGGCTCCGTGCATAAAGGCTGGGAAGGGCCCGATGGTGGGCGCAGCCGTGACGATGTACGACACCCAGGCAAGCAAGTCGCGCACTGACAGCACCTTGCCGCCGCCCTGCTGCTCGTGCTGGAACCACTGTAGGCAGCACCACGAGGATTCTAAGCGCCACTAAGCAGGGGTTCGCACAAACAGTTTCAACAACGAATCGGTACTATAGCGTGCCCTTCTGACTGGTCGAGAGCTTCGACCGATCAGAGGCCGTGTGTAAGAACGACAGAGACTCAACGAAATCGGGGCTCAGTCTGCCAGCATTTGAAGTACACAAGGGCCTTTGGCTTATACGCGCTGATGACGACCGGCCTGAAAGAAGATACATTCAACGACCATGTTGAAGAAAGCACAGCAAGCGTTGACACTCGAGCAGAGAGCAAATTGGCAACCCACCTGCCAGAAGCGTAACAACGGCTCGGCGAGCGGACGAAGTTCCCCCTGGGGGAGGCGGTCCTGGACGATGCTGCGCAGGTCGTCCAGGTTGGTGATGGCGGGCACCCAGAGCTCGGTGAAACGGTTGCGCAGCGCAGGCGAGAGCTCCTTCTTGCCGAAGTCGCCCCCCGGATTCATGGTGGCCAGCAGCCGGAAGTTGGGGTGTGCCACCAGCTCCTCCACGGTTGTGCCGCCCTTCTCAGCCAGGACCTGTGGGGGGAGACGGAGGGGGAGAAGGGGATGTGGGCGGACGCTTCTGAGGTCCCAATCGTGAGGAGAATCAAAAGTTGCAAGCCCCGCAACGAAAGGCCCACAACGAAAGGCGAAGAGAAGTGTCAACCGCGTGGGCTTTGCAGCCAAAGCGCCAGACGAGTGTCACGAGCGCACTGGATGAGGATATATCTTCGAGCGATATTTGTGATAATGAGATATGTGCAGAATGTCTAGTCAGACCAACACGGGCGGGCTGGAGAGACACGGAATACTGCAAATTTCTGTTGCACGCCTGATTATGCAGCTTCATTGCCAGGAGGCTACCGCCACAGGATTTAAAGCGTGCTCAGCCAACAGGGCTAGGGAGAAAACCTTAGCCCTAGCGCTAGTTTTTCAAGGCACAGCCTTTGAAGGCAGATAAAGATGAAACTTGAAGCTTACAGCAAGGAAACGAACCCAACAATTCATGGACAAGGCTCAACGCTCCGGCTTCAACGACGCGCTCGAAGAACAGAGTCCACTCGAATGCGCTCATATCCGATCGACGCTACCAGATACCGTGATGAAGAAAGGGCGCAAATCGCCAGAGACTTTGAGCGGCAGTAGCGGCTCACCAGCAGCCTCTTGGGCTCCAGCACGCTGTTGAGCCTCTCGAGCACGCTGTCCTCTGCGAGCGAGATCTCGTCCACTAGCAGCATGTCGCCGTTGCGCATCGCCGCCACCAGAGGACCGTCGTGCCACGCAAACAGGGCCTGCCATTCCCCCACCAGCTGCTGCAGCTCAGCCGCTGCTGATGTCAGGCATTCTATTCCCTCCGCTAGTGATTCTGACGGAGACTGTGTGCGTGCATGAAGAGTGTGGACGACCCGATTGATCAAAGAGATGGTAACTGCGGCGTCCTGTACGTCGGTGCTGATGAATGGGCTTTGGGCGGCGGGGTCGAGCTCTAAGACGGTGGCTTGGAACAGCGGATGCTGGGCCACCTCTGTAGAGAGCGCAGTGGCGCGAGCAGCCGTGCGCTCCCGGTCCCTGGAGCAGAAAAGCAGAGAAACAAGATCAGAGCCCCGGCACCCCTCATTTAAGCCGTTTCTTCCAGGGGTAAAATGGTTTGTAACCTTGACTCAAAACTTGCAAATCTCTAACGCTTTTCGCAGCAGTCAACGTACATTTGTGCTAAGAACAAAGGGAGATCAAACAAACCGTCCGCTTGATTCCACCACAGAGTCCTGGCCCAGGAGTAGGCAAATCACTCTAAGTTCGCCACCGCAGCTCCCGGTTCTTACCTGACCGGGCGGAAACCCCCCAGGAAGTCGGAGGTCTCGGTGTGCTGGTGGCAGTTGAGGATGTGCAGGCGCTGGCCGCGCAGGAGCGCCAGCATCTGGCACACGCTGGTCTTGCCCGCGCCCGTCTCGCCCACCAGCAGCGCCGGCTCGTTGTGCGCCAGGCACCGCTCCACCAGGTGGAACAGCCGCCGCATCGCCCCCGTCCACACGATCTTGCCCACTGCGGCCACCGCGTCGGGCGCGCGCATGCGCTGCTCCAGCGCCTGGAAGGCCTCGGAGCTGGACACCTGCGAGTGTCGAAAGGAGAACTCAATAGATGTCATATGCTTCAAGAGGCGTTTCTGGGTGGTGCCGCTTTATCAACAAGATTGCCAGGATGTAGCACGCGTGAATGTCTGCGGGTCCCAAAGAGATTAGTACCTGGTGATGCAAGTGCGAAAGCAACGGCGAAGCGACTGTCACTGCTGAGCACGAATGCCTATTGAGAGCTAGCCCATGCACAAGATTCGAGATGGCTGCAAGGGCACGTGGAAAAAGATGAAAGCAGATCATGGTGGAGTGGCACCCACACCTCGTGCAGCGTAGACAAGTCCAGCTTGACCCGCATGTGCTTCTCCAGAGTGGCTTTCACAATCTGCTTCTCCGCCTCGTCCCGCAGTCTCTCCCCCAGCAGCAGGAAACCGTCCCGAGCCAGCTCCTCGTAGCCAGTTGCATGCCGCTCCGCCCACCGGAACAGGTCACGGGGGGTCACGAAACCGTGCTTGCCTGCGACAGAAAAAGGTAGGGTATGTATCAGAACCGTAGATTCTACAATACTTCAATCACTCCAAGATATGTCTTTGCAGGTATGTCTTTGCAGTAGAACGAGGGCATGGATCGTCTCGCCCATGGGTTGCATCCGATCAAGCCAAACCCAATATCGGCAATCATTGCCAATCCACGGTGCAACGCAGGAACGAAAGGGCTGAGCGTATGACTTCAACAAAACCAAGAGACGCAGATGCCAGCTTAAATTGTGCGGTTCCTCATCCTAGCAACAGGAAAAGCGTCAAGCCCTCTCCCAAGCCCTCACCAGCAAAGGCCGCTGTGCCTTGGCGGTGCCGCTGCAAGTCCTTGAGGACGTCCACCATCTTGGCAGCGTAGCTGGCGGGGATGCCGCAGCGCAGCTCCAGGATGCGGGTCAGCTCGCTCGCAGGGATGTCGTCCACGTGGAGCTCCAGGAAGCGGCTACGAAAGGCACGTGACAGGGCCTTCCGCCCGCCGTAGGTCCCTGGGGGGTTCTGGGTGGCAAACAGCATGAAGTGGGGGTGCGGCTTGATGGTCACCTGTGAGAGGGGAGAACAACGAAGAACTAGTAAGGAGAGAGGACGTTTACACTGACGCACTTCAGGGGAAACGCCGATTGATTGCCAAGTTTGTTCAGGCCAGCAACAAGTCACGATTCGTTGTTTCGCAAATCTTTCATCGTCTGCTCAGAGCACAGACTCCAACAGGCAGGCAGCATTTCTCAAATCGAAGAACCGCGGCTGTCGGAGAAACCGACAAAACGGACTGACAACAGACATGACAGCAGAGGAGCGTCTGAAGGAAATATTCAGCCACTATGAACCGAAGGTGGCCACTAAAAGAGGCCACTGAGGCAACGAGCGGCTGATGCGCAAGCGGCGCCTTAAAGGCACGCCAAAACGGCGGTGCCCCCAGGCGCCAGACTTGCTTTTCTTCTCCCAGAACTGTAACGATCTTGAGGCACAGGGTTGGCCTTAGACCTGACTTGAGTATCTGGTAGCGGCCGCTTCTCTGCAAAGGAGGACGCTGCTCGTCGAAGGGCCATTTTAGGAGCTGTACTTCCAAGAAACCTTAACGAACCTCGTAAATCAGGTCAAACTTACAACAGCAGAACAAAGCCGGTAACTGGAAATGTCAAGCATCGGCGCCAAGTCCACCAGTGGTCTAAAGCAGCGCACCTGCAGCTCTGGTACAAAAAGCTCGCGATTGTCGTCGAGCAGGCGATTGAGCGCCTCCAGGACGTCCGACGGCGCCAGGTTCAGCTCGTCCAGCACGATCCAGTGGCCTTTTCGGACGGCCTCCACCAGGGCGCCTTCCTGGAATACGAGCCGCCCGCTTTGGGGGTCCGTGGCATAGCTGCCCAGGTACTCCTGGTGGAACAAACAGAAACAAGCTTCAGCGCAAGTTGCGAGCAACTCATGCTCAGTGTCCTGGGCAGTGTGCCTATCGGTTTCGCGGGTCAGATGCCGAAGGTGTTGTCACAATCGCCTTCAGGCAGACTGACTTCATTCAAATAAAAACAAAAACCTTTATACCGTAGGACCAGCATTTTGAAAACAGCTTTCGCTTTCAATGAATAAACATTTAGTATTTGCAGCCTAAACCGTTCTTCGAAGCGGAAGCAAGTCACCACCAAAGGGAATGGGCCTGACCTGCAGGTCGGTGTGCTCGTGGTTGTTGATGCGCACGAAGCGGTGCCCCGTCCTGGCCGCGAGGTGCTCCACCAGGCTGGTCTTCCCGCTCGACGTCGGCCCCTGCAGCAGGATCGGGTACCGCCGCACCAGCACCGCGCGCGCGAGGTTCTTCAAATGCTCACGCACGCTCTCCGTCATCACATACCGGCTCCGCCCCGGGCCTTCCGCAAAGTCCGCCTCCGAAAGGATGCGCGCCGTCGTCCCCGCCTCGACCCAGAAATGCTCGAAGAGGACGTGGTTGGGACTGGGCTGGGGGGGTGGCCGCAGCAGCGCTTTGAGCCCCCCGACGCTGCCCTTGAGGAGGTGCTTCACGAGGAGGCGCTCCATGGTGGGCGCGCTGGGGCGGTCGAGCAGCGTGAGGAAGCCCATGCAGAAGCCGTCGAAGAGCGCGCGCTGGAAGCCGTAGATGGGCAGCGCCGCCACCGTGTACTCGAGCGCGCGGGACAGCGTGCGCAGGCTGTATCCCGGCCGCTGCACGAGCAAAGCGGGCGGGATCAGCACCAATGTCTTTCAAACAGTCAGGCGGACACTACGAAAGAAAGCGCTCAGCCTTGAAGAACAAAAATGTCTCCTTGTTTAGATTCGTAGAGGCTCCCAAACTCAAGCTTGCAAAAGAATATAGCAGTTGTAACGCCAGTTTGCAAGGCGATTTGGCAACAGCCGTGACAACCGGGCGGCGCATCTGCGAGCGACGAATTCTATAGCAACACTCTGCCCACCGCAAGTCCCTACCTGATTGGCCCCGTCCAAGAGCGTCGCCTCCGCCTCCTGCCTTGCCGCCAGGTAGAAGTCGACAATATCATCAACCGGCGCCCCCGGCACGGCCTCCCCCAAGTAGCGCGCCACCAGCAGGCGCAGATCGTCCCGTCCCGTCAGCTCATCCACGTACAGCTCAGTGAAGCGCTGCCGCAGGGGCAGCGGCAGGTCCCGTTTGCCCACGTCAGTGGCCGGATTCATTGCGCCAAAGATGCGGAAGCTCGGGTGGCGCGGGATGGTTTCGACGTCACCTTTCTCGGTGAGGCAGAGGGATCCCCGCTCGCCGTCCAGCACCCCGCTGAGGCGCTCGAGAGCGTCAGCAGGCGCCAGGTTGATCTCGTCCAAAAGCAGCCAGTGGCCCTCGCGCAGGGCTTTTACGAGGGCCCCTTCGATGAAGGCAAATGCGAATGCCGTTTGCGCGGCCTCGACCTGCCGCTCCGCGCGTGCCAGCTCCCCAGCGAACGTGCGCCACTGCTCCATTAGGGACGGGTCCATTGGCCGGCGTCGCTTGGCGCCCTTTGGGCTCCCCTGGGGACCCCCGTTGCTCAACGGATGGCCGTTCTTCTTGCTCGTTATTTGCTTCGGCTGGGGTTCGTCCCCGCTTGCTTGTGGGCTCAATGCTGGTGTGCCGTCGGTGGAGGCGTCGGCTAACTTGGCCACACGCTCGACGGCAGAGCGACAGGCCTTGAGGAGGGGCACCCACTTGCGCTTCTCGGCCAGGGTGCGTACGCGGGCTACAAAGTCGTTGTTTTGCTGGCTGGGAAAAGTGCGCCGGAACAGGGAGAAGAAAGACGTGGCCAAGGGGACGCAGATGGCATGAGCCTGCACAACGAGGTGGCCAAGATAGTAAGTCCGGGTCGGAGAAGTCGCATATTAGGCTGAACGAATGAGTCGAGGAGAAGCAGTGGGAGGCACTGCTCTGACAGGACTGACTGCATCTGACGTATACGAAAGAGCATCCAAGACAGAGGAAGAAGGCCTCCTCAACGACGCTGGTTGTTACTGAAGCACTACAACGACCCTCCCAAATACCGTAGGAAAAAGTTCTTCCAGACGATCGCACGCCTCAGCTTCCCGCGGCCCTCACCTCGACTGGTTTGAACCCCCCCAGGAAATCGGCGCTGTCTGTCTGCTGGCTCATGTTGAGCACCGTGAGGGTGGCCCCCACTTGCCGCGCCAGGAACTGCACCAGGGCCGTTTTCCCCGTCCCAGTCTCCCCGACCAGCAGCGCCGGCTCGTTCTGCTGCACGCACACCCCCACCCGCTCAAGCAGACGCATCGTGTGCCCCGTCTGTGCATACACTCCCCGGCTCTCAGAATGCTCCACCTTCCCAACAGCTGGCAGCGTGGCCCGTCCCACCTGCACGCCCCCCGCGCCAATCTGCAGCCCCGGCTTATGCAGCTGACTGTAGTACTCCACCTGACTGTCTAAAACGCCCCAATCACTCGCAAGAGCCTGCAGTACCCGGCGCCGGTCGTCGGGCTTCGGGATTGCTCCCGCTAAGCAGTCCACCGCCTCCGCATACACCACTTCTCGTACTTTCTGCGGGAGGGGCCGGTCTGCTCCCGAAACCAGGAGGTGCTCCATCCCTCGAACGCTTGCGGCCACTCTCCGCGCCCACTTCAGCAGGTCTCTCGCAGTGTACAACCGCCCAACCTGAACCACTGCACCCCCTGCATTTCCCCCTGCCGATTGGCCCGTCAGCACACGCACCCGCTGCAGAGTGGCTGCCATCTTGGGAACTAGAGGCGCGACTTCCGGGACTGCCGCCGACGCAATATCGACCAGTTCGCTTTCTTCTGGGGGCGCGATGCTGACCCGCGCCCAGTGGCTCCCCAGCACCTCCCGCGTCCCGGCAGAAGCGGCCCGCCCGGTCCGTGTCGTTACAGTTCCAAAGACTTGAAAGTTGGGAGCAGCGGGCAGGACCTCTCCCCGCCCTGGGATGTACAGCTGGCGGTCCTCCAGGAGCAGGATCAGGGCCGACAGCACCTCGAAGGGCGCGCAGTCAACGTCCTCAAACACCACCCAGATGCCCTTGGCCACCGCCTGCGTGAGTGCCCCCGCCTGCCAGCGGAACTCCCCGGGGACCTCCGTGCACACGTAACTCCCGAGCAGGGTCTTGCTGTCAGTCTGGTCGTCCAAGTGGAACTTGATGACGTTGTGGTTTCCTGTTACCCTGGCCACCTCATCGATGATCGCCGACTTGCCAGCGCCAGGTGGGCCCTCGAGCAGGACCGGCCGGCCCTGGCACAGGCCTAGAGAAACTGCTTCTAGATTTCTGCGAGTTGTCGGGGTGAGAACGAGTGCAGAGCGGGCTTCTATAAGAGGGGGCCCAGGGCCCAGGCCGCTGCCTTGGCCCCCATATTGCCGGAGGGGAAGATCGATGCCGCATACTTGCAGCCTACCTAGTGGGGCTTGACCAGACACACTGTAGGGCGAAGGGGGACTAACGGAGGGGTCTGGCGCACTTGCTTCACTATACGAACTTTCAGCGGATGGAAGATCTCTGGCCACTTCTGCTTTACTAGGGGTCATAAACATGCGGGCTCTCTCAAAGTCGATGGTGGCAGCTTCATCCTCCCATCTGCAACAGGGAATGCTTTAATATTGTATCCAAGTAATCGAGCACCTTCCCCAATTCACAACAACAATGCCACACTGGCAATTCATTCACCCAATTATGAACTCCTTTGTTGGTGTAAGCTTCAAAGGCTGACCGTCAACTGAGACAGCATATTGGACACAACCAAAAAGTCTTCCAACACTATCTCGAAGCCGAAGATCTACCAATCTCAGTGGCCCCAGAGTCAGCATTGTGTCAAAGACCACCCTCACCTCACAGCGCATGCGGCCGCCTCCACCGGCGTCAGCCTCGCCGTGTTTGCCGCCAGCTGCTCCGTGCTTGCATCACTAAGCTGTAGCACTATCCGCGCCACTTGAACAGCGGACCACCGGATCTCGGCAGCGGTGGTAGGAATAGGCTGACCATTACCAGCTGCCTGACCCGTACCACCACCGCCATCGGAATCCCCAGAGGCGCCCCCTTGAGGTGGCGTATCTTGATTGGCTCTGCTATCAGAACTTGGCTCCTGATATGCCAGGAGATCAAAGAACGGACCCCAGTTCCACAACTCCCTGAATATCGCGGGAGCCGTCGACAGAAGTCGGTGAGATGCTTGAGCGACCGCGTGCAGTGTGATGCCCCATTCTTGGGAAGGGCCGTCGGCGCCAGCGATGCCGGCCAGCAGTCTGGCAAAAGGCTCCGGCGAGGTGGAGAAGTAGTGCTGTATGGGATCCAGCAGCTGAGGCGCCAGAGGGAGCAGGAAGCTGAAAGCGACAGCGACTTGCTCGTGGTAGGGGACAAAAGGGGTGGTGGCGCTGTCTCGGGGACTTTGTGACTGGAGCTGGCTGACGAGATCTTGAACTATGTCGCTGAGGAAGGGACGAAAACAGCTGGCTGCAGCCAAGGTGACACCAGGCTGCACAAGCAGGCGCTGGGCCAGAGCACGACAGTGCTCCTCCGTAAGCTGCACACAGCAAAGGAGAGAGTTAGGATTCCACGTGTGGTTACTGTCACGTGATGGGAAACCCCACACCACCAAAACCATCGAGCGTCAGCGAGCAATGAGGGCAATGCTGTCTAAGTGCACAAACCGCAGCAGAATCCTGAATGTTAGTTGCAGGGCAGCTTGTAATGTAGACATCAGAACTGCAAAGCAGGGCGAACTGTCTGGACCGTTAACAAGCAGATGGACTCGAAACCACACCACCATCAAAGTTTCTGGGCCGATATGAGAGCATTCGCAAAGAAATGCAGCTTGAAAGAGTGGCCCCTCAGCATTGTGCTCTTACCTTGTTTGGGTGTTCTTTGAAGAGGTGGTCGACATCCGCCCGCTGGAGGACCTCAGGCCTCCTTGAGGCCAGCGCACGAAACGCCTCAAGCCATCTACTGGAAGCCATTGATTACTTTGCACGCATCCGGCTCCGCCTCAGTGTGGCACCCGATCCCACCAATTCCTTCCAGATTGCGTATCACTAGGAAGAGACGCCACCAAAGAACGCGTCCTGAACGTGAACTGCACACTGTACTGGATGTTTTCAAGCCCAGCTTCAACGTGGTTGCAAGTGAGAAAGGGTCAAGGGCTGCCCTAGCCGGGTTAACCTGGGCTAAAGCCCAGGAATGGACCTGAGCACGGTTATGACAATGTAGCACTAGGGTTACCGAGAAAGCCAGCTCTCATGCTTGTGACATTGACGGCTGATGCTCTGCAATTCTTCAACCTCGAGTTCGGAACACACAAAATCTGATCTCTTGGCACCGCATTGCAAAGCACAATGGCTTCAAGCGTTGCGGCAAAAGCAGGTGCTGCTGGTACTTTCGTGTATGGTGCCCAAGCCCAATTTGCAGAGAACTCTCGACAGAATGGCGCTGCTGCAATGACCTTTACCAGCTATTCATCTCTGAAGAGAAACCACAATGTACCAGTAAAAGGGCATGCAAAATCCTTCCTGGGATCCAGCGCTCCTTTAATCTCCAACTTGGCTGAGAAAAATCATCAAGCATCGGTGGCCAGATTCAGTGTCAGGGCAGAGGCAGGGAAGCAGAACAAGAGGGTCATCAGGGGCCCCGTCTTTGTGGTTGATGACAATATTGACACAGATCAGATAATTCCGGCAGAGTACCTAACACTAGTCCCCTCAAAGCCGGAGGAATATGAGAAGCTGGGCAGCTATGCGATGGCGGGACTACCAAAGGGCTACGGAATGTAAGTTTCTTTGCTTAAAGCCAAAGTGACTTCCCCCTGTACAAGTACTCCCTCTTTCCCTGAGAGAAGGTGACAATCAGAGAACAAACACTCTAGTCAACAATTGGGCACTGCAGTTTTTGAAACACAGCATACCGCCCCATCCATGTCTTATATATGAGTGAAAAGTTTTCCTTTTTATCTTGAGTGATCATGAATGGTGGTCCAATACGGTGATAAGTGGAAATCCGATCCTGGCAACATTTAACAAGGTGTTCTTCTGTCATGGGCAGCTTCATTGAGGAAGGTGAAATGAAGACCAAGTATCCGATCATGATTGGTGGTAAGAACTACGGGTGCGGATCTTCCCGCGAGCATGCCCCAGTGGCACTTGGAGCTGCGGGACTCAAGGCCGTGGTCGCAGAATCGTATGCTCGGATCTTCTTCAGGAACTCTGTCGCAACAGGTGAGAAGAACGCGAGTCCTCAAAAACTCATCCAGCTGTAAACATGATGGTATCAGGGCCCTGGATCTAACATTGTGTGAGTAGTCAATCGCACAGCTCGTTGTTTGGTGGATTGTCTGCACTCACCATTCTCCACCTCTTTGTGCGGAAGTGACGCGGATGAACAAGTGGACTGCTGTCAATTGATTACAGTTTGACTGGAGACTCTAGTCTGTCAGTTGCATGATGTGCTGATCCCCCTCGACTTTACCTCGCAGGAGAACTTTACCCTGTGGAGATCGACACTAGACTTTGCGAAGAGCTGAAAACTGGCGACGAAGTGACGGTGGATATGGAGAATGACGTCCTGACTCATCACGGAACCGGAAAGCAATACAACCTGAAGCCAATTGGGGAGGCAGGTCCAGTGATCGATGCAGGAGGCCTCTTCAACTATGCCCGCCAAACAGGTATGATCAAGGCAGCAACTTGATGCCAAGTGGTCGGAAGCTCCAAGTCCTATAGTAGATAGCATCTAAAACGAAGAAGGATACGTGGCAAAGAAACGGATGGATTTGTCCTGCCTTTACTTGTTCGATTCTCCTTGCTCGCACTCGTGGCCCTCGACCCGTGAGGTGGTCTTCCTCATTATGTAGCTCGAGGATTCCAAAACCTCATATTTCTCCTGACATGTGTATGCCGCTGTGTGCGTTGCAATCCCACCTAGTACCCGCTAAATTGCAGCTTAGTTGCCATACCAATCATAGTTGGATTCAAGCACCCTAGTATAAAAGCTAGCCCTTTCAAATCCCGCAAGTACAGTCCTTGGCACTTCCGCGCTGGCCCGTTGCCATATGATCAATAAATATCGTAAGTTACCATCAAGCATACTCCATTCCTAGCTGTGCATGTGGCCCGACTACTAGTATATACCGCTACAACTCAGTTGGATAATACCATGATGCTTTAAAGACAAGATTCTATACAGTGTGACCTGAGGATCTCATAGAGACTTCAACACATGTAAACACACGGATTTGCAGAAGCTTCATGCATACGGGCGCGCGGCTCACATGATTGACTATACACTCCACATCCAAGTGTGTCAGATGTTCGACTATAGAATTGGATAGTGCTTATAGATTTGAGGCCTTGAGACGAAACAAGTCCTCTATTTCAATTCGACAATCAACTTTGATATGATACAGCGTGACGTATTGCTACAGCTTGGATCGCATCACGTCCAGCTCTCCTTTCTCAAATGCATATGTTGAAGTAGTGTGTCAATTCGGAGGGCTCAATAAAGGCAAATCAGATCTGCTTATAAACTCGAACCAGTGTTTATATATCGTCCTATTCGAGGGTGCTATGGGAGTGGCATCAGTTCTGGCAGCTTACATCAGCAGTGCCGCTTGACCTGCCCTGTCAAGAGTCTGAAGACGATCTTGACATCCAATACAATAGGCCGCTGCAAATGGAACATCAAAGGTGAAGCCAAGCTCCGTGGACCAGGTTGTCAGGTTGAACTCTTTTCAAGACTTGATCCAAGTCGTGCTGGCGAGAAAGGTGCGCATCGGAGCGTGCAATCTCACAAAAGCCGGATTTTAGATAAAGCAAAATTAGACAAACGAGGAAAAACAAGGTGAATTTCTACCCCTTCGCACTTGTGATCGAGAATGTGCCGGGACTTAACATTCTGGAAATTGTCTTCAAGAGGAGAGATGTGAGCACAAGGATTGAGATGACCGCACCTGCCCAAGATGAATGTACATTGACAGACGCCAGCCACACCAGGCCATGTTGATGTTATTGCCGGGTTCGCGTAGTCGTTGATCAGCAAGCCAACGGAGCCCGCCAGTGACACAAATGACAAGACGTATGAAAGGAAAAGCCAGACCCGAGACCTGCACATTCAATATAGTCAGTCGCTTTTGTGCATTAAAATACAAATACGGTTGCAACCGACCGGTGCCCTGTACGACGTTCTCGAAGAAGTGGATTCGAACAAGGCCCATCTGCTGAGTCAGAAGAATGCCCCTGTGCCCCACTTGCATTTTCTTCAAAACCCCTGCCCGCATAAGCAGGGGGCTTGAAATGCAATTCCTGACCTGCACCCGGCGCCATCGTCGTAGGGATCGTACTCCTGGAGGTCTTCTCTTCGTACACAATTAAACATGAGGGCAGCGATGGTGGCAAAAATTCCTGTTCCAGGAACATGGTCAATGTTTCACTCATCACTCATGTTCCTCCGAGCCGAAGATAAAAGCATTCGCTGTCCGAGTCAGCGGCACTCTCATTGGCGCGCATATTCGCCTTAAAAAGCAATTTCCCTACAGTGCGCTTAAAACCTGGCTCATAAAGCAGTGAGAGAGAGCACGAAAAAGCAGAAAAAGATCTACAGGCGCACCTGGCAAGTAGTGGACAAATTCGACCTTGGTCTTGCTGATGGCCACAGCGTCAACCCAAAACCACCAACCAGCTCCAAATATAGCTCCTGCATAAACAGATTTTGACAAGTGGGGCAGCTTGACGTAAGAATCAGACGCGCTTTGATTGTCGGAAGTTTTCAAAAAGGTTGGGCGGTGGAGCAACTCAGCAGAAGCCAGACAGAAAGCAAGACAAGGATCACCAGATTTCTCCATCTGAGCTTACCTGCCAAGCCTGGACCATATTTGTGCCATATTTCATCAAGGAGAGCCATGATGCCGTTTTCTTCCCAAAGGGCAACCTCGAAAACCTGAATCTTCTCTTCGCGCCCTTGAGCTCACAAACAACTGATGTCAGCAGCTGGGAAATGAAGAATGCATTGACAAATGGAGTCCTGCAGCTGGTGAGCTCAGTCCTTGTGTGCTTGCTCCGCGTCCTGGATGCTCACTTATGTTGAAAGTGAAAGTGACTATGAATTTGTCAGCCTCTAGAGAATGCAGGGTGTGTGCTGATCTCCGCCGCAGGTAAGATTATCCTTCTCCAGGAGAAGAGGGTCCCTCTTATGTCAATGACTTGCGACCACACTTTTGAGCCGCTCTCTTCCACCTTGAAGTTGAAAGCTCCCGAGCTTTTCTCACTGAAATCGACTGAAATCCAAACCCTGCTGAGACTCGGAGATCTTCTCCTTCCAATTCCACTTCTTCAGCTAGGAGAGCTGCAGGCGCTTATACATTATGGCGAGCCGCTTATAGCCTCATGTCGTGGGCTGCAAGTAGCCTAGTCCGACCGCTCGTGAGGGGCGTATCGCTGCTTACGTTCACGGGCATTTAACAATCCATTGCAGGTAATATGCCTGAATATAATGTAATTTGGAGCTTGAACGTTCTTCTCACTTTCATCGATTCAGGCTTGCAAGTTGGACTCCATTCCTGATCCCATTGGCGAGCGCCATTCAAAAACACCTTAATTTTGTCAACAAGCAACAGAACTTCAGAAGCAACAGCGATTGCTTCTCGCCTAGAAGGCATGTGCAGGTTTGAAACCCGGTGGTCGATCAAGCATCTGCGGAGTCCTCAAGCTGAGGGTGCAATTTGATCACATTCACAATTGGGGCTGCGAGGAACGGTGTGGAATCACAGCAAGTCTTGTGGGCAGAAAGAAGCACAATGGTAAGCTGCATCCACTCATCGAGGCATTAATTTATACTGCCCAGAGCTGAAGGGCTTTTAAGAAGCTGGAATGCTAAAAGTTCTGGTTCTAATTCTTTTAAATGCATCCAAGGCTACGTATTTTGAAGTGTCTCTCCTCTTGAGTCATAGATATCTGGTGGTGATCGTGGCTTTGGAACAAGGACTTTGTTGAATGGTTGATCGCTTTTCTGGGTTCTCAAGCCCAGCAAAGTTGGGCAGTCTGCTTAACAAACCGCCAGATCAAGTTTGCTTTCAATGGCGCCCAATCGGTTTTCCAGATCAGAGGGTCATTAGGGCACTTCTCTTCTGGCTGGAGCCCGGTATTGTGGACAGGAGCGATGGACTTCAAAGCACCCACCTATCGAGGCAAATTTCACATGTTATCTTCGTAGATGCACCAGCCTTGTATACTGAATCTGCAATCTGCTTAAAACACCTGCTGGGGTAAGATGCGCAAAGGAATCTGCAATGATGTCAGCCAGCGTGAGCAATTGACACTTCGGCGATGGTACAACCAACTGGCAACAAGACCCGGCCTTACCACCCTCCGCAGAACGAACACAGCATCACGGCAACGGAGGAACAGGAGAAATGGCTGGCGGACGCGCAGAACGTGGTCAAGCAGCAGAGCTTCTACATGAGGAAGGCGCTGGTGAGTGGGCAGACATTCACACTGTCCAAAGCAGGGGCAACACGATGGGGGGCGACTTGGGGGACTTGTTGGTGCCGAAACTGATTCTGAATGTATGCGCATCATACTCGGAGCGGCGGTTCTCAGGGGTGGTGTTCGTGTTCGCAGGATTCGAGCAACCTGCGGGAGGCTCTCAAGTACTCGGCCCAGATGCTGGTGGAGCTGCGCACCTCCAAGCTGTCCCCCCAGAAGTACTACGAGCTCTGTATCCTCCACCCAAGCTAGTGCAGAGTCGCGTTTTGTCCATTTCTTCGTAGCTGCTTTTCCCAAAGTGAAAATTCGACAACATTATCATTTGTGTATAACAAAAGGTCTCTTTCATATGGAGTTTAAAATTTCCTGCAACTTTGAGCATTTGAGGTGTTGGCAATCGAGACAACTGTGCCAGGGAACCCCCTTGTCATCGATAGTCTTGCTTTGTCAACGACAGTCTTGCTGTATCTTCAGCATGTACCGTGCTGGCGCTTCCTTGACCTGCGCTCCTCTCAGACATGCAAACATTCGATGAGCTGCGGCACCTGGAGGCCTTCTTCCAGGAGGAGAGCAAGCGCGGACGGAGCAATGCGGATCTCTATGAGCTGGTGCAGCACGCGGGAAACATCCTGCCACGCTTGTAAGTCTGCGATTGATTTTGTCTGGCCCTAGATTATGCCTTGTTGACTGCCTGTGTCTTCGTCACCTCCGGAAGAACTTAAAGTCAGACCCTCGAAAAGGGAGGCGGAAAGTGAAAGGGCTGTGCGTTGGACACCCTCTTTCAATTCAGTGTCCAACGTTTTAGGCTCCTTGTGAAACGTTTCGTTCAGATGAAATCGGGCCCTAAGGGAGTCTGGTCGGGTCCTGACAATTCATTGATACTTTCCAGCGTCATTCCAGCTGTCATTGTTAGATTCGATTCAGCGCGCTTTCGTCCACCCGTCAAGGGCACACGCGTTCATGCTGTAAGCTTCCTTCGTCAAATCAGTGAGGACTTGTTTAGGCAGCTGAGAGGCTACCTGAGCGCACACTGCACCCATGCGGTCACCTGACCGTTCGCTCCGGTGACGCAGGTACTTACTGATCACGGTGGGGTCAGTATACATCCGCTCCAAGGAGGCTCCTGCGAAGGACATCCTGAAAGATCTGGTCGAGATGAGCCGCGGCGTGCAGCACCCTATCCGCGGCCTCTTCCTGCGCAGCTATCTCTCGCAGATCAGCAAGGACAAGCTGCCCGACACCGGCTCCGACTACGAGGGGTGAGCACGTCAGGATCTCCCCCGCTTTGTACTCCTCTACAGGAAAGCTTTCGTTGGAAGTTGTGGCTATCGTACATATGACCCAAAAACCGCCTTCCGCTTTCGTTTCTTCAGATAAAAAGGCGAATTCACATTGAGGCTATTGTCTGACGCTATGTTTACCCGTCTTGCCAGCGAGGGGGGCACTATCCACGACGCCGTGGAGTTCGTGCTCCAAAACTTCACCGAGATGAACAAGCTGTGGGTGCGCATGCAACATCAAGGGTCCGCGAAGGACAAGGCCGACAGGGAGAAGCGGGAAAAGGAGCGGAGCGAGCTGCGAGACCTGGTGAGAACGTAAAAGGCAGCCTCAGCATGGTTTTCCAAGAACTACGTGCCTCTGACACTCCCTTTGCAAGGCAACTGTAGGCAAGACTTGGGCCGGTGTCGTTTGAGGATTGTCAAAAAATATGCACAGACGAACAGATCACAAGCGTCTTTCGACAAGGGACTTTGAAAGCTTTTGTGTTGATTGAAGCACCTGTGGTTGCATCATGGTTCGAAATTCATGTACGAGAGGGTCCGTTCCTATCGTCAATACCTCTTGTCTCTGACGCTCTGCCACATTGGCTTCATACGTGCAGGTGGGGAAGAACTTGCTGGTGCTGAGCCAGCTGGAAGGGGTGGACCTGGAGTTGTATAAGAGCACTGTGCTGCCACGGGTCCTCGAGCAGGTGATTGAACCCAACGCTAAGTAGAGGGCGCATGGTTCTGCAGCTCCACTTGAACCTGGCCGCCTGACTCAAATCCGATTCGATCCGAACGCAGACCTTTGCCAATTGTGCAGAACTTGGGACGTACGGTCAATGACATTGGGGTCGTGAAGGATTGCAGTTGGCGCATCGGGCCAACCTTTGCGATGAGCTCAGATTTGTACTCGAATATGGCGGCTTAGGCTTGGCCGAGTATTCCGAAAACTGTCCACCTCTTCTGCGGACGTCTTTTCAGACGACCGTTTTTGACGGCTTCCTTTCGGAACCGTTCGGCTGTACGAGCCGAAGTTTTGAGAAGGAATTCAACAAGGAAGCTTTAGCCAAGCTGGGGTGGCCATGGCTTCGATCCCGTAAGAATTGTTGTGGCTTGAAACGGTGCCGTGCGATTTGCAGGTGGTAAACTGCAAGGACGAGATTGCGCAGGGGTACCTGATGGACTGCATCATCCAGGTGTTCCCCGACGAGTACCACCTGCAAACGCTCGAGACGCTCCTTGCCGCCTGCCCACAACTGCAGGTGCGCTTCCGCGCTCGTCTCAACAATCATCCGTGCTGGCGCCGCACACTTGACGATCGATCTTTTGGCAGCAAAAGCCCGTTTGTTTCTGCGCCTTTCTCTTGCCACGGTCTCGACAAGGAGCCTACTATAACTGCGCCAACGCGTGCTGAGTAGATGTCTCGAGGGGTTTCACCCGCCAACTAGGGTGGCCTGCTTCTCGGCGGGTGTTGATTCGCTCTTGCTCCTGCTTGCGTGCAGCCCAAGGTGGACATCAAGAGCACCATGGCGGGCCTCATGGAGCGGCTGGCCAACTACGCAGCAGCAAACTCCCAGGTGCCGTACGCTGACCCTACCAATAATCCGTCCTGCGACGGCGTGTACTTCGGCCGTGGTCGTGTGCTTCGTTCCCTTGGATTGTTCTTGTCTCCTTGGCGCGTGCCGTTCGCATCTGGATGGCCCTCCACTGGCGTCGAGTCGCCTGGTCCAGTGCTGCGACATCAGAAATGTGTGTCCTGCGGTTCATAAAGTGTCACCCATGCGAAGTTGTTGGAAGTCGATGCTTCCTTCCAAGTTCGACCTGCTGACAGATTCCCATCGCTTCGATTGTTCCCGCCTCCGCCCAGTGCTGTCTGAACGGAAAGGAGGAGAACAGGTACTCCTAACGGACTTCCTAGGAACCCACCTCCACTACAACCCCCTCGATTGGCGGTCCATCTTAGTGGACCCGGACGATGCCCAGACAGTCTATTCCTGTAACCCTCAAGGTTTATGGCTAGGGGGTATCTCTAACATCTGCTCGGCAGCCTTCCACGTTCTCCCTCCTTCCGTTCTGTCTGCTTACGGAACGGCCTTTCATCCCCCCCGCTGCAGGTGCTGTCCGTGTTTGCTGAGGTGGAGGCGTTCGAGAAGCTGAGCACGGCGGTAGCCACCGTAGTGGAGGCGCAGGTGGACATGCCGCTCGTCTCCGCCGTCAGCCTCCATGTGGCGCTCCTCAACTTCGTCCTGCGCTGCCACGCCGACCGCCTCGACTACGTCGACTCTGTCCTTGTGAGTGCCCCGCATACACTTACCTGCTCGCAGAGTCTCAATTTGGTGCTGCCCTCTGGTACGGTTGAATCCTCCGCGGCCTCTGCTTTTCCAGAAATTGCACACCGACCCTTGCTTTGCCTCCGAGCAAAGTGTTTCGGTGTCCATCACATAGCTTTTAGGGTATTGTTGTGCCTACCACGTACCTTTCTCATCGGTTCTCGACTTGTGGACTGCTTCTTTTCCGAGTTGGCTGGACCAGCCGTTCGCCGGTCTGCGAGCTTTGCAATCATCTGAATCAAACGTGCCCTTCTTCTCAACACGCACTCGCTTTCCGCGCAGGGGTCGTGCGTGAAGATGCTGGCGGGGCAGGGCAAGATCCGCGAGGCCAAGAGCGTGAAGGCGATCGTGGCGCTGCTGAGCGAGCCGCTGGCGCAGTACGGCGACGTGGTGACGGTGCTGCAGCTGGGCCACTACGGGCAGCTCATGGCCACGCTCGAGTTCGAGACCAACAAGGTGATGGCCGTCCTGGTCATCCAGAGCATCCTCAAGAACGGCACGCGCATCGGCGACTGCGCGCGCGTCGAGGCGCTCTTCCAGCTGCTGCAGGAGCTCATCCGGGACGGCGAGGACGCGCCGCCCGTCGACCAGGTGCGCGCGCTCAAGCCGCACCCCGCGCCACTGCGGCAAATGTCGTCTTTGAAGTTTTGGACGATCTCTGCTTTCGATTGCGAGTTCTATTGTTGAATGCAGTCGATTCAGCTCGCGCGGTGAATATGTGGGTTTGGTCGAGGGTGGTGTAGGTATCACGTTACGGCTTTCGACACACCGAAATGCATACGAGGACAAGAGTTACAGTAAGTGACGAAAAGTGCAATCATGGCTGATGCTGTGAGCAAGGAGTAAAAACACTGATTTTACGAAAAAAGAGAGGACTTCGAGCTGGTCCGTGCAATGTTTCGATGAGCAATGATGAGCGCAGCTTTGGGGCGATTACAGAGCACTGGTCCATCACAGAGCACTCCAACATTCGGCCGAATCCACGGTCCCTATCCATATCTCCGGACGCCTCTTGACGGCCGTCCGTGCTGGCTGTTGCAGCTGGACCAGGAGGACTTTGCGGAGGAGCAGAACCTGGTGGCGCGATTGCTGCATGTGCTCGTCAACGACGACCCTGAGGAGCAATTCAAGGTGAAAACAGTGCCTGTTCTGCGTTGAGTTAGGCCTACGTGGATCTGTACTCGACATTGCATCGGCGCCCCGAGCTCGCAGAAACAAAAATCCTTGACCAAGTTTGAACACCCTTTGCACCGGTACCCACCTCAGATCCCAAAAGCAGCCTCACCCGTCCTCCCGGGCAGTAACCTATCTAAACGGAGCCCTGATAGAACGTAGAAAAGTTGTGTATTAAGGTGACGCTGCCTTGCCACCCGCAGCCGCCTCTCTTTCATTTTCTGCTAGCACTACGGATTTCGCTCCTTGTCATCTGCGAACGGGGTACTGAGAGGACTTTGACGCGCTCATGCTTTGTCTCTGCAGATTCTGAGTGCGGCTCGGAAACAATTTGGTCTTGGTGGACCGCGGCGGCTCGTCTTCACCCTGCCTCCCTTGGTCGTGGAGAGCCTCAAGGTATTCCGCCTGCCCCGTTTCTATTACTTTCAGACTTAAGCAGTGAAACTGAAGTGCGAGCTTGCAGAATCGGAGGGAAAAGGGAGTAAATAGTGGAGCGTTGGTGATTGAATCATTCGCTGAGTTGCAGCCAAGAGGAACCAAGCGCTTGACTTAAAACTTGGAGCTTCATTACTTGAAGCTTCCATTACATGCCATTTTCCAGAAGCTGGGTTGCATGCTACACGTGGCGATCTCGCAGTGTCGTCATCTTATGTACTTTGTCGTGACAGCTGGTGCGGCGGTTGCAAGCGCGTGGCGAGGTAGAGGAGGGCGGTGTTACGCCCAAGAAGGTGTTCCAGTTTCTGCACCAGACCGTGGAGGCCCTCGCCAATGTGCCCGCACCCGAGCTCGCCTTCCGCCTCTACCTCCTCTGCGCCGAGGTCAGCCGCCTGCGGCAACGCGAGCTTTTGCAGTGCTATCTTGCTTGGCATTGTGATCAAACACAGCGGGACTGCACTTTTGCGCAGGAGCGAAGTCCGAAGCTGTTGAGGTCGAGGAAAGTCATGGTGAAGCTTGCGCCCTTGCCGCACTCATTGGTTGCATTTATCGAAGGATGTCTTTTCTGAGTGGGTCGGCCGTGGACGCGTGCAGGCTGCCAGCGACTGCGACCTGGAACCCATCGCCTACGAGTTCTTCACGCAAGCGTTCATCCTGTACGAGGAAGACATCGCGGTAAGAGCCACCGTGTGCCAAGCAGACTTTGTTCAAGACATTGCAAGTGGTTGGCTGTCGGGCCTTCTCAGTAGGAGGTACACTGGAGACCTCCGCCTTACAGGATCCAGAGGTTTATGAGTGAGTCCCACTGGTACGACAAAGGTGTTGATCGAGCTGCCACGTGGTGCAGGACTCCAAGGCGCAGGTGACGGCCCTGCAGCTGATGACCGGCACGCTGCAGCGGACGGTCGTGTTTGGCACTGAGAACCGGGACACCTTGACGCACAAGGCCACCGGGGTGAGCACGCTCTCAACTCGCGCAGGACGAGCCCTCCTAGGGGTCCCTGTCGAAGCCAAAAGATTGGGTTGCTTCTTTCTTGAGATTTTTAGGCGAGAGGAAACGGTCACAGCAGGAAAGTACCTGTTTGAAATCGTGCCCCCTCTTCTTGAATGGACATTTCAAATTGAGATTGAATTTTTCTGGACTTGTGTTTTGCAGTACTCTGCGAAGCTGCTGAAGAAGCCGGACCAGTGCCGCGCTGTGTACAATTGCTCACACCTCTTCTGGCAAGATCAAGAAAAAGGGACTCGGGATGGCGAAAGGTGCGTCTCCTCTTGATCTAGTTTCATTCTTTCCGAGAGTAGCCAGAAGTCTTCTGGTCGACTGGTCAGCAGTTGCTCGTGTATTGTAGTGAAGCTCACCGGAGACTGCTCTCTCTTGATTTAATACTTTTCAACGCCTCTTCTGCCCTTGCCTGGGTCAACTGCTTCGAGCTTACCACTGTTCCTGAGGGACTGGGTATTTGTGCGCAGGGTGCTGCTGTGCTTGAAGCGTGCCCTGCGGATTGCCAACGCCGCCCAGCAACAAGCCAACGCCACGCGGGGCAGCGGCGGGCCGGTCACGCTCTTCGTCGAGATTCTCAACAAGTAAGCGAACAAGCTTTCGCGACTTGGAGCACGCTACAGGTACTAATCGAGAAGCTTCAGAATGTCCTGATGTGTAACTTGGGGATCGTGGAGGCTTGGTTGTTTCTGACCCGCGCGATGTGTGTATCTGCTCAGGTACTTGTACCACTTCGACAAGGGCAACCAGCAGGTGACGACGACCGTCTTGCAAGGCCTGTTGGAGTTGATAAGCACCGAGGTGAACAGCGAAAGCGCGGTCCAAGACCCTGCCACCGAAGCCTTCTACGCCAGCACTCTCAAGCACATAAGTTTCCAGAAACAGAAAGGAGGGGAAGCGGGGGACAGATACGAGGCTATCAAAGTACAATGAGATCCGGCTCGGTAACTCGCGTGGCACGCATTTGTAAGTATGTATAGGTAACACGCCATATGTAACAGACTCTCTCGGCTTGTCGCCGACAATGCACGAGACGAGGTCGTAAGTTCGGCGAGCAAGCTCCGGTGCTGGCATTCCCAGTCGGGGCTGGTTTTGCAAGCGGATGAGACTTGCATAGGTGCACATTGAAACCATGCAGCTCATGTACGTGCAGCATGAACAATCGCTTGGGCCCGCACTACACAGACCTGACAGATAATTTACCCGATGTACGTGTGCTCAACGTGACCTGCAATTCATATACTACGTACATGTGTCAGGCCCGCTGCTAGACTGCTCCGACTCAGCTGCATGCAGTACGTGCACGCACACATCATTGTGCTATAGCTGCAAATTTCGTTGGTCATGACATTGCGCATGTCCTGGCCGATCCTAGAATTTATATGTCTCTGGCGGGGATGTCAAGCTGTGTGCCGCGGCAAGTTTGGCAAGTTTGGCATTGGGAAATCTGGCCGGTCGGATTAATATAGCAGCCGCGATCGATCCGCCTTCGAGTCCATTGAAAGTCATGTACGTCTACGTACAGCAAGCTAGCTAATATTAGGATACTATTTAACATGCAGCTCTCGAATTTGTGCGCATGCGCATCATGAGAATTCAGGCTTTGTGCTTTCATAAAAACGTCATGCCTGATTAGCGAATTAGTGATCGAGGTACATTGGTCTTGAGAGAAGCCGCGCGCACTTTCCCACAACCCTTGAATATTAGGCCCTCATTACAACGACGGTGTCGGAAGCGCGATCAACATCTCTTGATTATCGGGGTCGAAGTAATGTCATGAACCATCAATCGCAGTCTGCCAGATATAGCGCAGAGCCCGGCCCTAGCATGAGCATCACTTCGGAGCTTGTGCATGATGAAACATGCTCCGGGTCGATGATCGGAGCACCTTGATATGTAAGCAATGCTCGCAGCCAGATAGCTCAGTCCATGATCGACTGGGAAGCCACAATTCAATCTCATGACCAATGCCAGCGGGGCTCGACGGTGATCGAGGTCCATGGTTAAACACTAGCATGAGCAGTGAAGGTGTCTCCCCACGTAAGCGATGCAAAACTCGGAGTTTGACGTCGCATCAACGCAACCCAAGCCAGCGCCGCGCGGAACGCCACATACGACGGAATGAACGCCATCCCGGCCCGCGGTAATAGCCTATGGCGTGCCTATTTGATAGGCAAGCCAAAGAAGGCAATCAGACTTATTAAAAGGCCAGGTGACACTGGCGGCGGGCAGAAATACCAACTTTTGCAAAGAACCAGTCTCGCTTATCTTGCATCTTGTTTTCTCTTGTTCCATCCGAGACTGAAATCGTATCCACCAACCGAAATGATCATAAATTAATCTGAGTCAAATTTGCAAGCAATTATGCTACAAGGACCTCTTGTGAATCCCCGTTCTCGTAGGAGGGGCCCTGACTGGAAGATATGATACACTGCGGCCAAGCCAAGTTGACCATGCACGTGCCTACCTCATTTTCCCTTTAGCCTTTTCGTACTCTTTCAGTGCCTTGACGGAGACCAGCATGCCGTGGCCTACAGGTGCACTGGGTCTGCTCCCCCCATCGCCTACCACGGGTGGGAGTATGATCGCGGTCAGCCGTCCCCCATACACGCACCCAGTGTCCAGGCCAGTCGCTTTCCGGCGCCTGTACGTGGAGCGTGCAATCCTTGTTTTGATGCCTTTATCGAGGCGTGCAGTTGTCAGGCTGACAGTGTCTCCAGAGGAATCGCTGAACAGGTCCTTCCAGCTAGAGAGCGAGGGGTGTTCAAAAGCAAAACCTTAGCGAAAGGGGAAGCTGAAAAGACTGCCCTCGAAATACAAGTCTGAAGAAACACAGGAGACTAGCAGATGAAGAGAGGCGTGTCGACATCTCAAAAACTTTTTCAAGGTTGCTCTAGATTCCTGTATCGTTCATCACGGCAGGTCAGACTCCTTTGTCCTATTGGCTTCTGAAAACCAGAGCGTTGTTTTGACCGGTCTATCACCATGCAATCGAGCATCATAAACTCGGGCCTTCAGGCCCATCTCTGTACAAGGTTCGACTTCGCTTCTCAAGCCAGCCCCTTACAGTTGCAAACCCCGCATGGCGTCATGCCCAAACACAACGTGCTCCGGCCCGTCCCACACTTTTCCCCACAGTTCCGTCTCGTCATTTGCACTCCCCACCGGCTCCCAGTCTGCACCGTCCGAGTCAGAACCATAGCCCGACCGCAAGCTCCGCTTGCTCGAGCTCTTCTTGCGCTTGGCGGTGGCTTGCTCCAAGAAGCGCATAGTGTACAGCTGGCCCAGGTCTTGCTGTTCTAACGGAATCCCTGGGACTAGGCCCGCATGAACCTGCCACAGAAAGAGGAGGGGTAATGAGAAAGAACATGGTCATCATTCCTACCAGCCTGAGGGCAGCATCTCAAGCACGCTCAGAGCAAATTTCGTGCGTGAAAGCAGATTTGCCTGAAGATTATTCTAAGCCTGTTGACTGTTGAACAGCAGCTACACGAATTCCACAATGAAGCCTCAAGTGAAGAAACGACAGCAAGCAAAGACGCCTGTTTCTTTGGCATGGTCAACGAGAACTGCTTGGTAAGAAGAGAGAAGGATTTGTTTACCACTAGCAGGTTGTGCGAGGGTATTCGCAGGGAGAACGGCAGGCCATGAAGCCACTCAACATCCTGCTCCGTCAGCTGCTGCACCCACTCCCGCTTGTCCGGCTTCTGCTTGCCCCCTGAGAATTCACAAGAATTCGTCAATCAGGTGAACAGTAACTCTGCTCCTCACAGTAGAGGCCAGCATAGAAATGCACTCATTGATAGCCATCACTTACAATCAGACCAACGTTCACAAATACAGAATCCAGAGGGGCGGGCCATGGAAGGGCTGAAGGGGGAGAATTCCCATACCTTTTCCTGATCGATAGTTGGCCCACTTGTAGTAGGACGCAAGTGAGCTGTCATCATGATTGCCTCGCACGGCGTATGCTCCAATGTCCCGCGCGAGCGCCACTACTTCAGGAGACTTAGGACCCTGCATGGGTCATGCGCAACAGGGTCAGCCGCCGGCATGCGGTTGCTTTGTTGCCCCGATGAACGAGGAACAGAACCTGATACGCAACAAGAGCGCAGCCGCAAAAGATTGTTGGGGCGATGGGGCTGAAGGAAGTTTGATTGGGAGAGCCTGAGACACACCTTATTCACAAGGTCACCCACGAAGATAACCACGTCGTCGGGCTGCCGTCTACACTCCTGGTCTAACAACAGGACCAGCTCGTCATAACACCCTGCAATAGGGCACTGCGTGATTGTCAAAAGACCTGCGGCACTGAGATAAAAAGGACAATCTCCATTGGGGAGCACTAGCTCTTGAATGCACCACTACCAGGAACCTGATGCTGGTAAGTGGTGAGGGTCAGGAGGGGGAAATTCAATGTGTTAGTCTGTAAAATGTCAACCCAGTGGCTACCACCACGCCCATGAAGATGGATTCTGGCTGTATATGAAAGGTCCATTGGCTAATAGAGGCACGATCTTAGTCGATGGTGGAAGGTTACGAGCACAAGAGGGACTCTGACCTGGAGACCCCAATGAGTCCCACCGACAAGCCACTTGGCTCCATTGGCTTACCATGGACGTCCCCCACTAAGATGATCCTCCTGCCCGCAACTTCCTGTGGAGTAAGCTCCGCATGGATGGGATTTGGCAGGGGCATCCCATTTGGGCCCTCTCCACCCTCCGCCCTGCTCTTCAGCTCATCGAGGCTCCTCTCGACTGCCACCGCATGGCAACTAAGATCACGCTGTGCATTCTGCTGCCTTTGTGACTTGGCTTGAGGCTTGCTATCTCGTATTATGCGGCTCACAAACCTCTGGAAGCGGGAGAACATTTGATAGTCAGATGTGAAAAGGGGCTGACCAAGTTTACCAGAGGCTTCCACCCGTGACCTGCGCCCATGAGTCCCATGTAGCAATGCTGGCGCGTTCTCGTGTGCGCTCCCACTGATCCTGCCCAGTCGTGGTACCACAGCAGACGGTGCATGCAAGATGCTTGGTGAGTGCCCCGCTTGGCAGCGGCACTGTCGCAGGGCATGTGACTCGAAGGTACGGACATTCATGGAGCACAGTCTACGAAGAGAAGACGAGCCTGCGATTGAAAGCATTCCTTTCCAATGTAGGCTTACTCATAAGGCTCACAAGCAATTGGGGAGGCACATCTCACAGCATTCCAGAAGGACCTCTGGAACACAGCGTGAGGGACCACAGCTTGCCGCTACTTCGCAACACAACTGGCGACCTTAGAGACACCCAGTGGCAGAAGGACCGCAGTCACCTGGAATCTGAATGGATGATGTGCTTCTCATTTGCCCGCTGCTGGGCAGCCAAAGAGCAGCTGAGCTGGCAAAATTGCAAACTTTAACAAGGCGCCAAAATGGCGTTTCCTCAGCATGAGCTCACTCCAACACTGCATTTGGACGTTGGTAATGGTTGCGATGCTATTATCGGCAGGTAGACTTGGCAGCATATGCCACGTGTTGACCATTGCATTTGCCTTTTGCACAGGTTCGGCCTTGCCACCTCGACGGATCGAGGGCTCCCTCGACCTCATGTAACAATGTGACAGTCTTCGACTTGAGCCACCTCTTGAGTCCGAGTCTGATCGTTGACAAACTTGTGAAAGTGAGCTGCAGCATCTTGCTTCCTGTCCTCACTGGCCAGCAGACTAGCGGTGCAGCTGTTGGCTCTTCTTGCCATGTCGGACATGGCGCCGTTGAGCCCCTCCGAGTCTCCCGTATTGCTGCTGCGATGGGTGGTGGGCATCGTCGGTGCGTTCGTGGCAGCCACAGTGGTGTACACGGTGATCACCGACGGATCACCTTTCCACATGGACATCCTGACGCCGTGGATGGCCGCCACGCTGATCGACTTCTATGCCAATGTCTTCATCATCTATCTGTGGGTCTTGTATAAGGAGGAAGGCGTGTGGTCGAAGGTCGTGTGGCTACTGCTCTTGGTCTGTCTTGGCAGCCCTATGTCGTGCGCGTACGTTGTCATCCAACTCTTGAGGCTGTCTCCAGGAGACCCGCCCTACCTCGCGTTGCTGAAAGAGCGGCATGCCAGGCTTCTGAGGACGAGCAGTATTGGATCTGGGGAATGAGGCACAGCGGTTGTTGTCCATAATCGTGTTCTAGCCCCATTTTAGCTCTGTACATACATTGGATACGGTAGCGACATTGTAAGCTGCTGGTCTCATTTGATGTCAATAAGCCGGATAAGAAGCAGATTCAACCGCGTGTCGTTGGTGGAGCTGAGCTCCTCCCTTCCAAAGACATTACTGGCCATCTGAGAGACGGCTAACTTCGAAGGGCCCTCCACCAACTATCTAACTTTGGAGTTGTTCCGCGCCAAGGATTTTTTGGCAGACAACACATTATTCTGGCTTCAAGCAAAGGTTGGGGAAGGTCAAGATGGCTTCAGACCGCAACCGCCTCAACCTAGGTATGTAATCATGTTTTGCGCCAGATCCTGGACCCCCATAACATGAGAAATCCCCTGACTTATGAGGTGTGGGGCAGAGGTTTTCAAAAAGGCCCGACGCGTTATCTGTTCGACCATTGCTGAGCTTTGTATTAGCCAGAAGTTGCTGTCCTACAAGGTTCTACATGTCCGTCCGTCACTTCAGTCTCCCTTCGACTTTTGACTGAATTGGTAGAGGCTATAGGCACCCGGGCCAGCAGAAGCCACTGCAATGACATTTACGAAATGCACTGGAATGGAAGTCAACAGCTTCGGTTGGGATATTCACGATTACTTGGTAGAGTTGAGCACAGCCTAGATGTATGGTAGCCGCAAGGCAAACGTACGTCTCAGTTATGTATCCCATGATCGAGCTAGGCCTTTGGCTTATTTGAAACTTGACCTATCTTGTAGGCTCGCAAAGAGAAACCATACGTCTCTTGTGTTCTGATGTGCACATACGGGTATCCAACACATGCATCCACTCGGCCGGCCCTAGGTTTTAAAGCGGACTCGTCGTCACGGTGCCGGGCCCTTGTACACTGTACATGATCATCGAATATTTATCTTTCAGTCGAATGTATATGTTTGGATCTAGTACACCACCGACATGACGGTCCTATCCATGCTTTGAGATGCATACGTACCATGTTTTGAGATGCATACCAGCAAAAGAGAACGTCAAACGCGGCCGAGAGCATTCATTCTGCAAGTTTTTGAGATGATTGAAAGACTGACTGACATGGTAAGCCTAGGCTTTCGCCGAAGGAAGCATGCTCCGAAAGATTGACTGGGCCACGACACACACTGAATGGTGCGCCAGCTCTCAGGCAGCTACTGTGATTTGAGTTCAGTACGACGGCCTCACTCATTTGCATATGCATTTATATTTGCACGCACAACGCTGGGCTTGACATTGCGGGCATGCAACCTAATACGACGACCACCATGTACACTCGAGCAAGTACGTTTGAAATTGATGAACACATATGGTCAATAAACGTGTGTCCATCAGTCCACCGCTCTATTGAATGGTCCACTGCCGAGCCACACGTGACCCTCAGGTTGTGCACCCAAGCATGCTGGCTGGCCTACGCTTGCCCCGATACTTCCGTTTTTGCTCTCTTCACTGATGTCAGGTACGAGAGCGTGTATTCATTGTCCGCAGCCGACTTTCCCAGGTACTCGTGCAGCATGGAGAGGCCTTTCAGAAGGGATCGGAAAGCAGGCAGTAACGACCGGGACTGGGCCTGCAAGGCCCGCCCATGGAACACGCACACCCCCTGCAGCAACTCCGAAAACGTGGTAAGGTAGTGACCAGTGATGGATATAGGCGTGAGAACTACCGTGACAGGTCACACAAAGTACAGAATCGAGTTGATGCATGAATTTCGCAGCGGGAAGCAGAGCGGAAACAAACCGCTAGACAATCTGTATGAACTGCTGACACGTACGTTTTGCGTTGCGAAGCCGTCTTCTGCCTTCCCGTCGCTCACCTGACACCACTTGAGCAGGAACTCGGTATGGGGCGACGTCCCGACGTAGTCCGCCAGCGCTGCAACTAGTGCGGGCAGATAGTGGGCCGGCACGCCGCGCACGATGGGGCCCACCTGCTCGGGCGGCACCGCCTCCACGCAGCGCCGCACCAGCGCGGCCTCGCTCAGCCGCAGCGCGAGCAGGAGGGCTCGCAGCCATGCACGTGAATGCAGCGCCGCCTCCACTGCCTGCACACTTACATGCAGCGCGCCGCTCAGAGCAGCGGCTTTCTGGAACTCAAGCTCGACGCGAATCCGGATGAGGGGTTTACGTAAGACACCTGAGCTCTCGGTAAAGATGAATCAAGCTTTCGGAAGCTAGGCAAACAAGGTGGGCAAAGCACAGCAAACCCAACCCAGGGGCAGGACGTATGTTAAGAGCGTCTTTATGGAAAGTCAGCGCTCCGCTTCATTGAGATTCAACTGATACAAAAAGCCCGCTGGTCTCGTTGCTTCTGCTGACCTGCGGTGTGACGTCCATGTCGAGGTCGCTGGGGTCGAAGACCGCCCCCTGGTCCAGGCTGTAGACCAGCACGCCCTCGGTTGTCGCTGCCGCCCACGCCTGCCCCGTCGGCGAGATGCGGAGGCACTTGGTCCGGATCGCGGGCCGCCGCGTGCGCGCCCCGGCCCCCGGGAGGCCCTGCCCGGGGTCGGCTTGCACGATTGCCAAGCTGTCGGGCTCGTCGTCGCTGTCAGCGATGAGGTCCACGGGGCCCGCGTCCGTCATGCGCTTGCTGTTGAGGAAGTCCAGCACGCCGTCCAGCGACACGTTCACGCTCACCTGGAACCGCCGCAGCATCACCTGGGAGCGAGGTACCGCACGTCAGAGAGAAGAACGGGGGACATCCGACACAACCTTGTCGATCTGGCGGCTATCCGACACTCAGGCGGACCGTCCATGCGAGAATGTCGATCGCATGCTGGAGACTAGTAACCGCAAATCCACATGCGTTCCATCGAAGCGGCTCAAAACTCAATGCTCATCCCTCCCGCACACAGATGCCGGGCTCCTGCCCCGGCTCACCTTCTCGGCGACGTCGTACATGCACACAAACTTGCTGTTCCCCCCCGCCACCAGGTACGCCCCGTCCGCCGAGTACGCCAGCGTGTGGAAGCACTTGCCCGCCGCGGAGCTGGCTGCGGTCTGACGGTCCGTCGCGAGGCGCCCCCCGGCAATGTCGCGCCGGCCTTCAATGGTGCCCGTCTGGACGCCCTCGAAGGGGTCCCAGAATGCGATCTGCGCGTCGAGCGTGCACGCGGCGAGCTGCTTGCCGTCGGGGCGGTATGCCAGCGCCAGCACGTCGCGGTTGTGCTGCAGCACCTCGGTGCCGCCCTTCCCCGAGAACACGTTCCACAACCGCACCGTGCCGTCCCACGACGCAGACGCCAGCAGCTCCTGCGCAGGCACAAAGCGCGGTCGAGACGAGGACAAGGAAGGTAAAAGGCCCCTGACCTTTGCTCCAAAAATATTTCACTGGGCGAGCCGATCGATCTCTCGTAGAAGGACGCTTGAACGAACACCTTTAGCGGACTACGAAGAAGAGCAGCAAGGATGTGATCAGCTTGAGAGTCGAGCCCTGAGGACGAAGGCGGCAGGGTGGCAGGCAGAACTTACGTGTGTGGGGCTGAAGGAGAGGCCGTAGATGGGGCCCTCGTGGCCACTCAGGACGTCGAGGAGCCGGCCCGTCTTCATGGACCACACGAAGAGCTGCACGGACAACAATCAACATCAATCGACAGGGTGTCGTAACTGAAGACGGATCTTCGAGCGCAAGCTAGCTCCGGGAAATACATGACCTAAACTTTGCCGCAATCAGAAGGCTTCAATTTAAGAAACGTACGAGCAAGATGACTTGAGGATACGCGCCAATGAGCGCCCTATTCCAAAGACGAGCGAATACAAAAAGCGGAATGATGATGTAACAACTCACCTGGAAGGTATCGAGGGAGCCTGCCACGACGACTTCCCCGCTGTTATCCACGGCCAGGCTCACGAATTGCGCGGGGGAGGGGGAGGTGAAGGTGCGGAAGTTGCGGTAGCGCACCAGGTCGAAGGCGCGCACTGTCCCATCCAGCGAGGCGCTCAGGACGGCATGGCCGCTGGGGGCAAAAGCGACCGCAGTGATGGGCATCTTGTGCTCTGTGAAGGTCACGAAGCAGAAGCCCGAACCCGCATTCCAGATCTGCAAGAGGGGTGAGGAAGTGAGGAAAAGCAACCTGGCACGACTGCGCTTGGGGCTACATGGGCATTTCCAAGAGATTCGAGACAAGCCGAGATTGCCGAAAGTCCTTGACTGTATAGATGTCCTGCCTTGCAGGAAAGAAGGGGGAGCAGACTAGCAAATTGAAGACACTTAACAGAAGATCGTCCTTCGTGTGATCTTCTGGGTTATCACTTTGATTGTAAGTCCAAATTCACGCTGTTGGATTAAAGAATGCAGGCTAGATACCCAGTCGAGACATCTGTCAGATGCCTCAGATAGGCCCCAAGAGCACTCTTCAACAGGACCAGCCTCCGGTCAAACCTATACAAGGCTGCGACCCCTGGCCATCTTCCTCTCGAGATCGGAGCCAGATCGGAATATCCCGCACATGAACGCAACACCTACCTTGAGCTTGGCGTCATCCGCGCCCGTCGCGATCAGCTGCCCGTCCCCCGCATACGCCAGCGTGTTGACGTCGTAGTAGTGTCCCTGCTGCTTGAGCACGTATGTCTCGCTGCGCCACTCCCACACCAGCAGCTGCCCGAGCTTGGCGCACCCCAGCCCCAGCCACTCCCCATTGCTGCTGAACGCCACACTCGTCAGCGCCTCCTTGCTCACGCTCAGCAGGTGCAGCGCCGCAAAATCGGGGAGCTGGTACAGCCCAAACACCCCGCTGCTGAACCCCGCCACGAGCAGATTCAACCCCGGGTGGTAGTCGGCGCACGTCAGCTTGGCCGCCTGGTGGAAGAAATGCTTGCCCTCCAGCCGCCAGCTGCCCCGGCCCCGCGGTCGTTGCCGCGACCGCCACGGTTCCGCTTCTCGCCCGGTGGTCGAAGGAGCGTCCTCTGCGGAGTGGCCGTTCTCCGCACCCCTGTTCGAAGCCTCCGCTTCGTCCTCGTCCATGTCTCCGTCCTGCTTGCTCGGCCCAGCCTCTTCCTGCGCAGGCTCCAGCCGCCACTCAAACAGCGCCCCATCGCGCGAGACAGAGTACGCCCCTGTTGCCGCACCCTCCGCATCCCTGATCCAGAATACCCCCACCAGCACGTCCCGATGGCCCGTCAAAGTGAACGGCTTGTACCCATGCACTGCATCCCTGTCGAGTCCATATACCCGCACCGTGAGATCCTTGCACCCGGCCAGCACTGAACGCGAGTCCGGGCTCCAATCGACGCAGGTGACCTGGTCATGCGCGCCCGTGAACGAGTGCACGTGCTGGAAGGGCGCGAACTCCTTGCCCAGCCCCGGGGTGCGCCACACCTCCACCTTCTTGCCCACCGCCGCTGCAATGAGCTGCCCGTCGGGACTGAACTTAATGGCGGCCACGGGGGCCTTGAAGCTGAGGTGGTGCAGCACTATCCTGCGTGGCAGATTGGCTAAGATGCACCGCCCCTGCTCGTCCACACTGAGCAGGAGGACGCCGTTAGGGGACAGCGCGATGCGGGTGATGTTGTGGGCCTGCTCAAAGGGCAGCGTCACCGTGTCCGAGGTGGCGAGGTCCACCAGGCTGACGCGGTTGCCGACGGGCGTCAGCAGCTGCTTGTCCCCAGCCAGCAGCACGTTGCCACCCCGGTATGGGGCGCCCAGCAGGTTGGAGAATTTGAAATTCATGGCGGGCAACGGCGCAGCTGCAGAGCTAGCCGAGGAAGGAGGGGGCGGCCATGGAATGCTGACTATGAGCGCTTGATAATGGGGGAGGAACACAGGCCGTTACCAGCGCGATAGGCGATGGGTGCTTTTGCCCAATATAATAGTCTTATCAATTGGCGATGTGATATTGAGATTGTAAATTGCATGGAATTTTGAATTGCCGTTCCTCTAGACGGCTAAAAAAGCGGCCTGGGATGGATTCTGATTTCTCGAGTATTCTGTGCACAGGGTACTCAGAACCGGCAGGGAAAGATGCCGTTCTCAACCATGCTTGTCGATGCTTTTCGGATTGTTTTGGCCCTTGCAGTTAAATTTGCTTGGGGCCGACCACGTATGCTACCCACATGCAAAGGCCCATGCAACAGGAATCAGGATGCTGTGCAGCTTGATTCAGGCTCGGACTCAGAGTCAGAGTCAGAGCTGGAGACGGGCTTCAAGTTCAAAGTGCTTTCACCCTGAGTCAGTGCTGTTTTGAGTGAACAGCTTGAAGCTGGAACTCAAAGTCAGTACGTAGCCTTAGGGCCGGGGACGCATGTTTGGGGGGCGCTCTTCGCATCCCGTGAGGCATGGCTGCAAGATCACAGGGGGTGAGCAGCCTGTACGCCAAGCAGTGGTCACACAGGGTTGGCACCCTTAGATCTGCTTGCAAGCTGACAGGTAGAGAATCCCCTCACAAAGTTCTTTCGCAAAACAGTTTGAGAAGCCGTCTTGAGAGGGCTTCACCGCACCAGGTGTCCAGTCTGGGAGGTAGTTGTGTTTCTTCTCTGACCTTGTTCCAGCAACGCAGAGAGCAGCGCCGCAGCCAGTACGGTGGACACAGCAAAAGGAGATCCGCAGCTAAGCGGCCGCCCATCCGCCAGCTGGCAAAGCAGGGCAGGAGCGGGCCTGCACAGTGCGCACCTATTACAGTGCAAGGCCGCGTTGAAGAGCCTGCAACGTCGGAGCGACCCCTGAGCTCAACTTTTCACCAGTTTACGCCAGGAAAGGATGATTCCGAAGCACACGCAAGCTCCAGCTTTGCACCAGCCCCAGAGGCGCATCACCTTGCAGGATCAAGCAGCTCGCTGTCCCTTTCCTCTGCAAGCAAAGTTGTTCGGACTCTTCTGATTGACAACTATGACAGCTACACGTACAACCTGTACCAGATGCTGGCCGTCATCAATGGAGGTGGGTCTCCACTGAAGCAGCATCACCTGGTAGTCGTGCAGAACTCTGGGTCGCCAGTATCCAGGCCACGCGCCGGTGGTGTCAAGATCTAGCTTTGTCTGTACCGTGCAAGACTCTAGGTCGATCACAAGCCAGGCCCGTGCGTCTACTCTTTATCGATCTGATGATGGTCATAATCTAGTATCGCCAATTCCTGCTGAGCAGGTTCAATATCAAGATGGGCTGCTCCTGGCATGCTTAAGAGGAACTTTTGGCTGATTTTATGTGCAGCCCCCCCGGTGACCATCTTCAACGACCAGCTGTCCTGGGAGGAGCTGCGGCCCCTGCTCCTTGGGCCATCGCGCGCATTTGACAACGTGGTCATCTCGCCAGGGCCAGGGACGCCAGAGAAGCCGCAGGACACAGGTGAAACCTGGCTCTCTGCTCCTGGTGGACCGCTCCCTTGGAATCTGTGGCAGGGGTCATTTCAAAATAGATACTTTATTTCTGTTCCTTCAAGTAGAGGCTGATCAGCTGAGCCTGGGAATACTCTGCCCGTGCAGGCATCTGTGCACGTGTCTTTGCTGAGTGCCCCGACTTGCCTGTCCTGGGGGTGTGCCTGGGCCACCAGCTGCTGGCGCACGTGCACGGGGCCACCGTCACTCACGCCCCGCAACCGGTGCATGGCCGCCTCAGTGAGGTGGAGCACACTGGGCACCGCCTCTTTGCGGGCATCCCATCTGGCGCCACAGCGGGGTTTAAGGTGAGGCGCGGATGCACTTAAGATCCACGTTTGCAACTTGTGTCGGAAACAGGGGCCTTGCTCGTGCAGCCGGAGCTAGTGTGTTGTGACTTGAGGGTTTTCAACCATGGAAGCAGTTAAGCGACAAAGCTGATGCCTTGAATTCACCCCAAGAGCGAGATTCGCAAGTGTCAGGGTGTCTGCTTTCTGCTCCCCTTGCCTCAGACGACTCCACTCATAGCGTATGCTTCATCAGGAAAGGCTGATGCACTTTGTGGGCCCCACCAGGTGGTGCGCTACCACTCGCTCATCGTGGACCCCAGCACCCTGCCCGCCCACCTGGTGCCCACTGCCTGGACCGTGCCGGGGGCGCAACCAAGCAGCAACGCCGAACCAGCCAAAGAGAGCACTTCCGCAAAAACGATGGCGCCCATTAATGGGAAAGGCAATCACAGCTCCAATGGCCTGCACTCCGCAGGCAACGGTGGGGCTGAGTTGTTGCCCCTTGAGGATACACGCTTGCCGACAGCTGGCGCACCTAGCTTTGCCTCAAAAATCACGGCCAGAGGAACGGGTCCCGATCTAGTTGCTGGGGGGATCCCTCGGGGGTCTCTCCTGATGGGGGTGTCACACCGGTGGCTGCCCCACCACGGGGTGCAGTTCCACCCGGAGAGCATCGCTACGGCCTACGGAGAGCGGCTGCTGCGCAACTTCTTTGAGATGACCGTGGAGCGCTGGAACGGGAACCCTGCCGGAACCAGCAACGGACAGCACGCTCAGCTTGTGAACGGGCAGCACTCCAAGCGGCTCGAGGCCCTGTGCCAGGGCGGGGAGTGGCTCTGTTCGATCGACAACTCTGTCAACGGGCAGGCCCGAGATTCGGAGCAAAGCATGGGGGAAAATGGCGGTCAGGACAAGGGATTTTCTGGAGTGCCGGCGCAGTTGGGCCTTGCTCCTGAGAGGACTGACTTACCACTTGAGGTCCAGCCAGGGCGGCATCGCGTTGTGTGGCAGAAGCTGGCGGACGTCCTCACGGACGGCTGCGATTCGGAAGAGCTCTTTATGCAGCTGTACGGGCGGGCGGGCGGGGAGGAGGCCTTCTGGCTCGACAGCTCAAGCACGGCTGCGGTAAGGCCACTTACCCAGCTTTGGACCCGCACGCAAAAACGCCTCTTATGCATTTGCCACTGGCCGTGGACAGCAAGACGCAGCCCACGTCATCTGCTGTGACTGCGGGCAGCAATACTATCGGGCCCCGGCGGTGGGCAGGCACATCTTTCGTGTGCCTGCCCCGATTCTACGAGACTTTCCTGTACACATGAGTCTGACGCTCGTTGCGTGCAGGGTCGGGGGCGTTTCTCGTTCATGGGCGGGAAGGGTGGCGACCTGTGGCGGAAGGTGACGTACTTTCTCGAGGACGCAGCTGAGCAGCGACCGGAGGCAGGACCAGTCGGCGGGCGCCTGATCGTGCAGGACGCGGGGGGGAAGGAGACGGAGGAGCGGCTAGCTGGCAGCATCTTCGACTATCTGGAAGAGGTGAGCGAAACGGAAAGAAAAGCGGCGCATTGGTGGCTACCTTATGGCGTTTTGCAGTTGTGATGCATCAGTGATCTTCTCACGGCACAGAGAATGCACTCAGGCCATGTCTGGAAATCTGTGGCGACTGCCAGCATCTTCACAAAAGGTAGCCCGGTCTAATGGTTGTACTGCAGTGACTGCTCATTGGTTGAACTGAGAACGCCTTTACGACCCCGCCTTTTAGGGTGCTGATTTCTTTGAACCATCTTACTTGTTTTGAAGGTCCTGAGGTTTTTGATTCTTCCTCTTCCCAGGAGTTGCGGACTCGGCGGTGCCCCCCCAGCGACGTGAGCGCGCTGCCGTTCGACTTCTGCGGGGGCTTCGTGGGGTACCTCGGGTACGAGCTCAAGCGCGAGTGCGGGGCCGCCGCTAACAAGCATGCGTCGCCGTTCCCGGACGCAGCCTTCTTCCTCGCGGACCGACTGATCGCCGTGGACCATACCGAGGGGGACGTCTATCTAATGGAGCTTGTAGATACGAAAACAGGCCAGGCGGCAGAAGCGTCTGCGGCAGGGTCAGATGACGTAGTCGATTACGCCGAGGGTTCTCGTCAAATCGTAGCCAGTGCAGTTAGCAAGGAAGGGAATACCTTGGAAGAGAGCGAGAATGCATCTAGGCGTCCAGTCAACACGTCTTGGATAGACACAACGGCTGATTTTATAAGAACACTCTCGGAGGCCGCGAAAAAGAAATCAACGATAAATGAAGTTGGGAACCACCGGGATGCCTCAATACCAGCAGAAGCAAAGGATAACCGACCAGCAGATGGCGTCGCCGGCACGACAGCGTCTCAGTACGTTGCAGACGTGCAGAAGTGTATGGACGAGATTCGAGACGGCGAAACCTACGAGGTGAACGCAAACGCGGCGCCTGTCCTTCAAGCAGACGGCTGTGGTTGGGACCCATCTCTCCCTGAGTGCGTCATTCGCCCTTGAAGAACCCGTGTTTACTCATCTCCGAGGCTTGATGTCCGCGGCCTTTAAGGTGAAAAGCCTGTACGTGACCATGCGCTACAGATCAGATATGGGAGCAAGACGACGCTTTTCAGCAGTCGTCGAATTGAACGCTGCCATTTTTGGCCCCAGGTGTGTCTGACCACGCGGCTGCACCCTGCTGCTGCCGTGGCCGACCCGCTGTCGCTGTACCGGCACCTGCGGAACGTCAACCCGGCCCCCTACTCGGCGTGGCTGTCGCTCGGCGCGGCCGGCCCCGCGGTCGTCTGCTGCTCCCCGGAGCGCTTCCTCAAGCTGGACCGCCACGGCGTGCTTGAGGCCAAGCCCATCAAAGGTCAGGCCCCGCACTACTGGACCCGGGCCACTGCATGCGTGTCGTGTTGTCCGAAACTCCTTCGGTTGCTGCTTCGCCGTATTATACGGACGAGCACTTTTTGTCCCGCTTTGTGAGGAGGGTCTGTGCGCCGGAGGGCAGTGAGGGTGGCCCCATCAGGTTGCTCTGTGATGCAAGTAATGTTGACACTTCCTGTGATCCTGATTGCCAGGCACGAGCCCCCGCGGCGTTGACGCAGCGGAGGACGCGTGGTTGCGCGAGCAACTGCGCACAAGCCCCAAGGAGCGTGCAGAGAACTTGATGATCGTGGACCTGCTGCGGAACGACCTGGGCAAGGTGTGCCAGGTGAGAGATTCCCTTCGGGCAGAGCAGCGGGGACAGAGGCACTTCGCAGGGAGCGGTAGCGACAGGATTTAAAGTTCGTTCGTCGACTCCAATCACTCAAGCCCGCAAGGGTCGTCGAAGCAATCACTTTATCCGGGTTTCGGACACTTCTGGACGTATTTTCTATGCTACTTGTCATGTCCAACGAGATGCTTGCCCGCGCCCCTGAACCCCTTCGTGCTCCACTGTGCAACAGGTGGGGTCGGTGCACGTGCCGAGCCTGATGGCCATCGAGTCATTCGCGACGGTGCACCAGCTGGTGAGCACCGTGCGCGGGCGCAAGCGGCCCGACGTGGGCCCGCTGGCGTGCGTGCGGGCAGGCTTCCCGGCGGGGTCCATGACCGGTGAGATCGCCGCTTCCAAACGGCCCTTTGCTGACCCACCCCTTATTTGCATAGGGCGCTACATCCGTTAAGGCAAGTGCTCTGTGCTGGCAAATTGTTTCTGTCAACTCTCGGTATTCTCTGGGGAGCGTAAGAAAGCGTCAGGCAGCGCGCCGGTCCCTTTGACTCGTTGTGATCCGTTTCTGCATTCTGAATGACGTGAAACTGTCGAGTCCGCTAACAATCCAGACTTTACCTGACGACGCTTCCACACCATTGCCACTGCAGGCGCCCCCAAGCTGCGGACGATGGAGATCATCGACGGCATTGAGGACAGCGCGCGTGGAGTGTACTCGGGTGCGCTGGGCTTCTTCTCCGTGAACGGCACCTTCGACCTCAACGTCGTCATCCGCACTGCCACGTGGCACGAGGACCGCGTTACGATTGGTGCTGGGGGCGCAGTGGTCGCGCTTTCGGAGCCGGAGGCTGAGTATGCAGAGATGCTGCTCAAAGCGCAGGCGCTCTTGAAAGCCATCAAAGCGACTAGCAAAGCGGGCAGGAACGGGTCGCCAGTAGCAGCAGCTAAGTAATCAGGAGTGCCGAGCTCGTGATTTTGGAGTTAGTGATGAGAAGGCCACCCCTTCTGGCACCAACGTCAGCCGCAATCTCTGTTGACCGTGGCGAGCAGCTGTTCAGTCTTGCGCCCGCTTCGTTTTGAGGACGTGGCATGCCCAAGGCGGCCTCACCGCACGCAGTGCTCCGCATATATCCCAGCACGCGAAGTTTGCCTCGTCGGGTATGACAAGATACATATCGTGCTTTGTCGATCACGCAGCAAGTCTGGACTGACAGGCTGACACGTCAAATTGTTTTCTAGCTTGCGAGGCCTTCATATCTAAGGTGTGAGTTCAGAACTTCGACCCGAGGAATTGGACCATACGACAAAAGGATTCCAACCTAGATAAAAGATGGTCGGCAAACGATCGAACTCCCGTCTCACGTGACAAAGAATATTGTGCTTCTTGCAAAAGCGGACCACTGCGGGATCTACTCTTTGAAAATGCAGTGTGTGGATTTTATACGTGCGTATACACCACACATATTTCCAGATCACACATGATGTGGTGCCAGAGCACATGTTGATCAGTGTATACACATGCCCCTGAAAATTGATTATATAGCTCGCGCGTTCGACACGGCGAAATTGCATGAACTTGTGTTGCATGCGCACTGGATTGTTATACCTACGTGCAAGGGTAGATGCGTTGTGGCGGGCGTACGTTGTTGTAATGGTTGGATGACGCAGCTTGCATGCCCGGTTGCAGCTTGCTGAGTACTGGCTGTGTGATGACAGACCTGCCAGTCGTGTTGCTGCCGAATTCATTGAAAAATGAAATTAATGCACCTGCGCCCAAATGAATTGCATTTCTGTTCCTACAAACGGCATCATAGTTGTGCCGGTTCTGGAGCTGTCAAGCTCGCAGCAGCAACTTGACTCCAGCTCAAACCCTGCATGTCTGTCCCTTGACGTGCCCTGACGACTCTTCGTACCGTTATGTCAAATTAAGGATGAAAAGCACTTTTTGGGACAAATGTCCTTTTCAGGCAAAATTTAAGACTTTAAAATGGACAGATTGCTCTCAATGTCTCATGTTCAACCTGTGAAGCAGGGGAGAGGTCGAGGAAGCACGATTGCTGCGTTGCTGGTGGCAGCAGCCAGTCCATTTGGAGCATGCGGAAACAGAGGCTCATTCCTTTGTCTGCAGCTTCGACTTTCTCTGCAAGATTGTGCGATGCTCACAATCCGCTTGTCCAAGTTGAATCCTACTCAAAAGCGCAGGTACTTCTTACCACCATTCTTACCTCCCAAGTTTCAACAAGTCAAGTAGTAATAGCAGCTCATACGTCACACCATTGATTGTGCATTTCTTGTCTCAAAACACTGGGCAACTGGGGACAGGCTTTCTTTTCCTTATTTAATCTCATAATTGCGAACGGCACCCTGTTGACAAACGTTGCTGAAAAATAAGGAACTCAACAGAAGTGTTATTCCTGCAAGAATAGTCAAGGCTCGGAAGTTTTCAGACCTGGAGGCCAGTCATCACGAGAGCCCACAGATACTCCTGATTCTGAAGCAAGGCGCCCTTGCTGACAGAAATGCTCATTGGCTGGCAATCCACTGAAAGCATACTTCAGAATGCAGAGTGACGGTGGCCTTCGGCATGTAACTTGGGCCGACAGGACAAGCAACGTCATTGACAAGGTACAGAAATTCTCTCAGCTTTGGTCCCCCCTCCATTTGAAATCTGAGCAGTCAGCCCTGGTGTCTAGATCTAATCCTTGGAAGCACCGCTTTTGGAATGAGTTCAAATTTTATTCTACACAGGATTGAGCTGGGAAGCTTAGGTGTCTGAGCAGGGTGCCGAAGCGTTCTCTATTCAGATTGATAAGTAGCTCAATATGCCAGTTCTTCGCAGCATAGGTGCCAGCAGCATTGCCCCTTGAAATTTGATGTCCCTTAGCTTTCTACTTTGGCACAGGCCTTGAAGTGCCACCATGGAGACGAAACGTCTCTTCTTAATGGATGTGGACGACCTTTTGAAAGTGTGGGAAGAGGTGAGCTTGCGCCTGTAGCTTTGGGAGCTTTTCTTAGCTCACCTGGCTTTGCTCTGTTTGAGAACTTAGCTTTTCACTCGCGCACCCGTTGACTATAGCATCATTGTCTATTGTGAAAGCCCCGGCTAATTGAATCTAGTTATAGCGAGTATCAAGGCGTCTTTTGATTCTGATGAGGCCCCGGGAGAGCAGAATCCAGGTCACGCGGTTTCCTGCTGCTGATTGGCGTTGAGATTTCCAGATGGCTGTGCAGGGCCGCTCAACAAGTTTTGCAGATTTCAAAATTCTCTGGAGAGAGAGAGAATTTTGCTTCATCCATGAAGGCCGACCAAAAGGTCTGGACCGCAGGGAGTTTCTTCAGACGCTGTACACCACAGCGCTTGGTATGTTTCACCTCCTCAGCATCTGTCTTTTTGTTAGCAATATAAGCTTGTACTTTCTAAGACACCTTCAGGCAAGAGCTCTTCTCATTGCAACTTGGATTCTATTTCTGCATCCATGTCTATGCACTCATGCCAGTCAGATAGTTCCCTCTGAAACTCACACCCTAAAGCGTTACAAGGTTTTGCGGAGGCGCATACTGCAGCTTTTTGCCCGCGATGTTCCTTAAGATTCCCCGGCGTCGACACACAATTAGTGTGATATGCTGGCAATAAAATCAAACTGATTCAAGGTTGCATTTATCACCATGCAGAAGTCCTCGGAAGGTTTAGCAACAGCTTGTACCTGAAAGTGGGGGCTCTATACCTGATATACGTGCTGTTTGAGACCCAGCCGGGTTCCCATAAGCAGAGGGTCAGGATCTACATGTCCCCAGGTGATAATTCCTCCGCTTGATGATGCCACCTTTTCTCGAGGCTGTGTACCCCAAGTTCGACCTGTTACAATGATGCCAAAACGGTTCTACCTTTGCTACAAGCCTGCTATTCCACCTGAAGCCTCTCTTTTAATCCCTTAATAAATCCTGATCTCTATAAAACTTTTCAAGGAGGCCTGCGCCCTTGCACCCCATTGGCGTGCTGGCCTCCTCTTCGTTGACATGTCAACTTCATGAGCTTGATGAGAAAGAGGCGTTTCATGCGGGCCTTCCTTGAACACCAGCACCTTAGAGAACCCATGAACGCAAAAGACGCCCTGGTTCGTATCTAATCTTAACATAGCCACTCCTAGGAGCTTTGAAAAGTGAAGAACTTGTTGTCAACGTTGCTTGGTTTTATACACTCTGCAGAGGACTTGACGGCGTTTCGTGTCCTGGTGACCGAGGCCTGTCAGCAAAACCTGGCGGATGCGGCTATGATCGCAAGCCACTTGGTGCAGTCTGGCGCCCTGCTGTTGGGAGCGGTGCATAACCGGCTGACAGGGGACGCTTTGCGAGACCCCGCGGCCATGATACAGAGGCTTAAAGAAAGGTCAGTGCGAAAGCCGCTTCGAGCTCGAAAAGTTTCTTGGAGCCGGTTGTGTAGCTGTGACCATGACGAGAAAGAATTGACTAATCAGGGACGTGTTCACTCCAACCGTGCATGAGTTGCGCGTCTTGATTTCGCGTCTTGTTGTTGGGAGGAACTACCAAACTTCTGTTGTCTGTTTTCGTCATCGCGAGCAGCCGTGGAAGCTGCGTAGTTTCTCGATCGGCATTCGGTGCAGTTCTCGAAGTGCTGCTTCTTTTCTTTTGCGGACGTGTTAGATTCATCAAGTTCGGAGATGCATCTGTTGCTGAAAGTGCAATCTATGAAGAAGGATCTCTCTCTACTCGACAACGGTTCTTGATGTGGCGGAATGCCTTCCCGTAGCAAGCAAACAACTGACCCCTCGACTGTTCGCGCTTCCTTGCAGGCTGCTTCCAAACGCAATGCTGGAGGATCATTTCGCGAGCTCAGTGGTGAGGCCGATATGCGCATCGTGCTTTGAAATTATAACCGAGTCGTTAGAACTTTACAATCGCGGGGCAATGAGCTTCGCTTCTGACAATAACGCATGCTTGTCTCCTTGCGCTTATGATTCGTCCTGCATGCAATCTCGAGTTGCGACCTTGCAAGCTCTGCGGACTTTGTAGGCGGAAATTGGTCAACGCGCTCTAGTGCCTGATTAAACTTCCTGACTTGGCACCGCTTCTTTGCGTATACAGTTCCAGGCCCGTTCCTGCTCTGAATCAGCAACTTCCCCTTTGTGAATCCTCATGTCTTTGAGACCGGGGCCTGTCCAATAGGACTTTGAAAGCTCGCACGACGCAACCTACGTCGTGCTTTTGTACATCGCAAAACACCCTTTAGCAAAGTGGGCCTCTTGAATCACAAGTAGCTTAACCATAGGATTTCAGGGCGTTAGTTGTCGTGACGAGAGCTGCGGTAAGGTTTCCACTTCTTCTCACCAAGGTTCAGGCTTTTCCGCTGTGGCCCATCCTATCTCCATAATGAGAGGCTTTGAGCAGCTCGTGATGTGCTCGTCGTATTTGAGGCCTCTCATCCAGCGGCTTTCGTCTCTACTTAAGCCATTTTTCTTCGGCGTTTCTCCGAGATACTTACCTACTTTCGAGCTTTTTGTGACCTGACAAGCAGGCACCAACATACAGCAAGTTTGGTGATCCGTTGTAAAAAGGGCAGACATAGTTATTTGCGTGCAGGGTGACTCGCTGCCGCTGAGTCAAGTGGATCAGGACGCCAGGAACTACAACGAGGCTCGAAAACGGCTGGTCGCGGGTAAGTGCACTGTTTATCCACCAGTCCAGTTTTCTTCTGCTGCAATCCTAGCGGCTTCTGCTCAGATTGAAGGTGTCGCTCTTGTTGACGATTGCGACGTAGGTCCCCCTGTGACACGTGTCAATTTGGCTTAGGCAGGTTGGCAGTGTTAAAAGAGCAATTTCAATGCCGCCTGCTTGACGGACTTCGAGCCTTTATCGTAGTACGGTTGGAATGAAAGAGTTCGGGACACGCCGGACGACCCCCCCTGCATCCCTCTCGCCGAAGACTTGCTGCGCACTAGCAAACCGTCGCTGTATCTCAATCCAAGCACTCACCGACGCTTTTCCCCCTCCATTGCAGCCAAACATGGTCCCCTGGCTGAAACGGAAGATCCTCCTTACCTCTCTATGGCCGAGGACTTGCTTCGCACCAGCGCCGCACTCGACCGCACCGTCCGCGCAACCCTCGCTACGCCCGCGCGCCCCACAGCCCGGCGGAGCGCCACGCCGGCCGCTGACAACAGCGCCAGGGTAGAAACCCCGGCTGACGTTAGCACGAATCTGGATCACGTCAGCGCCAGGCTCGACGAAGTGGGCCGCCGCACGGACCCGCGTGCTGACGTCAGCGGTGGAGACGGCCCCGAGACGGAGGCTGTCGCGCCATTGCCGGGATTCATTACGGACCTGTCGCTGCCGATGCAGAGCATGCCGAGCATCCCCGGAATGCCTGGGCTCACAAGCGCTATGACGGAACCGGTGCGTTATCTTTTTGCTCTTTACCCTCCGTCGTTCTGGTTTGCCGACTCTTCGTGCTCCGCGGCAGAGTTCGAGCGGTTGACTGGGGTTTGCTGTGAAGAAAAATGTCAAGGCAACTGTAGCGAGCCCCCTTGAAACGCCAGAAGACCGGTTACAAAGCTACTCGTACGATGGAACTCGGAAAATTGCGAACTTCCACAGAAGTAGCGCCCGGGCCTTTGCGATTGATGCTAGTTCCGCCTGTTCTCAAGAGCGCGCGCGTTGTGTGGCTCTCAGGATTCGCCCGGTTCGATTCCATCTTCGTCGTTTACATCCAGACGAAGGTTGATTTCTCTTTACTCGCTTTTGTCCTACTGTGCAAGCGGACTTTCAAGATGCTGCCTCTGCACGATACCTCTAATGTCAGCAATTGCATCTGGCAGATGGAGGTGGAGCGACTTGAGTCGCCGTCGAGGGTCGAGGATGAGGATCTCGACGAGGACGAGCTACGGCGTGAGATGGACGCTCTCGAGGCCGTTGATGAGGAGGAGCACCCGGATCCGACGGCCAGCAACGCCCCGGGACCCAATAGACGGTCATCCGAGCAAGATGCTTGGAGATCAATACCTGGTCGGCAACACCAAGACATTGACGGTCGAATAGAGCCTGCGGAAAAGCAGATGAACGGCCGTGTTCTTGGCAACCACGCAAGTAACGGTCGGGAGGACGAAAGTAGAGCGGTACTTACAGGGGAGAGGATGGAAGAGGAAGATGGGAACGGGGTGCTGGACCGGCGAAGGACTGGGTTCAGTGAGGAGGAGTTTAACAGTGACGAGGACGTTGACTTTCGAAGGCCCTTGCCCAGAGCTCACTCTCCGTTACGATAAGACCGGTTGTCTTCTTATGTTCGCAGGCAGTTGGATAATGTACATGACTGATCTCCTCAGCCGACGAATTGTTGGCTCGTCATGAAACACCCCCCGCCCCGAGTTCCGCATGGAATGCGAGGCTTGAGCCGGTAGAATTACCTCGTGCGAGCGCCGCATGAAAGTTTTGATCAGCGTCTGCATGATGCGGCATGGCCTGCGGCGGATATGCAGCAAGCGACTCACACTCAAATAGGAAGCATTGGCCACCGCAAGAGGCTCCAATTTCATGCAAGTCAATCGTTCCTTCATTGAAATGAAAGTCCTTGCTTGGCAGCATCATCATTTTCAATCCGGAAAGAGCCAATTAACGAAAGATTTTACATCACTTCGATATCGTAGTACATGTGCACGTACGTGTCAAGTGTGAGTGATGAGTCCGACATGACGTATATGCACACGTACAATCCATATATGGTCGCCCTGTCTGCAACCAGGCATCGATCCAGATTTCAACCTCTACCGTATGTGTAGAGAAGATCGAGTTCAGATGCAACCAAGCGAGGGGACATATGCTTGATCATGCAAGCAGCAAAAAAGTTGCTCAGAATCGAGGGCGAGTGCAACGTGCATGACCACATGGGCGGATTGCCGGGCAGTACCCTGAGTGACTGAGTAACCTACCTCCGACAACTCAGGCTTGAAAGAACGGATGTTTCAGTTTGACTTTAGCAGACTAAGCAGGCGGCGGACTCTAACATGCCTGCTTGTCAATGTTACGCGCGCATGCCGCTCATTAGTTCCGGAGGGACGTCGTATTGACAACCTTGTCACTGCGGATTATCAAGGCGCAGGCATCAACGGCAGGCAACGTTTTTGGTCGATATTGGTTGTCATTGAGATTGCCGACTAGGCAAAGGAGACGACGCGTTTCACCTGGTAGCATACAGGTGGTTGTGGGAGCTGCTCCCTGCTTGTTACAAGCTCGATTGTCCATTAGCAATCTTAACCACAGTAATCCGCTTTCTTGAGGACGTACTGCAGAGGTACTATCTACAAGCCCAGCTTGATACAGCAGCTGATGTACTCCGCATCTGTTGCCGCGAGCTTGTGCTCGCCTTGCCTGGCTTGTCGTGGGTTGCAGCAGGGAAGCGGATGCTCCGCTACGGAAAGTCCATCCGGATGTTGGTCACGTCCAATTGCAGAATGTCGGCTTCGCATCCAAGGATGGACCCAACACTGCAATGCAACAGGAAAGAGCTGACTGCCCCTCGATTCTGTCTCAGGAGATCGCTGACTTCAGTCCAATTGAGCAGATCTTCGTTCTCGGACTTTGGTGGCCAGGTCTCGAGGCCTGAAAGAGTGTGAAGAGCCTCCTGGATTTGACGGGTCGTCGTCAGCAAGCCAAGTCACAACAGCAGCTTTCGTCCGAAAGAGCGTTTCCAGTATCTGGAACGGCCTAGATGCGCTGCGTTGCTGGGAGAGTGCTCACTTGGGGTGCGTTCGGCCGAGGTCCCCGTGCACAAACTCCTTGACGTACGTCCCCGCCTGCACGGGCCAAGGTGCGGAGCCACGTCGAGCGGAGCAACGGACAGCACGATTCACGTGTACAACAAGAAACAGTTGGAAAACGGGTACAAAAACAGGCTTTGGTGTTCGTGCCGGACCGAGATAAATGCCAAACGAGGTTGCGGGGAGCGAAGGGGGTGAGGGGCTGACCTGCGTGCAGAGGTGGAGCAGCAGGTAGTGCGGCTTGGCGGCCACCCGCTCGGCTCGCATGCTGCACACCGCACAGCCAACGCAGAAATCAGTGGGCGGGGCCAGAGATGGCCACCAGAGAGACGACCGTAACAGGCAATAGAAACGAGGCCGAGCGGAACGCTTGTGTCCGCCCCTTGGCAAAGCAGGGTTGCCTAAGTAAGATCTGCTTGCATTATGCAATCCGCTCCATAGTTTGATCCCAGAAATGTTTGATGCATCTTGAGGGTTTCTTCTTGAGAGTCTAACCGTGGTGATGCTCATTGCGATCAACACTTGTGAGTACACTTGTACTAAGGTAATCAGTGACATAGCGGCAGGAGGGTAGGGCGGGAGTGCACCTGTGGATGGTGCGCGGCCGGATGAGCGGGCTGCGGCGGTGCAGCACCCGAATGGGCGTGCGCTGCTGGACCACCTGCACCGCACACGGACGCTGCGTTTGACGAGTGCACCGGCCTCCATAGCGCTTCTCCTCATTAGCCGGGCATTGCACGTGCAGCCTTTGCGTGCTTACGAGAGCATGTAAGAAGGTCGAGCATACGGAAAGAGGGGCCCAGAGGTCGGGAGAGCAGAACCCCGTAGGACGACGCAGCAACACGTTACAGGAGCAGACGGCGACTTGCCAGGTCGCGCATGCCGTTCAGCTTGTCCACGTCGGCCTGGGTCGCGGGGCGAGGCAGCCACACAATGGCCGCGTACTCTTTCTGCAACGAGCGAGAACGAGCGGTCAGCTGCGGGGACCAAGGAAAGAGGATGCCCTGTGGCCAGCCCAGCGCGATAGAAAGTCCTCGTTCCAAGACCGCAAAACACGACTTAAAGAGTGGCTCCCGGATGCTCATGTTTACGCCCTCATCCTCGAATCAAGGCAGAGTATTTCGTAACCCTTGCACAAAACAAGACATTAGCGACCAGCGACAACCGCTGCGGAAGGCCCCTGCGCCGGATGCCCCGACAGGCTGGCCCTGTGAGGCCCGCGGCGGTCACCTGTTTCTCGGCCTCGCCCTCCCGCAGCAGGTCCACCTGCGAGCGGTCCACCAGCGCCAGGTCGCGTACCGCTACCTGCACCACCCGAGATCCCAGTCAATGTTAGGTGGGACGTGTGGGGTTAGTTCAGGGTTAGGGTGGATACGGGGGCGGTTCGCTTGAACCTTTGGTTAGGACTTTTGACGGAATCGAATTGCTTGCTGCTCACTGGGCTTAATGATCACTGGATTGAGAAGAACCCAGAGCCGCTCACACCCTGCACGCTCTATACGCCGGCACTGGGAGCGCTGATTTCAGCAGCCAGTCTTGAGACATGGCGATGAGAGTGCTTGCTAAGGTAACGACGACGGCTTGCTCTGACTTACCCATTTGTCAGGTCTCGAGTTGACGGCTGCTTGCATTTGAGCGTAAGCAGCCGGAGGAGGTAGTACGCGCGCATTTTGCAGCTCGAGGACGAAAGGCCGGCCCCGGCCCAACATCCGCACCTGGCCAAGCGACACAAGTCACAATTCGTGAGGGCTTCGCAGTGAGTGGACTATCTTGCGGGCAAGTCGGAAAAATAACGCGTAAATCGAGCCCGTGACAGTTCCAGGCGTCTCAGGTTTCTGGCAGATCACTGATTTGGTGCCGATGCTTAGACACGAAGTATCCTGAGTCCCCAACAACAAGCTGTGGTCTCCAGAAGAAGCCGCAGCACGCCTTGGGAATGGAGCAAGTTGCAATCCTAGTAGAAGAGAAGCAAGCCTCGTAGATCGTAGAGCGCCGAGAATACTCGCTTGCCCCTCACATCGATATCCTCCCGCCCTGCCGAGCTGAACTTGTAGTCATCCACCTTGAAGTGCCCGACGATACCCGCCGCTAAGAGCTCCTGCACACGAATTGAACGACTTGAAGCTCCTGCACTCCCAGGCGTCTATTCAACAGGAGCACGCCCGCGGCCTCTCTCGACGTAACGATCGCAACCTGGTCGAGTCGAACAGTAGTTGGAAACGCCCTAGGCACTTTTATACCGTGCAAGCAATAGCAATCCCCTAGCAAATCCGGCCGCCTGAGCGGGGTGTGCGCCGTCGGGCCGTACCTGGACGGAGGTTTCCTTGCCGACCCGCTCCTCGTCCACGAGCCAGGGGCTCTGGCTCAGGCCGCGTACCAGCTGCACGGCAGGGCGGCAAGCGTCGTCTCGGACGGAAAAAAAGCGCACGGCCGTTAAGAGGGAAACGGAGACCAACACGGGGGGGACTACTTTAAGATACGCGTTACTGTTTTCCAGAGCTCATGGGGGCCTGTCATTGTGCCATGCAAGCTGCACCACACTCAAGGAAACCGCTTGGACCCGCAACCACACAGGTCCGTCACCATTTACCAGATGAGGGACTGAACATCTGGCGACCTCGCAAGGCAGTCGTTTCGACCCTACTAAACGACTTGACAAATCCTATCTTGTTCAAAAAAACAGAATCATCTCGTGAGGTATCCTTTGGTAAGATCTTCCATGGCTTGTACGGAGCTCACTCCTCTACTGCTTTGTTTCGCTTTCGATTACTTCTTGCGCAGCAACAAGAGCCTACTTTAAGCTTGACCATGTAGGGTGTGAATTTGTCTAACGTATGCGATATTTAGATGATAAGTATATTGGCCCTCTCGTGAGCTTAGCCATCAAGCTACGCAACGGAGGTTGCGGTGGAACGCAGATTGGATACAGGGGCCCAGTCGTGGCATCTGACCTTGAGATAACGGCCCCCGACAAAGACGGGGCTGCGCCAGCATTTCACGTCCACCGTGCAAGGAGCTGTCGCCTGCAAGTATAACAAAAAGCACGTTGCCTACTAAAGATCAGTCGATTTCCTACGTGCCACAAGGCAAGACTCATTTGCTCTTGGGCCGTCGCGAATCAGAGAATCCGGGTATACGGAACCAGGGGTTGCCAGGTCAACCGCTTTGACGAGCCCACAATTGCATTCCGAGCGGCTGCAACACTGACGTCTGACAAGAGGTTCTTACCTCTGCTGGTGGCCACGGCAGCCTGTTCCTCGTCTCCTGGGGTGAGAGTCCGTCGAGTGCCTTCTGCACTGATGCGAGGCTCTCTTCTGGCCGCGCAGCGTCGTCGTTTTCTCCCGGCGAACCCCCTCTTTTCCAGTACCCATAGTTGCCTGCAACACCAGCTCGTTGGACGTTACTAGGTTCGCCATCCGCGTTCCAAACACCTCGTTTCCAAGAGGCTGCCACGGCAGAAGTGCATGCCATCATCTGTTAAGACTGGTGCATCATTCGGGCAAGCTTTGTGAAAATGACTTTGCACTTGTTTACGGCGGCGGACAAGGGTACCTTTTTGCCGTTTCCTCGCCACCTGCTTGGCGGGGCTGAGCGCTGCCGCCACCTCTGCCGAGTTGTCGGGGTGGCTGAAACTGATGGCGCACCGAACGGACGAGCTCGCGTCTAGCTTGGTCCCCTAGAACCACAAGAGATGAAACAGACGACATTCAAGATGCTCAGAGTGAGTCCTACGCAACAGCCCACCTTTGAAAGAGCTTCATACTCTTATACAGGACCTTAACAAGCCACTGGAACAATTCCTAACTTTGGTCGTATGCAAAGCTGCATTTCTTGGCAGCGATCGTTCTAGCGTAGGGCGTTCCTGGGCGACCCCTCACCAGTGTCTGTTCCAGCCGTGTAGAGAGAGCGTGCTTGAGGGCGTCTTTGACAGGGAGGACAGCCTCGGAGCATCCCCCTCGCAGCAGGGGGAGATCCGGCATGGCCTGCTGGAGATGGGCCCTGCACCACGGATGCGGATCAACGCTGACACAGCTGCCAGACTCTGGGGATGTACTGGTGATCAGAGCGAAGGGGCAAGAAGGCAAAGGATCAATGACGAACACCAGTCAACGTTTGTGGCCCCAACCCCCGAAATGTTTCACTTCTGGGTGGGGAGAAATTCGTGAAATAATTTTGGGTATTTCTCGATCATGGCAATCATCTTCGCTTTTATTGCTGAAGCTCTTGAAAAGCTAAGACAGGTGCTGACTAAAGTACGCGTGGCATGGTGATACGTTGGCGCCTCACCAGAGAGCGTGCTGCCGCACTTGCACCAGCTGCGGCAAGACCAGCTCCAAGGCCAAATCCTCAAACTGCTGGCCCGACTTTTGGACCCCAGCCTTGATGACAGTGCATAAGCCGGACCCTGGGACCAGCTTCTCTTCTGCCACCACCTCTAACTTCTGGCCTGCCGTGACAGCACCGCCTGAACCTAGACACTCAGCCCCGTCATTGCCCCGCTTAGAATTTTCCTCACATTGTCCGGTTGCCGCTTGAGCACTTCCTTCATTCCCACCCCCAGCCAAGGTGCCTTCCACCACCCCATCAAAAAATTCTGCTCCCAAGCTCTGCAGTATGCCCAGGCACATAGGGCACACCGCCTCTCGACCGTTTGGTACAGCAGTCCCACCTCCCTGGACTGCTTGATTAGAGTCATCACCGGCCGGAGGCTCTAATGAGGAGGATCTGTGCAGGCTTACGTTGGAAGCCTTGGCTGAGGGCAGAGGGGATGCCAGATCCGAGGGGCGGGTCTTGAGGAAGCGGAGGACGCACCCAGGACAGACCTGCAGTGTCACTTCAAGTGTAAGAGCGGGCAGACTCAATGAGCAACTTATCAGCCTCATCAAACAAGCAATCATTCAAGCAGTTTGGCGATGGCAGCTGAGGAGCAGTCCGTTCAAATCCCATCTCTGCGACCAAGTTAGTCTGATGATTGGGGTGAGCATCAGCATGCCCACCATCAATGTGTTCCAAAAGCCTGATCTGAAGAATCTTCTTACGTTCTCCTGCAGGAGGAAGCTCGCAAGCTCCGGAGCCCGTGCCACAGCGCTTGAGCGAACCGCCTTGCCGAAGTCCATCGGTGTTGCGTTCAACACGCTCCTTCAGTGGTGGCGCGCGATGCCCTTTATCATGCTTGCTGACCCCACTGGCTGCTCAGCAGCTCCTCCACCGATGGAAGGGCAGTAATACCATTGTTCTTTACTGTCCCTTTGTCTGGTCCCCAAACTTCTCCTTGAAGGCATTCTGCTGCTTCAGGTAGTGCATGTTCACCTGACACGTGGCATTGCGCACTTAGCACTACAACCACTCACAATTGAAAACCTTACAGGAACAAAATTATCCGCCTAAGAAGCAAGAAGCATCATGTAATACTAGATAAGTACCTCCTCAACGCTTGTGATCAGCTCGGTTATGCTTGATCATGCTATCATGACAAAACACAAAACAGAACTACATATGTTTGGATACGCTGCAATCTGGAAGGAGGCAGCACATCCGCTGTCCACCTCATGCCTGTGCAACGCTTACCTGAAGAGCGCCAGCCCACACGAGAAGCGCCACGGCAGCAGCAACACGTATCTTCACCTGCCTGTCCATGACCTCAGGAAGACCGTTGCAACAGCAAGGGCAGCGCACTGAGGCAGCAGGGAAGCTCGCTGGCTGTCAAGGGGATCCGTTTCTTCGACTCTCTTGCTCAGGCTGCTGCCACTGGCCAGCATTGTGTTGAACTTGAATGCGAAGTTGTGGAGATGGACATTTCAGTTTTCACTTTCTTTCTCATGTTTTAATATGCAATGGTTCATAATCATAAGATTAAGATTGACGCTTCGCGAGAAGAACGGCATTTGGTAACGGTAATGTGCGGGGGCATGACATCGAAAGCAGTGTCGGCAGATCGCTCCAAGAGATCAATCGATGTGAGCTCCGAAGCGTATGAAGAGGCGTTGCGAGTCAAGTCATTGCAACTACCTGGTAATGGTTCAACTCTGGACGCAGTCCAGATGCGTTCACCAACATTTGATATGTAATTGTACATAGGTAATTAACTTGCCAGGGTGGGCTGTGCGTGGGGCTTTCCTTGGGCATGATGCTCATACTTCGCAGCGCTCCACAAATTGTGCACACGCAGCGCTCTGGAAATGAGAAGAGACAGAAAGTCATTTCGAGGTGGCGAAATAGGTTCTTCAAAGGAGCGCCCCAGCTAGTCTATTGACTAGTGTATCTGTACCGCTTTCCTTGGTTGCTCTTGGATGCTTGCAAGATGGTTTCTGAGGTTGTGGTACACCTTGCGACAGGGCGTGGGTATGTTTGGAGTGCTGATGGTAAGATGCCACCACGAATCCTTCAACTCGTTTTCTTTCCACTGCTTGAGTTCCACCACCCATCCATCAAGAGGTTCGAGGAAAGCTCTGACACCGAGTTTATGCTCAAGTGCATCAGGGAATCTTGTTTTGCTGTACAATTGCTTTTCAGATCGTGCCTTTCACCCAGAATGCAAATTGGGAGGTGTTGGTGGAAACTGTCATTGACATTCTGCAGATGTGAAGCTGCTGCGAGAGCAGCGCCGCTTCATTGGCGCTCTCATTGGACCCAACACGGGCAACACCCACCAGGAGCACATGCCCCACAGCCTGCCGCTGCTGCTGATGCCGGAGGAATTGCAATTGGGCCTCAAGAGAGGTGAGCGCTGATTGCGCACTTTGTTCGAGTGCTTTGGCGGAAGGTAGCGGAAAAGAAGGCCAGCTCAGTGGAAATTTGTCCAAGGAAGGCCACTTCTCAAGGGCTTCGGTAAGAAAAAAGTGGGATGCCTAGCTCCTAGCGATCAACGTCAAGCTACAAAAGGCGCCCCATGTGACAAAGCTGATGTGTTCTTCTTATCGAGTTGTCAGAGTATCTCAACCCACACTTGTGACATGTTGTTCTCATTTGCGCAGGCTGGTTCCTGATTGCACCAGACCCGTTGCCGCTAGCTGTGCTGTCACAAGCCCCAGCCCCAACGCCTACCCAAGAAGATTTGGAAAGACTCTCGGAAAAAAGATCTCAGAGCGAGGCCACAACAGATGCAAACACAAGCCAGCCTAAAGAACCATCACCGCCAAATGTACAGGGCCCTGCTACAGTACCAACGACTGTACCAGAAGCAGGGAAGCGGGCTGCAATCATCGACACTGAACGGATAGCCTCCGATCGAGTGGCAGACAACGGAACAGATGCAATCCAGGATAGACAAGCAGACGAAGAAGTGTCGTCGAGCCCGTCCGCCTTAGAGAGTAGGGGAGAGGCTGTATCAGGGGTAGAGGACGCCACAGTGGGCGCCGGTGGTGATGCAGGATCAGACGCTGCTGCGGCGCCCTGTGAACCGTCCACCCCTGCATCAGCGCCTGCAAAGAAGAAGAAGGGAAGCAGGGAGGAGGAGTACTGGCTGTCATTTGCAGGCACCATGCAAAAGAATGTCTTGACCAAGTCACCGGATTCCATAGATGCAGGTGAGGGGCTCACCATAGTGGACCAGATTAGTCAGACCACACGAAATGGGGACCCTTTGGACTATGAAAGCACAATCGGGATGCACAGCTGCCGAATCGTAATGTAGACTTGTGATGCGCCTTCAGGCTGGACCTCATGTCCTCACAGTGTGATTCTCTGAACAAACGGGGCAGTGCAATTATACGGTTAATTTCTGAGTTGCGCCTCCCATTCTCTGTCTCAGCCGTGCCTGGTGTGCCCGCTCCCCCGCACGAAGAGTCGGACCGCTTTGTAGTTTACGAGGACATGTACGTCAGAGGGTGAGTAAGCCCCACCAATCTGGGAGCTGTTCCCTTGTAATGCGGGAACATTACAAATAAAAGAAACTTCTATTTGAAGATGTGTTTGTGCAGCTCTGCGAATTGAGCTGGTTGGCTGGGCAATGTCTATCTCAGCCCGTCCTCCTGAAACCGCCACTCCAATGATGTCCATGTGCGTCTCCGTTCTTCAGGTATACCATCACCAGTGGGACCAACTTTGGGGGCAACTTCCTGGCTTATGCAGGTAAGACTGCCTTCGGCTAGAATTGACTAGTTGTGTCCGGCTTACTTCAAATCAGGCTCGCCGTATTGAGGTGCTTGGTACAGCTTCTGGCTTCGATCCTTCAGGAAGCAAGAAGAATTTGACAGCCAGATTGTGTCTCCACGCAGGGGCCGGATATGTCGCAACTTCGTCCTCGTTCTGTCCTTTCGCTCACATTGGATCTGATCCAATCTTCGATGCAGGTGATCCGATGGACTATCACTCGGAGTTTGTGGTGCGGGTACTGTCGAAGGCCTCGAGGTTACCTTATCCAAGTTTGTCAGCTGCAAGTCGTGTGGCTTTGACGGCTCGGAAGAAGTTTCTGATAGCACTGGTTAGTCGGAAGGAAGGCGGCTCTGAAGGCTGGGAAAGGCAGGTCCAGTACTTTGTCATTGCTCCCGATCTGGTCACGGCGTCTGGGGTCAGCCGGGGACTCAGAGCCGTCCCTCCACCGCCACCTCGAAAGAGAACATGAGAGTTCGGAGAGCATCTACAGGTCCTGTCGAGCTTCTCGTTTGCATTAGACACATACGTGGGTTCTCGACAAGGATCTTCCGATCAGATTTTCTGAATATGGAACAGCCTGCATGGGCTTTCTCCCTTTGCCAAGTTAAGCCCAAGCCTTCTCGATGTTGTTTTCGTTCATCGCCTGGCTATGATCTTGAGTTTGCAAATTCCGTTACCCAGCTAGGCTGCACTTGCTTCAGTTTTGATGACTCATTGAATACTCAGGCTCTACATGTACGTACGTGTATGTAGCGACTTGCAAGAACAGTCTCGATTCTGCGCGCAAGCAACTGAATCATTGAATGCACTGAGCCGCACGCGCGATACGATCAAGCAGGTGCATCGATCCGCCAGCCATGCAATGGATAATCTTGTAACATACATGCATTCAGTAATTTCCAGAAACTTGCCGGGCAGGGCGGCCACTTTCCAATCAATCCAAGTCTACATTCAAACGTTGAAACCAGATTGGTCCAGCGCTTGTATACCATGCAACATGGGGCACAGAGAAGTGACCATGATGAAAATCCAGAGCATCACTGACTATAATTCCGGTGATGTCGAGCAATTTGCTGCAGAGCGCATGACCAGCTTGGCTTTACCCGGAGTCCGACGTTGAATAGCTTTATAACTTGACGACATATTGCATCCTTATCGCAGTCGGACAACCTTGATCTCGTTCCTCGTTCCTCGTTCGAGAACCAATCGCTACTGGTCCTCAAGCGCTTGCGTACTGTATGCTTTTCTGGGCCTGCCTACTCTTTGCAGTCCTATGCTATAATGAAGTCAGTGATTGAGTACAGTCAATCTGGCATCGATGCAGGCCGCTCTTTCTGTTGCTCCTGCTCATGTACGAGCAGAGCTCGCTCAACGGCAGTCCGTACCTCTGTCAACACTTTGAGAGGTGGCCGTAGATTCTGCACAAAGCAAGTAAATTGGGTACCTTCAAGCCAATCATTTTCGCACTTTGCATGAAGCCTCAAAGGAAAGATTGATCCAGCAGAACATACGTGCGTCCTCGTTACTGATTCAAGCCGGAACCATAGCTGACCGTAAGGGCACAGCTGCCAAACCAGACCAAAAATGCTCGACTTTGTGGAACACTCACCCGATAAATCAGTGTCAATTCGCTGCTGTCGTTTACAAGCAGGGCCAGATAGAAGAAGGAGGTGTGGCTATGGACGGCCTCGTTGATGATCACGGCGCGGATTCGGTCCATGGGCAGAAAGGTTCGGTGAATGCGGCCGCTGCACAAAGAAAGCACACGATCTGACTCAGGCTGCCTCAAAGCCTTCGAAGGCAAGCACATGGACTTGGACGACATGGTCGAATTGAGTAGCGTCTGGCACACTTTGGCTGTAGCTGGTGTAGAATTCAAAAGACGGGTCTGTCTGCTTCTAGCTGCGGATGTGTCTTCACTGTTGGTGGTGCAGTGCAAGACAGGAACGGTCCCTCACCTGAGCCAGACGGTCTCTACCTGCAGCCCCAGCGAGTGAACCACCAACACCGACTCTGGAAATAGAAAGCAGAAATGAGGTTGATTGAAATCATCTAACAAAAACTGGCTCCAGTATAAAGATCTTCCTCAGAACTGATGGTGCAGTTGTCTCAGCCCGTCTATTGAATGTTGGTAGGAAGCGCGAGCCACACCCTGTAGAACGGCCCTTTCTGAAGCAGCTCCTACCTTGCTGCACAATGGAGAGTTTCCAGAGGAGCTCAGCAACAAGGCACCAGCCCAGGAGCGTGAGAGACAGAGGGCCACTGAAGTAGAACGACACCACCTGCAAGGGCGTGCAAGGAAAGGCTTCATACTCCAGGGTTCTTGACACATGTCAACCCATCAATCAAGGCGATCGTGACTATAACTGACCCCAGCTGTACATGTCGTGCAAGGCACCAAGGTACCCCACACTGCTCTCATCACACTGCCTCCCACTGTTTAGAAGACAATGTTGCATTAGCAAACTTTGGCAACAATATAGGCCCCAAAGATTGCATTGATCTGGGTGCACCAGCGGCATCGTCACGCTCTTTGAGATGAACAGCCTGTTAGCAATCCCCCTTTTTGAGAACAATCTGCAGCCTCAGGTAGACCTGCTAAGCATCCAGCCAAGCAGAAGGTGCACTGCTGTTGTGCACCTGCTCACCTGCAGCAGCACCGCAATCGCCACCACCCACGTACACAGGTTCCCAATGGGCACCTGCGGCAGTAGCCAGCTGATCTTCCTGCTCCTGCGGCCCCCAACTTGCTGACCAATGGTTGCATGCCAGCGCTTGCGAGACACGACATGCTCTTCGTGCAGGCTGAGGTGAAGAAGCCGGGTGTAGCACAGCTGCTCCCCTGGCTTCATGGTTCTAAGTAGAGCATCCAAATCGGCTGAGGGCGTAACACATGTTCCTACATCGATCCGAAATGTCGCTCCACGGAGGCAGCATGCAGGACTCCATCTGCTTGCTCGCTGTTCAACTTTCAGGACGATCAGCTCAGGACTACAGACTTCTGTGGGTAAGTTATATTGAGGCCCTACAAACGGTAATGGTTTGGCAGCACGACAGTCGGTAATGGTATACTAATTACAGAAACGGCAAACGTTTAGAAAAACGTTGCAGAAATGGTGAAGCTTGACGGTTTTTGTGCGTAGCAAACGTTTAGCGCGCGCGCGCGCGGTATTTTTCAGAAGCTGGTTGGGAACTGGCCGGCACAAATCTCATCAGAACTTGACAGAAGTAGAGCTATCCTTGGGGGATGAGCAACTGGAGGAAACGGAAAGGAGACGCTGTGTAAGCTCTCTTGAATTCGACAGTGCTTCCTTGATTCTCTGACAACAGAATAGAGCCAACGTCATCTATGTAACTAATCCCCAAAGTGTTGATCATCTACTTAGTCAAAAGTCCATCTTTGGTTTCCATGTTTTTGCGTCGAACATACAATGATGAAACTGCAGTAGTTCATCAATGAACGCCGACCTAGCTAGTGAATCCGCACCATAGTGACAGTGGCAATACGTCGAGATAGGAGCCGAATGATGTCTGCGAGCTCCAATGCCACAGCTGTTCATGGCCTGGGGCGACGATCAGGGATTGATTGGCGTTTTCAGGCGAAGCTGGCAGCCGTGTGCTTCGTTGTGGGGGCTTCGATGGAGCTGTTCATGATCAAAACGGGTTTCTGTAAGCGGCCATGCATCAAAATTTTGACATATCTTCAGCTCACTGAGGCTCTGACAGATGCACTTGTGGTTCAAATCACAAAACTTCGTTGCAGCTCCCATGTTTTGTGGCTGAACTTCTGCAGGACAAAGGATACCTTGAGATGGTCGGAAATCAGATTTGTCAGCAATCAATCTACTACTCTGAGGATGAGGGAAAGTTTTCAAAACATGAGGTCACGGCTGCCCAGTCTAAAGCACTCGCTGCAATGACCAAAAGCTTCCTTTGTGCCTGTTTGAGAGTGATTGAAGGGGAACAAGTGAGCAACCCACTTTTAACGAGCAAGAGTTTCTTTGGACTTCTGCGCAGATAACAAGGTGACAGCTATTGAAGCAGAACGCAGAGCAAGCAGTCCTGAACAAGTGCCTTCCGTAGTTACAGCATTGCAAGCTGCAGAAAAACAAAGAGAGCACATCCAACGAAAGTGATATCCACAAGCAGTATGTCCACTGTGAATTTTGCAGCAAGCAGTATAGTCATTGATTACCTCGAGTCGTGACTTGAAGCGTTGATTAAGGTGGTGGTCATGGGTACAGATGTCAGGCTGGATTTTGATTGATAAGCTGTGGATAAGCTGTGTTTCTGTAAGCCCAGACTTGCAGAAAGGTTGAGTGCCGTCATTGCAGACAGCAAGCCTGCACTAGTATCCCGCTCCTGCAGTACAGATTCTATTTTGTTAAATGATTTGAATGAGTGTGGCTGCGCCAGCCCTCCTACGCTCTTACCCAGTCAAGTAGGACGAGTCTGCAACCAATCAATAACCTTGTTGAACCACAAAGGCGTGACCCAGGATGCGTGCAACCAGGCTGAGGCGTCCGCACGCAATGCTATTTGTTTTATCAAATCTAGATAAGCAGCCACGAAGCATGAGGTCAAAGCCTGTATACCTAGATCCACAATATGATAAGAATTAGCCTCACACTGACATGGGAATATGTACCTAGTATGTATACTAAGTGGTTCATGTCGCGGACATGGTCATCATTGACTGGCAGAAATAGACAAGGTCGTATATGTATATCCGACCTGTCGGACATGTTAAACTGACATTAGACATGTTAAACTGACATTAATTGGATGCATTGCGAACCGAGAGCCATACAAAATGGCGCTGACCATGCAGGCAATTCAATGGCTCGCGTGCATTGACAGGAGAGTCCGTTACGATCCATGCATGCATGACATTTGTAATCTATATAATATCATGGATCACATCCTTCAAGATAGAAACTAATTGCCGACGAGGTCAATCATTCTACTTTACGTTTTAGCATGCAACAATCGACGGTCCTGTCTGATCCTGCATCTTAGTGACAATTGTTTCCTTTGCATGCAAGTATTATATGGTTAGCAAGCAGCTTATTGAAGTTGCTAAATGGCTACGCTATGCAAAACAATCACATGGGGACGGATGCTTGCAACCTAGACCACCGGCTATTTCAGCCGTTCGCTTAATCGTTTGGGCAGGAAGGGAAGTGCTATGTACCGTTGTTTTCAGTCCTAATGCTAACTGTGAGATCCGAGCTGCATAGAAGCATAGTTCATCCAAGCAAGCACTTGCCTGCTAAAAGAGATATTGGACTCCTTCGGCAGCTCGTTTATTCAGCCACGCCAGCGCAACCGCAAGATTGCACCAGATGACTGAAAGATTATGAAACACGTGTCAACTATCTTTCTTGTTGTCGTCTGAACTTTCTTGCCGCTGCCAATGCACCAGTAACGTGTCAACTACCACGTACAAGACCGTACCTATTATAAGAATACCTGCTTGAGTGTAAACCTGCAAGGCAAAGGTTGGCAATTTCTAATAACTAGAAGGTTCTTATGATAACTGCGAGGAGGCTTGGTAAGTTGCCGTTAGAACCCCCGCCACGGGCTCGGTCGAAAGAAACTGCTGTGATAGGTCAAGCGCCCCAAGCTCGATTGTGTGAGAAGGCCCATTGAATAAGGATCATAGATAACAACATACAAAATTATCTGTGTGCCATATAAAGCCTATGCCCAGGTGGCTACGGCGTGTAAACAGAGAACATCATTTGGACCAAGATGCTTTAGCGAGAACAACCCCTAAAAGAAGAAGTGGGCTACGGGGTTCCTGTAATATCTTTGCGACCGGGCACCGAGCTTCTTGAGAAGTCACGGATGTGCCCATCTCTTTGTGACAAAACATTCCAACCTTGTTCCGCCATCCGAAGTTCAAGCTTCCCGCACCGCTTACGAGCACGGTGTGCCTGACAGAAACGGCAAGGGCCAGTAAAGACCAGGGTTAGATCCTAGAGCCTGCCACCTCACCTGCGTCAAGCTTCTGCCGGGTCCATCCATTGGCTTCGCAATGCCGTACGCAAAGGCCGCTGCCGAACCGAGGGTCTGCAAACAACAAGGAGCCATGAGTGTCGAAGCAAACAGTGGTGCGCACTCACACGATTCAATTCAATCGCAGCTCAGAAGCAGGACAACCTGGCATGTCGCGGAGAAACGAGTCTCTTACCCCAAGGAGGTTGAACAGAGCCCACGCTTCCAAGTCCTCGGGAGAGAAGAGGCTCGAGATGACAGTGAACCTGAGTGAAGAAGAAAGCAACACGTGTCAGGAATCAGGACGTTATAACCAGACCGCAAAGCGAGCCGCTGCAAGCTCCTTGGGGCTCTCTTCGTCGTCAAGTGGCGCCGTTGAAAGAAATCAAGAGCTTATCACACAACAACCAAGTGAAGGCTGAGGTGCAGATTTTCGCGACAGAGACAGGGATTGAGCTGGGGATGCATCAATGCGGCCAGCGCTGGGCTCACATGTGGCTATTGAAGACCCCGTCGCCCACCCCAAACGCAAAGCCGCTGATGTAGGCCACCACGGGAGCGCCGAGGAGCGTGGGCTCGAGGAGCTCATCCTGGGAGGCACCGCAAGATGAGCGTCAGCCGTTTGAGGGACTAGGCAGCAACTGGAGACCAGCATGACAAGTGAGCGGGCCAGAAGGGGCGGCCGGGAGGGGTCGCGCGCAGTTGTTTGTGCGGAGTCTCACCAGCTTGGCCGCCTCGTAGAGGGGTATGCAGAGGTAGAGCCCGTAGAGAAACATAAGGGAGCCCACGATAAAGGTGGGAGCCCGCCGTCCGAAACAATCGGACACCATGCCGAGCCCCAGAGCGCCAATCACCTCCCCAATGCCGGTCACAGCAAGGACCTGGAAGGCGAGCGAAAAGTCAGGGAAAGAGAAGGGCGTGAAAGTAAACAGCCCCGAACAGCTTGACCACCCCGCCAAAGCAGAACGTGTGCTTTGAAGGTCGAGAGTAGGGGCGACTTGGAAGCTGGCAAGGCATGCCAACCAAGTGGCCATGTTTTCCTTCGGAAATACATCAAGAGAGTGACCGTGACAGCAGGACGAAAAAGCTGCCTGCGTAGCGGTTCTCTACTCACCAGTCCAATCGTCTCGGGAGGAATCAGTTTCGTGAACTGGGCCGACCAGAACGAAGCCTGCACCAGATGGTCGTATCAGGACTGAAGAAGCATGTGTCACTAAGTTAAGCAGGTCCATTGCACAGCTAGAAGAAGTTCTGATAACCACGAACTCTGATCTGGTCCAGGTCGCGACGGAAGAAGGACAAACGGAAAGGGATTTGAAAGCAACATATGACGTCTCGAAAGTCCACTTACATGACCTTCAACCTCTCACGATTACCTCTAAAAGAATCTGTTCCATGCGCTACAGATCTGTCTGAACCGATGCTCACCTCAAAGCCGGTGTAGAAGCTCATGGGTGCCAGCAGGCTGTAGATTAGCAGTGTGGTCACTCGAGACTGCGGGCTGTTATCCCGCCTGCTGTCAGGTAGCGACTCGGCGCTCTCACCGGCCTGGACATCAGGCTCCTCCTCCACGTATTCCTCAGCATAATCAAGCTCACTTTCAGACTCTGCACCCTCGCTCTCACTGCCGCTGCATTGGTCGAGGGCAGACTCTTCTTCCTCCTGTGGGTTTGCTATGGCTAATGTGGCCGGGAACTCCACAAGCTGGAGCAGGACAAGCACGCCCAGCATGGCAACCACCGCAAACAGGGAGAACATGGTCTGCAGATTCAACCTGCAACAACAGCCACAGTGTGCAAGGTGAGTGACCTGATCTCCCTCCACTAAATGAAAAAAAACCTAAAGCTTATGAGCGCACATAGATGGGCAGTGAATGGACGTGTGTCTTTCAGCTGTACTTCCTCAAAGCACCATCTACAGGTAATATCATGTCATCTCAATCGATCTCTGACTTCATCTCTTGCTGTTTTTTGTCAGAAAATCCTCACCAAAAATCTCGTATTTCGGCAATCTCCGCAAGATGCGACTTGATGGAAAAGCTGCTACTTCTGGTTTTTAGTGCTTAGCTCACAGCTTGAAGGCATAGTAGGCTGCCACGTTCCCCAAGATGTTGGAAGAGAAATAGAAGCAGTAGAACACTCCACTGTATGCCCCGCGCAGCTTTGCCGGGCAGCATCGAGTCAGAAAGCTCCCCTGCGTTGATGCCAAACAAAACAGTTGTCAGCAGTGAGCACAGATGGTGATGCCCTGGTCAACAACCTAACAAATAATGAGCAACCCCAACGGCTCGGCCGCTGAGCAAGATAGAAGAGGCTAATCAGATGATGCTTCAGACAAGTATTCGCTTTAACCAAGATGTTTTGCTATTCAAAATGGTGTTCGCTAATGACTTCGAAAATCAGTTGGGTGAGGAAAGCTTGCCTGCGCAACCCACACAATCGAGGAGCCCAAGCCAAGCAACGCACTGGCTGTCAGCACGGCCGTTGGCAGGCCTGTTATCAAGCTGGATATATATACAACATAGGTAAGGCCACCCAAGGCCATTGAACGTGCCTCGCCGGTAGTTGCTACCACGCCGGGGGCGGCAAAGACAGCTACGGACTGTACGAAACTATTGAGCAGCATCGATTTGTCACCCAGCGAATCAGGCAACACTGAAGTGACAAATTCCTGCACAAGGAAGGGATGACAATAACTAAGCAAGCTTTTCAAGGTGGAAGTGAGTTTTGTAAGTGAGAGTTTGTCAAAGCAAGATGCACCCATCACCAATGTAGCTGGTGCATTGTTAGCCCTGATTTGACAATCGAGAAAACCCAAATTAGTGGACTGCGCAACCTACCCCGAGAGTGTTGTAAGCGCTGAACATGAAGAAGAAACCCATGGACCTGCACATGAAAGTGCTAGCTTCAGAAGGGGAAGCCCTTTTCCAAAAGCTGCATTCTTTCCAAAGTTTAAGCGAGTGTGAAAGAAATCCCTGTGCCAGAATTGCAAATACCTTCCCTCAGGCAGATTCCTTGAGCAATGAATTAACATCTGAAACCCCTGGAAGAAGCTTACAGGACTAAGAGGTTGTACAGAGAGCCCCCCTCTTCGTCCTCCATCGCAGGTGCTGCAGCTTCAGGCAGCCCGTTAACCAAGCTGAGCTCGGGAGTGGTGTTTGCATCCCCCTGGTTTTGGAACCAATCTGGTGGAGTGAGCTGCGGTTCTGCATCATAGACCTGAAAAGAGACTGACGTCTCCATGTCCAACTTTGACCGGTCTGCTGCTGATTCCCTCGAAGCTGGCGACTCTGGGCGCAACTCTCCTTCATTTTGGACAGCGCCACCCTCCACAACCAAGTAGTCTTTGAAAGAAGCCATAGGGAAAGTCAGAGCTGGGCCTGAACAACCTGGCTCTATGGAAGCAGCACCGGAGGTGAGTGGTGCCAAAAGAATTGACACATGATGGCAGCAAGAGAAGCTTCCACCGGCAATTCAGCTCATTCTGATCAAGCCCCAGGCTGGAGTTATGGAAACCGTGGATAGCCGACGCTGATGCGGCAAGTGGTGCCACATTGAAGGTCACTTGCTTGGGGCCCCCTTGATACCTATGGTAGGACGTCGAAGGTGCAAATGAGGAGCGTTTGAAGTTCGAGGGCTGCGCAGCTTCCCCCTGCATGATCAGAATCCGACTGATCTGACCTGCTGCTGCCACTCTGCATCGTGCTGCAATGCCACTGCCAGACAGATGCAGCCGTGGCCCGTCTGCGCAAAGTCACCCGACCCAAATTTAAATTGATGTCTTCTTCAGCTTGGTTGAACTAGCCCCAGGCTCAAGAGTAAGTTAAAACTCGATATCGTCGGAGAACGAGCAATCGGTGCTTGAGAAAAAACGATCGGTAGCTGCAAAATACAGTATACCAGTATACCAATTTGCAGCATCTACCGAGCAACATGCCAGATATAGTGTCGACAAATTCGGTCTAATTTGTCTATCTACCTGGGTTACAGCTTCTGGGTTGACGGTATGTATATACGTCAGGAAATAGTCGGCAGAGATGGCTTCAACTTGAAAGAAAGGAAATGGAATATTAAACGTACATCATCATTCTGACTCGGAGGAGGAGCTAGAGCCCAGGACTCTACTGCAGGGGTCAGGAGGCAGCAGAACAAGAGCGCTGCTTCATACGGTCTCCTGCCTCCTGCCTCCTGCCCTTCCAGGTGCTGTGGTCGACGCCTGGTCGACGCCAACTTGGACCCCATGGCGGAGGTGCTCCTGCAGAGGTGGCACGGCGCTGCATTGCCCTGTCAGAGGAGTTTGAGTGGGGTCCAAAGTACCTCCACTAGAGGTCAATTACAAGTGCTGCATCCTGGGCGCAGCCCAGTCTGCTGTTCAGGGGCACGGCAGCGCAGACGGGGCCGCGAGAGTTTTGTGGGTCAGAATCGCATCTCACAGAGTATAGGCGGACACTGCGAGTGGAAGTCAACCTCCTCGCACAGGGGTCGGAGGAAAGATGGTGTGTTTGCAAGGGTGATTGGTCCCAGCACGGGAGTGGCTGCTGCAGCAGAGGAAGAGGCGGCACGGGGGGCTGCGGAAGAGGGGGAGGAGGAGTTTGAGGATGAGGGCGAGGACTTGAGTGACATTACGGAGTGGCAACTAGATTTTTGCTCTCGGCCAATTGTAGATGAGAGGGGGAAGAAGGTCTGGGAGCTGCTAATTTGTGACGGCGCCCGCAGGTTTGAGTATGCCCAGTACTTTCCTAATAATGTTATTAACAGCGGAAGCTTGCGACAAGCCCTGCAAGACATCCTGGACAAATTTGACATTCCGAAGCCTCGGACAATAAAGTACTTTCGGTAAGCTGCACATACCAGCGCTTTCCCCGTCAAACTCTAACTTCTGGTAATGGTGATTGCCAATTTGAAGGCTGGTGCACTCAAGAATTTTGTGCATTGCTGTGCTTTGTGATGCCACAGTGGCGCTTGAAAACATATTAAGCCAAGATGACCCCTGTAAAGTCCTCGCCCTGAGATTTAGCGCAGCGCGCACCAACTTTCATGGATTGCATCTTCTGAAATGCAGTGCGGCTTAGTTGATCTCTGGGCGGGCTTCTGATGACCGTTCTGTCATCTGATCAATTTTTGCTGAACCTTGCAGATCCCAGATGCAGACAATCATTTCTAGGGCATGCGATGAGTTGAACATCAAAGCGGTCCCAAGCAAGCGGGTAGGCAGCGTCGGAGCCACTCGCAGACATTTGTGTGAAGCACTCCATGGAAATTTGACATAGGTCCCTTGTGCTGCCCCATTGTACATTCCTTACTTGAAGCTTACTCTGGCATGTGCTGACGGCTATCAGATTGCATGAGGTCGCGACTAAATGATGGCCTCCCCTGGGTTGCAGGTGAACACTTTGATGAAGTGGCTGGACGAGCGTGTTGAGACTGTGTACTCTAAGGAGCCAGGATACCAGGACTCAGCCACACCGCTGTTCATGTTGGATCCTCCGCAGCCGGAGCCACTGCCAGAGGACCTGGTGGGGGAGAGATGGGCGTTCGTGGAGTTGCCAGTTGCAGGTACCTTAACACTCTACTCGTCGTACCTTTAGGGAGACACACAAGGCGTTTGTGTGACTTTTTGGTGGATCTTTGGCGGCCCTGCTCAAGAACGCAGTATGAGTGAACATAACTCATTTCATAGCATGTTACTACCAGTTGGCCCTAAGATTCTCCTGAAGTAGCTTGAAGACATGTTGTTTACTTTTGTGCAGGTCTCCTTGAGGAAGCCGCGGCGGTGCGGTCGCGTCGGGTATTTGGGGATGTCTTGTCCTTGGAGGACAACGGGGTGGACCTGCCGGATGATGCGTTGGTGCCGGGACTGGTGGTCTTCACCAGGAGAGCACCCGCGGTGGCCGGTGAGCTGACCCCATCCTTACTGTGCTGCTGAGAAGATCACGTCGGACTTGACGCTCCGAGCCTACAGTGAGCAAGGAGGTAGGTTGTCTTGGTTGAGACTCTGGTCATGTTCCCCAAAACATATCAAACTGCTCATAGATCATGGTTTGGAAATGACCTCCTCTTCCTTCTTTGCAGCGCGCATGGCCTCTTTAGAGTTGGCTTGCTTAGAGGTGGACCAGCAAAGAGGCTGTGTTATTCTAAACGTTGGAGTCGCACAAAGGTGGAGGTATGCGACGTATAAGCGGTCAAAGCAGACTGATCAGGAAGCTGTTGCGTGGGAGGAGGCCAAGAAGGCGGCCCAAGGCCTGCATTTCTTGGCGCTTCAAAAGGGCCAAGACGTGGATAAAGTCGAGGGGCTTTGGATGCTAAAAGACGTACAATTACCTAGTGTATAGTACAGTGGACTTGGACTCAGTTGAACCAATCGTCTGTAGATAGCACGAATCTAGATTTGAGGTGCATGTTCTGGGTTGCCGTGGTTTTGCTAGTCATCATCAGTGCTTCTAATCGTGACGGCCCATGCATCATTGTGAAGGATCTCGATAAGCCATGAAGGGTGACAAACCCGATTGCATATGTCTCACGTATGCATGTACCCGAATACGTAGTGCATGCTATCATGCAAAGTCATACGTCAAAGTAGATTCTGTGAATTAATGGCGACGTATGTTATAATCCTTACACATGTGCGACTACAGAGCTGCACTGCGGTGTGTTTGTTGCAGATGGCCCGGATATATTGCATGTATACATGAATGTCGTACATACACATGAACTGGTACGTACAGACAACTGTAACGTTTCGAGATCACAGTCGATCATGGACAAAATTAGAGCAACCGCCAACTTACTTGGGGGTTTCTGACCCTCTGCCCCATCGGATCAGTGCATCACCATTTCGTTTGCACAACTCCACACGTAATACAGACTGAATGCGTGCCAACTAGCGAGCTGTTAGAACATGGACGGCCGGCGAGAGCTGATTGACTTGCTATAGCGGCCGCTGACATGGCACCACTGCGCAACATCCTATATCATAGTGTAGACCTTCTAGCGTTCTTCAAGTTCATCTCAATATGCTCTTATAGCATCGTCTACATTCATGTCCGCAGCTGAGCCCTTCTGACAAATCCTTGCAGACTAAAAACCCCTAGCTAGCTCTAATCAATGTGCTAAACATTTGACTTCAAGGGGGTCTTGTCACGTGTGTCTGGTTAAGTTGACCCAGGTCGTCTTGCCCCTCGGGGTATCAAAAGCTAGCAATAATTGTTGAGCCAATCGACATATGCTTGGATGCAAGAGCGCGGAGCATAGTGCTTATTTTCAAGCGAAGCACTTGTGGGCCCTGGCTCTCGATCCAAACCTCCAATACTGCGTCTCTTACAGTCCTGACTCAGAGGCAAGCATCCTCGAGCATGTGAACAAGATCAAGCTCGGGCACATACACTGAGAGACAACGTGCGCCAGAAGCTGTTTTTAGCGGTGCCCTTCGAGCTCCGAGTCGGGACACGTGTTGCATCCTCATGCACTCTGTTGCAGCACGGGCGTCTGAAGGCTTTCAGCTGTAGTGTCGTCGTCGTTCGACTCGTGCTGCTTCGCGGACCACTCCTGCTCAGAGTACTCCCCGGCTGCCTCGAGCACACGGAGCGCCTGCCAGCCCAAAATCTCAAGGTTATTTGACTTGACTTCAAGCGAGCATGAGGACGCGTTTCGCCTTTCTTAGCCGAGAGAAGCTGGGCACTTTCGGTTGCTTATGCATCCGACAAACAGATACCGGAGCGAGCAAGGCCAAGACGTAGACGCCAACCGTGAGTTCGGTTGTCTTACGTGTCTTCTGGCGGCCCCTTGCCTCCGCTTGACTGCTCGTTTGCTCAGCGGCCCTCCGGCCGCCGCCCGTCCAATGTCGTAGTTGTGCAGTCGTTGGTACTGGCCCGCCTCGTGCAGGAAGGGCCGCAGGCGAGGCCCGGCAGCGCACAGAGCGGAGCAGCATCCACGGTGCTGCCCCGCGCATGCTGGACAGCAACTGCACGCAGCGAGAGGTAGCGGCTCGCGAGGGCCTGTCGGGGCTGGGCAACCGCGAGCTTGACCGGAAAAAGAATTCGGAGCGTTGCAGAGATAGCTCAAGCAGCACCGCGGACATGGCTCGTCGCACTCGAAGCGATTATGCGGAACGAGGCGGAAGGACCGACGCCGTGCACGGCTTCTTTGATACGGATGTCTCGAGAAAGCGCCAGAGGGTCAACTGAGAACTGCTAAAGGTCCCCGCAGCACGACGGGAGAGCAAACAATAGTAGCAACTTAGGGAGGTCGAAGAGTGACTCACAGGAATAGCATGTTGCAGTCTGCATTTGCGCAGTTGCGGTGCCGCGGTTCTGTGGCTGACGCTCCGCAGATCCTGCACGATGCCCAGGGCAGCCCCGTCGCTCTTTCCGGCTCCGTGGCGGCGTCCGACACAGACTGGCCGCTTTCCTGGGCGCCGTTTTCATCCCGCGCTCTGGCAGCCAGGCGGGCGGCCTCGCTGGCCCCCAGGCTGACCTCAGCAGGCGGGACCGACATGCGCGAGTCAAAGACAAACAGGTTGCCGTTCCAGTGAAGGGGCCCCTCCTCCTTCAGATAGTTGACGACGCCCCCCTGGAGCGTGTACAGGTTCTGGAAGCCCTGTTGCCTGCGGCGGACTGGCAAGGAGTCACAGCCGTTCAATACTGGTCTCCTTCAACAAGTGTGCAAGGTAAGCAGGACTTGCCCCCAACCATAAACCTTGTCCTCGATATGCAACGAAAGGCATCGTGTGAAACAATCGATAGAAGAGTGTGGCAAGAGCGCTCCCCGTGCCGCTCTGAAACAGGACTTCCGAGCTCGGTCAAGTCCTTTATGCTCGGGTCGGTACAGCGTCCACATGCAGAGCACCAATCTTGCGGACTCACCGCAGCATGGTCGAGTAGACGTCGCAACGGATCCCCCCGGTGCAGTACATCATGACGTCCACGCTCTGCGGGTCAACCCCAGCCAGTGGGTCCTGCACACACGAGCCCACAAATCAGCGCGGCGGCGTCCCAGCTCCAGTGACGGTCTGCTGCGACCAGGCTCAACCTGGCAGATCTTCCCCAGAACAAGGCCGATGCCCCGTTGAGGCCGCCATACACATCATCGAATGTACTGAAGGGAATTGGGTTGTGGGATCCGTGTGCCGAGCAGGTCTCATAAGAACGTGAGATGACACACCACCAAGATTGATTCAGAGGCACAGGAAGGGAACTTCAACTGCTATGGCTGAAGACCTTCACCTGCGGCGTCGCCCCCTCAGCGAGCCCAAACTCGGTCTCTCGGAAGCAGTCCACCTCTGGCCGGGCTGCCCCTTGGAAGTGCCCCACGTCCCACTCGTACCCGTTCCGAACGTCCAGCAGCAGCAGTTGCCGCGTCGGACTGCCGCTCTCGTCCACCTCGCTGCGGGGCTGACTGGCGTCCCCATTCCTCTGGTCTAACTTCCGGCGCCACTGAGCAGGGGAGAGGGGGACAGCCCTGGACAGGGCACAGGAGAAAAGGAGTGTATTCACAATGACAGGACGGGAACCCGGACTGAAGGGGGTCGTTGATCAAAGTTTCGTTACGCGTCGGAGAGAGGCAACAAGGCACCGCAAGATCCATACGTTTCTCCACAGTTCAGGCATAAAAACCGTTGAAGGATACATCCATTGTAAAAGAGGAAACGAATTTCTCAGTATTCTGACACTTTGAGTGGCTAAACGATTGTTCTGCTTCACCTGGCGTGCGGCTCTGTAAGCGGCAGCTGCCTGGTCCCCCCCCGCACCATGACCAGGTCAGGTTTGTAGCGCAACTTCAAACGTGGGAAGGCATGCGCGGGCGCGCGCGCCATCTGAATGGGCACGTCCTGGAAGCGGGGGTCTGCCTGCAACCACTGACGATACTCGTGCGCCTCGCCCTCCAGGCTGCTGAACTGGGCATTGATGCCCTGGTGGCTGATGTAGATACGGCCCCGAAAGTCCCGCTCCTGGACAGGATCGGAGCTACTTGTTACTGCAACAGCGAGACTGCGGCGCCTGGCAAGACGATTTTCATGAGCGCGCTGTTGATGCGAATTCGGTGTCAAACTTCCTCCCGTCGAAGGTTTATTCAGACACCTTCAGCTTCTTGAGTGCAACCCGGACGCCATATCTAGCCCTACCAGGATTACGGTGGCGCATGATCCTTGTTGGGCAGGGCAAGGAGGCATCAAGGCACAGGGGCGTAAGGATGCTGACAGGCCCCACTCCGCAGAGACCCACCTTCATGAATGCCGCCTGCCTGTCAACTTCCCCCAGGGGATCCGCAATGTTGGTTAGGTGGTAGAAGTTGACCACCACATACTCGTGAGGTTCAGCCTCAACTGGAGACATGCCTTCCAAAGCACTCGTGGATGGCAGGCTAATAGGCACTGCCAGGGGGCCCGTTCCTACTGCATTATTCTCTGCCAAACAGAAGGGGACAGAGGACATTTCGCGGCGCTGCAGGCCGCGGCCAATCACCTTCACCAGCGGGTGCAACTGCCGTGCTGGTGATCCAGGTACAAGAAGCTTCCACGCTGAGTGAACGCCGCCGTACATTGCATTGGCTGCTGAACTTCGGGATGAGAGTCGCCATGCCGACAACCCCTCTGCTGTGGACTCTAAGCGGGAAGCTATCAGCTGATTCAGACTCGTGGAATGCTTGGCCGCAGCCATCCTCACAGAGCGGACTCCCCACGGGAGCTTAGTCACCCAGCAAAAGCGCATTCTACATCATTGCCGGTCCAGAGCCTGGACCACAGCCCACGTTCACACCAGCATCCTTGATGGGTGGTGGTGCAGCAGGAAGATGACGCAAACAGTGAGCACGAAGATAGGCAGGTAGGTGTTCACGTTAGACAGCCCTGATACGGTATGAAGCATCATGCTGCCTCAGGCTCCAGGTTGATCCCGATTCCGAAGGCTGTCCACCAGCTAGCTAGCCTCAGGTGCGGCCCAGCTAGACCGCGCGCGTGCGCGCATTGACCTGCAAGCAGTGCCTGATGCCAGCCTGGCAGGCTGGGTGACTCCCATGATCCATCATCCATGCATGGCCTGCTCTACCATCAAATTGCGCGATCCTTTTGACCTGGCGACTCATTTCGTGATCTGGCCCGGTAAATGGTCGCTCGATAAAATGGTATGTACGTTATGGCCAACCACAAGTGTACGTACCACGTGGTTATACTGTCTGACATGCTGACGTTGATCCCGGCGACCTACTCGGGGACCGGCTGGGGCAAACGGTCGCTTAGTGACATCATGTGTAAGGGGGTTCCAGATATCTTTTGGTCTGAGTGGATAAGGCGTGCACACTTCAGTGTGCACCTGCCTAGAAGCTTTCTCGAAGAAAGCTGTTGTGAAACACAAGATTTCTCGCCGGGGGCGGTCCCGGCCCTCCGCGTGGCGATGATCGAGTCCTTTCTCTCTCCTTTCTCTCTCTGCTTCTCTCGAGAGTTTGAGTCCAACTCGATCGCCTCGACCTCCCAAAAACTTGTTTTCTGATTCAGGCTGCCATCCTGTGCCTTCCGCGCCCGTTGCACTGCAAGTTGAAGTTGCAGTATTTGGCACGCCTCAGGGTCAATCTTGGCTGTTCCGCTTCCTCGCCCGGGCACGATGGTGGCCGCGCAAAACGGAGCTCCTGCGGAGATCAAGTACACCCAGCTGCTCATCGATGGCAAGTGGGTCGACGCCGTGTCAGGTATGCGCCCCTAATGGGCAGCAGGAAGGATGCTTTGATGCATGCTGGGCGTGTGTATGGCATTACAGAATGGAAGAAGGTCGAAAGCCTTGCTTGCCTGCTTTCGTCAATGTGCTGTACAAAAGGGTCCATATTATTTGCCATGTCGTGGGCTTCTTGATTTGTTCTGGGGTACTTTTCTGGGCACTTTATTGCAATATTGGGCGATTCAACCCCGCACTCTTCCCAGCCAACAACAAGTACATATATATAAGCTGAGCTAAGACTTCATGCAAATCTGCTCGGTGGTTGCACTTTATGACATTGCATGCCTCAGAGACTTGGTCTGGTTGTCCAACATTTCATTGGTTCATAATCCTGAATTGCTGCAGCATGCAATTGGTATGACACCCTGACACCCCAATTTTGAATTGTTGAAGTTTTACAATATGCGCCTCCGATTTTCAGTCCACCAAAGTCTGCAAAGTATCTGAGTATAGTAAGACTTGACTGCAAATCTTGGAGGCTGTCGCACGACAATGCTTGTCATCATTTTTCCTCTACGCCCCCTCCTTCGGGTTGCAGGCAAGAAGTTCCCCACTATTGACCCCCGGTCTGAGGAGGTGATTGTCGAGGTGGCCGAAGCGGACGCTGCGGATGTGGACATTGCGGTCAAGGCTGCCCGCAAGGCATTCGATGAGGGGCCCTGGCCAAAGATGCCCGCCAGAGTGAGCAAAATCATGTGCCCCTTGCCTGGCAGGGTCGGGCCGCTTCTTTGTTAGCAGAATTTGGGGATATGTTTAACGTTGTTGACCACTTCCATCATTGGTATCTCATGACTGCGCGCGTAGAGCCACTTGCTGAGGCGTGGATGTGGGGTGCAGGAGCGCGGCAAGATCATCTGGAAGCTTGCGGAGCTGATTGAGCAGAACGTGGATGAGCTGGCCAGGCTGGAGACACTGGACAATGGCAAGCCGCTCTCCATTTCGCGGGCGGTGGACGTCCCGCACGTGGTCAAGCACTTCCAGTACTTCGCAGGTCAGTGGAGCCTGCAGCCAGGAATGGCGCTCCGCTGCTATAGCAATCATGGCTGATTACCTTGGAGCACTGCACTTTCCAAGAGATGGAAAAAGGAGGCACTTGTGCAATGCTGACGGGTCTGGTGGTTCTTTTGTGCAGGATGGGCTGACAAAATCCAGGGCAAGACGATACAGGTGAAATTTTGTTGATTTTCATTATATAGTAACGCTGAGTGACCAGGTTCATCCACAGTATTTGTAATTGCCTCTTTCAGGTTCTTGACACTTAGTGGACGGAACTTGATTCGCTCTTTCCAGAGTCACAAGCTCTGTTGCCCTGGCAAGCAAGTGTATATGATGGGTGCGGTCTATTGGGGTGACTATCTCGCCCATGGTTCTCCTGCTTGTGAGGCGAGGCTGGTCAGTGAAGTCCTTGCTGAGGGTCTCTGTGTGGGTGCGCCAGGGGTCACGCCTGCTTATTCCTTCTTTTTGTTCAGGCGGACGGCCCCTTCCTGGCCTACACTCTACACGAGCCCATCGGGGTTGTAGGCGCCATCATCCCCTGGAATTGTGAGTACAAGCAGTCTGAGAACCTTCGCCTTCTTGGTCTGCTTGGTGGCGCAACTCATGTACTTGGCCAGTTCCAGACACATGTCTGATTCTCTTGCTTAACGGTGCGCTGCAAAGATGTAATTGCCGGCTTGCATGCACTGAAGCACAGGCTCTGGACACATAGTCCGCAGTGATGGCTGTCCTTTTCAGCTCCCACACGGTCACCTTCCCGCCTTGTAGAATACTTGGCCCTTGCTCCTGGCTGCAGTCCCGCTGGCCATGTTTGCTTGGAAGGTGGCCCCGGCGCTGGCATGCGGCTGCACCATCGTACTCAAGAGCGCAGAGCAAACCCCGCTCACCGCACTCTATGTAGGACAGCTGGCGCTGGAGGTGAGCCTCACCCCCACTCCTTAATTTCGCCCCACCTGTTGCAGACTGAAGAATCCTCTGCTTGTATATTTGAGGTGTTCCTCGGCGCTGTGGCCTGATGACAGGTTCCTCGCGTCTTGTGTTGCAGGCTGGCGTCCCTCCCGGCGTGCTGAACATCCTCTCCGGCTATGGGCCGACTGCGGGTGCCGCGTTGGCACGCCACCTGGACGTGGACAAGGTGAGGGCCGCCGCTTGTCGAGATTGCATCAGTTGGAGGGGCTCACTTTCAGGTGCAGTTATTGGTAGTCAAGTGTCATTTGCAACGTTATACATTCCATGTTTGTGGTTAAGCCCATGTCGTCCTTTTTGCACAGAATCTTGTTAGCTCACTCTGAAGAAGGTTCACATGGCCAATCGCTGCCTGTGCAGGTTGCGTTCACTGGGTCCACGGAAGTCGGCCAGAAAATCATGACCATGGCCGGGGAGACCAACCTCAAGGTGCGCACGAAGAGGCCCGGGAGATCTCGAGCCTATCTCCTTCAAGGCTCGTAAGCAATTTTGGCAGAAGGAGTCTAAGGACGCAGGTTTGGTCATAGCTCACGGGATGGCGCTGCCAAAGCCTGTCCACTAGGTTTTTCGATCTCTTCTTTGGTGTCTGTGCTTGACAAGGGCCTACGACCCTTGGTTCGTCGTTGTTGTGTGCGGGGGTGGGTCTCGGCCTTGCTCCTGATGCTGTGCGGCCTGTGCATGCAGCGCGTGACGTTGGAGCTGGGCGGCAAGTCACCGTTCATTGTGTGCGAGGATGCGGACCTGGACGAGGCAGTCGAGCTGTCGCACTTTGCGCTTTTCTTCAACCAGGCAAGCCCGCAGCCAGCCGCGCCCTGACAAGACGAAGAGTTACCTGTGTGTCAGAAATTTTTGCACGGAAACCGGGCATATTCGGTTACAAGCAATCAATTTGCATTCCGTTTTCGACAAAAGCTTTTGCAGGTTGCTCGTTTGTCTGCCGCTTCTTTACTTCTTGGTGTATTTCTTGCTTATACTCAAATCTCGGTTGACATCTCGAGGTGAGGTTCACGTGCCGTGCGTCGTGGGCCGACCTTCGCATGCTGCGGTGGGTGCAGGGGCAGTGCTGCTGCGCGGGGTCGCGCACGTTCGTGCACGAGAGCATCTACGACCAGTACGTGGAGAAGGCGGTGGCGCGCGCGCAGCGGCGCAAGGTTGGGGATCCGTTCGAGGCGGCGAGCGAGCAGGGCCCGCAGGTGGACGGCGAGCAGATGACCAAGATCCTGGGCTACATCGCGGCCGGCCAGAAGGAGGGCGCCAAGCTCGCCACCGGCGGCAAGCGCGTCGGCGACAAGGGCTTCTACATCGAGCCCACCATCTTCACGGGTCAGCCACCACAGCGACCGCAAGCTGACAGAAAACGGGAGGACCCGGCGAGGGCCCCTCCAGCACGCTGCGTGTGGCAAGGAGATGTCTCTCATCTGAATCTGCTCCTCAGAAGTTTTGGCAGAGCTGTATTTACGCTGTGGTGCCCGTGGTGCGTGTGCTCCTCTTCTGACCCGCTCGTCCATGCTGTGTGGGCAGGCGTCGCGGACGACATGAGCATCGCTAAGGAGGAGATCTTCGGGCCCGTCATGTGCGCCTTCAAGTTCAAGACGCTGGAAGAGGTGAGCACGCCCAACATCTAGGCCCGCTATGCTGTCCTGTGCTGTCGAAGAGTCTGGGTCATGCTTCTGGCTTTCAGTCTATTGAGACTGCTCGTTGTCTCCCAGTCGGCAGATTGAAGATTCTTGTTCGCTTAGCCTGAAGCCTGGTAATCGTCGTTTCCAGGACCCCACGTCACCACGACTCCAATAGGCTACCCTGACTTTCAAAGCATCCGCCTTGACTCTCGATGATCCATCTGTGTGGAAGGGGAGCCGGCACCTTCCTGCTGCGGGGCGCTGCTCGCTCTGACTCGTGGCGGGCTTGGCGTGCAGGTGGTGGAGCGCGCGAACCGCAGCTGCTACGGCCTGGCGGCGGGCATCTTCACCAAGAACCTGGACACGGCGCACTACCTCTCGCGCGCGCTGCGCGTGGGCACCGTGTGGATCAACACATTTGACAACTTCGATGCCTCCATCCCCTTTGGTGAGCCACCCCGCTTGGAGGCCGCATTGCAGCGACCAAACGCACCATGCGCTGAGCTGAAATTCAGGGCGTGTTTGTTGCAAATCCTGGTTCAGTACACCGTCTCACGCCACTCCCTTGCCCTGCGCAGGTGGCTACAAGATGAGCGGGATTGGGCGGGAGCACGGCGAGTACGCACTCGAGAACTTCACGCAGGTAAGCTCGCGTACTCGAGCTGCGCAAGTGCACATTGTGGACCGCATGCCACGTCCGGCGCCCAGAGACGTTGTCCAAGTGAGCAAGCGACGCCAGCGCAGTAAGGACTTTTGATGCGTTAAGCAGCCGCCCCCTGAGGCTCAGGCAGTGACCACGTCTTGACTGGGTTCTTGCCGTCTTCGTTACTGCCGCGCAGGTTAAGGCTGTGGTCACGGCCCTCAAGAACCCAGCGTGGGTGTGAGGCTCGAGCTCCCTACTCCCGGATGTCCACGGGAGCGCCCTGCTTCGCAAGTCTGCAGGAAAGGTTGTGAAAAACTCACAAGACCGCATGCTAGGGGATGTCCACAATGAGGCCTTATTGCGAGAGGTGCGTCAAACTTCGTTGTCAGGATCAGTCCAGTCTGCAGCCGGTTTTGCGAGTTTGAGTGGAGCAGGCTTTCCTTCACCAAGTAAAATACCTGTTGACTTTTCGCTTGCGTTAGCTTTTCACGGGTTGTCCGTTGGTCTTCGCTCTTCACGGGTTGTCAGCGTTCGTATTCGCGGAGAATAGATTTGCTCCCATGAGAAGCAAACGTTTGGGCGAATTAGGAGCGTTAGACCGGCAGCTGGACCGCAACGTACATAGCGCGAGAGGATGTAGGTGACGAACTTTTGTTTAGTGTAGAAAGTCGGTCACTAACTCACGTGTTCAAAGCGATTGAAGATCAGCAAAACAGGTTGTGTAAGTGGTGGTAGATTCTACTTTTGTTTCCTCGGTTACCTCCGTCAATATGTCAATGACAGTACTGACGCATGCACATGCTGAGGGCTAGAAACTTTCTGTCAAGTGACAGCTCACTGGCTTGAGTGCACTTTATTGGCCGCATAGTGTTTACACGATCAGTTGCGTGCGTCGATTATTCGAACGAACCCACAATATGCAGAGTTTCTTTGCGGTGAAGCTGCTGCGTGCACTACGACTGAAGTTGCTTCGCTACCTAAATTCAAGCTATATACACATAGCTTTCCGAGCTCTCAGGTTTGTTATGGATCATGTGTCATAAATTAACATCTCCTGCTCTGTCTCCATGGTATGCCAACCCGCTTTGTTCTGGCGCAGTCACAGGCTCATAAGTCGATGATAGGCATGCACTGTGGGAACCTTCTTGCATCGACACCCATGACCTTTATATGCATTTCAATTAAACTGCAGTTTACATCCAACAGAGAAGTTGCCAATCTAGTGCCATTGAACAACCTGCCAGCAAGCGGTATTCTCAAATATCATAACTAGAAGTTTCAATATAGCACGATTCTTTGAGATATTCAATGAAGCTCAATGAACATATTAGGCTAATTAATTTTGGATTGAATCAACCAGCACGCCCATGCAGCTTCGGTCAATAAGTTCAATAGCCAGCCTAGCTGGCACGTCGAAGTTCAAATATTGTGAAAGATGTATGCCCATATGTATATGTGCCATGGTCGCTTCTACGGCGTTGAAAAAGAGAACGTCACTTGAGGAATCAGCACCAAGGCACGGCATAAGTTGCACATTTGCGATTAGTTCGAACAAGCTATAGCAGGTTACCTAACGTCCAATCACGTCCGACACTTAGTCGGATCCTAGTTGCAGATGTGCGACTTGCGCCAAGAGACATGAGAGATCCTCGTATACCATGAATCACTTACTCATACCACGAGTCACTTACTTAAGTATCTTTGGAAAAAGTGACTTGCAACTGTAGAAAGCTGAACGTAGGAGTCAACAAACTATCCTGCGTGGCTAAGGGCGTTCATAAAGGAGAAGTTACAGTTTTTTGCGAGCAGCCTGCCGAGTTGTATTAGAGAGGGAAGCTTTAAAAGTTAGATGAGTAGAATAGTTGAGCCTGCGACATTATGTAGGAAAGAAGTAACTTCCGGCCCTCTACCTAAAACCCGGCATGCAGGTTGCTTGAAAAGAGCTGTACCATCGCAGTCACCTTGCTTACGTATCACTTCGCTATATCAGCTTACGCTATATTCAAATTAGAAGAGCAAGATTCACTCCTTAAAGGATGTAGCCGTGGACATTCGCACTTCTTAAACTGGACGTGACTAATAGGGTATGGAAGTTGCAAAAATTGCGGCTCCGCTGAAGACAGTGCTCAAGATGATCGAAGCATCGCAAGCGTACACAATCGACTTCGTTGCATGGTCGGTGCAATTTAATGCCAGCACTCAATTGAGTAGATACTAAAGAATGCATCCATGGAGCATACTGGAGCATATGTTACTGTCGAAATATGCATGAAAGCTGCAAGTCATTGCTTGATCACCAATAGATGAGCAGACTTACACCGTAGTAACAGCGACCCAAGCAATCGACAACATGAACATATTGCTGCCAACTCTGCATGATCACACTGAGCTTGGTAACCAAGAAACTCTTGTTGAACTCGGGTCAAACTGTCAAAAACGTTGTATTGTACACAGGTTTAGTACAAAACTTCCGACCTATGCGAGCGCGTGCGAGCTAGCTTTACAGTTTGTGCAACCTCACCAGCATGAGCCAATGCTACCGACTGCTCCAAAGGATACTTGAACTCCGCTTTGACAACCTTGCACCTTGCGACCTGGCCCCCGTTTGCTGCTTCAGATTTACCGGCACAATTCTTGGTTCGGGCAAGCCTGCTGCGATCACCGAAACAAGTACCCTCCCTGCCATGCTTGCATCTGCTGATGCTGCGAACAGGACATTAGCACGGGCAAAACCCCCCACGTGACTATGAATGATCTCTGAAATTTCTGCGATTTCATACAATTGGAGACTTGCGTCTCCTGTTATGCTGTACATGACTCCCTGCGCTGTTTCCATACTTCTCTGCAAAGCAGGAGATGCCACGGCAGCATGTGCAGCTTCAGACGCGCGCTCTGGACCTGCACAAAAGCACAAGAAAGTAGGTAAGTCTGTGCAGAACTCCAGATTCGACAACCAGACGACCAACATCACAGATCTAACAGTCAGCTTAAATTAAATGCCGCAGTCTGTAATCCAGAACACACTCCATATGTCTGGGCCCTGGAGCACTACCAGAAGGAGAGAGGAATGCCCTGGCGTCTATTGATCCCCCTGCTGCAGTCAATGCAGGCTGGAAATTAATGCCCACCTGAGGCACACCCCACCCCTAGATGGGCCATCCCCGCATCCGTGAGCAAACTTTGCACGTCCACCTGGTTGGGGCTCACCAGGCCAGAACCCTGCACAGAAGGGAGTCGGCTTAACAACAACATATTCGCGAGCAAACAATGCATCTGGGCATGCTTCAGAGGTACGCCAGTGCGTGGTTCAGACATTGGTGGTGAGCTACTTAGATAAGGGTTTGCATTGACCACGGATCAAACATTTGACAGTAGTCGCGCAAGTGCTTAAATTCCGAATCGAGGAGGCACAAAGCTTTCCGGGGCCCTGCTGTGCCTCACAATGAGCATGTCGGCAAGGCCCTTGACCGCGTCCCTCAGCTGCGCATCCACCAGCTTGAACGCATCCCGCACCCCAAACTCGGAGTCCTTGCCCTCTAACAGCTGGTCGCAAGGAACGACCACCAGCGTGTCCGTACGCTTCTTCATCATTGCAACGTGCTTCTCAGCTAGGGAAGCGCGCCGGGGGCCTGCGCCACACAACAGAAAAACAACCAGGTCAGACCATGGGCTCTAACCATGTACCAGAATCTGGACTGAAGTGCATGGTTTCCCAACATCAAGGCTGTAGCATCAACACACAATACACAATCTGGCCAGAAGCAAGCTGTATGAGAATGCCACACTCACCTTCAAATGCAAATGGTTTCGTGACCAGACCCACTGTCAATGCGCCAACCCGCCTGGCTACTTTCGCAACAACTGGCGGGATGCTGCCGGTGTTCCCACCCATGCCTGGCAAACACAATTGCATGTTAGGAACAGTCAGACATCGTGGGGAAAGATTCATACTCATGTCCCCTCAAGAGCAGCAGCGCAACTTGCAATCAGAGGGTCTAGATCCAACCAGTACCACAGTCACTGTGCACTTTGAAATAACGCTCACCTGCCACAACCACAACAAGATCTGCCCCTTCCAGACGTGATTCAAGGTCGTCCTCCAATTCCGCCTGTGACTTGAGCTGGCCACCCATCAATTTGTCGAGTCCTACAATGATCTGGTTCTCCTCTCGCAGCAGGGTATCGGTGTCTAGGGTGGACTCTGAGTCTGCTGCCACCAGAAAGAACTCTGCGGCCTCAAGGCCTGGCTGCTGCAGCATGGCTTGGATGGCCTTGCTCCCGCCATATCCCACTCCAACCACCTTAACCACGGCCGCCTTCTGCTCCGCAAGCGGTGCTGCACAGCCAGGCACTCCCCACCGTTCAGGCACACCGGCCCCTGCGCCTGGCACTGACTCACAGATGGCAGTGCTGATGGCCGGGGGCAATTGCAAGGCAGATGACATGCGGATCTGGCGAAACTTGGGCGTCTCTCCACACGCCTCGCCGATCAAGCGGACATTGTGAAGGGAGAAGTTGGGCATGCTCTGAGGGGCTAGGGCAGCTTGAGCAACAGGGGGCGGGCGCGCCTGCTGCCAGCGGTGCCCTCGCAACGGTCCGAGCGCTTTCAATAGTGCAACATCGTCTGTCTTGACGAAACTACTTCCAGAAGAAGCGTTCTTCAATGCAGTCACACCTGCAGACGCCTTGGGAAGGTGCGCAGACAACGACGTCATAGCGGAAAACACTGCTCGTTCCAAGGCAGCTCCGCTTGAGCAATCTCGGCAATCTGGCAACCTTGAATTGTATCAGGATCCTCGCCGCCCTACAATCACCTCGTCTCCACCACACGGAGGGCGCCGGTCTGTTCAGCACTCGCTGTAGCTCTGGCCTTCCCTTTCCGCCGCCATGCACCTCCTTCGAAATTCTGTTCTGAGTTCACGCTGGCCAGCATTGGCAGACTCAGACTGTTGCAGGCTGGCGTCGTGGCGAGCTCGCTGCAGAATGTTTCGATCCTCTTCCGGTGAATGTTTTGCCAAGTGCACGCGTGACCGCCAGCCTTCGACAAGGATCTCGAGGCAGGAGTACTGGGCGCCCTCGGTGACTTCGGTTCGTGCCCGGTTGATATTGCTGTGAGCCTTGAGGACAAGAAATCACGGCTTCCCGGAAGTGTCAGCCGGCTGCCACAGAGATATAGAAGCCCCGGTTGGCCTCGAGGATCCAAGGAAAGAGGCTCGAGCGTCGATTTCCCCGGCTGCATCCTCCATCTTTGTCTCATCGAGGAACTCACTCACCACCTGACCAGCTTGGCTCCGGCGAATGAGAGGCCTTCACCGAAGATTTGACCCCTGGAGAGTCCGCCAAGTGTCGAGCAATCCCTGGTGCAAGGAAGATTGATGTAAGGCATTCTTCTCCGAACCTAGTTTGAGCTAAGCCAACTGTTTCCGCCACCAGGATCCATTACCGGCCTGATTTCGACCTGACGCCCTCGAAACGCGATTGGTGACTGGTCCCCCCGCAAAACACGTCTTCAATGACGTCTTGACGATGGGGGGCGGGCTGTTCCAAGAGCTTTCACGATGATGTCATATCAGGTACCAAAACTTCGCTCATTGTGGGTTTGCTCTCGATAGATCTTGCGCCGGCGGCAGCATGGAGCCTGAGCGTTTCACCATGAGGTGGCCGTGAGTTGTCGTGCCTTCGATCAGCTCGGAAGTGAGGAAGACGAGAATCCGTGCGAGATGGGTTCCCTGGAGTCTGAGGATTGTGTGGGTTCCGCTTGGCCCGGGCCCCTCAGCGTTGCTTCTGGGGGTGCGGTGGAGGATGGGCCTCAGACGGCATTTCCCGTATGCTACCCGCCGCAACGTGGAGGGGAGGTGGGCTCTGCGAGGCGCTGCTGAAAATAATGTTGTGACATGATGTTGCTTGTGTGGAATAGCTCCAGTGCATTATGCCTGCTTGTACCTGCATTCGGCTGTTGCTGCGCACACTGACCGAGGTGCCCCTTGTGCCCAACTGTACGGCTCCTCCCCCATGCTTGGTACCTCCCCCCTGGTGTTCTTCCCTGGCAGTGCCCTGTCGCTGAGTGTAACTGTCCTTGCCCTGGCGCAGGAGGGGGAGGATGCCGCCGTCGCCGACTTCACTGCAGCCTGGCAGCAAGGGAATGCGCACCTTGAGGCAGGCAAGACGGAGCAGGTGAGCCTGCCTGCAGCGGCGCCGCGTCGCCAAGCCTGATGGCCCTGCTCTTGAGCATCCGGCGCCCCGCACTTTTGCCACGTAGGCTGAGATTGCCCGCTCCCCTGGCTGACGCTGCCTTCTTGGGTGCAGGCGATCGATGAGTACACACTAGCCCTGCGCTTGCGGCCCAAGCAAGCCCATGGGGTACTGCAAAACCGCTCTGCCGCGTTTGCACGGTAAGCCCCTCCTGCTGGTTACGACGCCTAATGTGGCCAACTTGCAGTCAGGCCACAACCATCAAGTACTGCTTTCTTTATATACCGGTCAACATCGCCTCTTGACTGTGTGATGGCCCCTCGAAATCGGGGCTTTTGTGCTGGGTCTGACTGGTCCTTGTGTGTGCGTGTGCAGGCTCAGCCGCCAGCTGCGAGTGATCCCGGCAGCCCAGTCCGAGAGCCGGGCACTGTACGGGCTAGACCCGCTGTCCCTGGCGCAGGCAAGCCCGTTTGCTGATGCACCACTTGCCTACGTGTTAGTTGGGCCAAGAGGGCTGGTCTGGCGCCCTACTATCTCAACTTGTGCAGTTGCCACAAGGGCAGCCACTTTGTGCATGCCCTCGGCTCAGCCGCTTTGCCCCCTGCTGTGGTTTTGTGTTGCGCTGCCCTGGGAGCATTGCCTGGGTGCCCTGCCCATTCCTCATGGTGTGCCTGCCTGTCGGCACTGCAGCTGGCGCTCAAGGACGCCGACCGCGCCATCGAGTTGCAGGCGGACTCTCCTGTCGCTTTTGCCTGCCGCGCAGACGCCTGCTTCCTGGTAGGGGCAACCGCTCCCTCTCCCTCCGGGACAGCCCCGCTGGGTGGGCAGCCCTGAGGCCGCCACTTGTTGTGGTTCCTGTATGGGTGGACTCTTCTGGCAAGGTCCACTTTGCGGCAGTTTTGCACGTCTGAGCTTGCACTCAAATCAAGTAGCGTGACTGAAGAAGCCAAATGCCCCGCTGCCCCCTGCAGCTGGAGCAGTATGACGCAGCGGAGGAGGCGTATTTGAACGGCCTTCACCTGGATCCCTCCAGGTAAGGACTTAGCAAACAGTGCCCACTGCTTATTGGCAGAAGGCTTGCCGCTCCCTGGCTTCCTCATCCGAATTCCATCAACTTGGGAGCCAGGGCCTTTTGCCACTGGTTTCAATCATTGAAGGCAAACACTCAAATTTTTAGTGCATGGCCCTTTTTGTTTTGGAGAAAGCCCTATTGTCTTGATAGACGTTCGTATGAATTTCTGCTTTCTTAAATTTCTTGGACATTAAGAACATACAAGCAGATTCAAAATGAAGTCCTGTCCTTTTCCTTTCCCCACAACGAACCTTTCTTTGACTCTGTGCCGTGCCTTGCCCATTGCGCATCCATCCCTGCCTTGCCTGCTTCCTGCTCATGCTCCCTCACGCTCTGCGCCCCCTCCCCTTTCCGCCTCTCTGCAGTCCTTTGCTGCGGCGTGGCCTGGCGGAGCTGCGCGCGCTGGACGAGCGCGCGGCCGCGCGGGGCAAGGAGGTGGAGCCAGGGGCCAAGCGGCGGCGGCAGGCCATCCCCCACAGCGACGACCTCGACTGCACGCTCTGCCTCAAGCTGCTGTGAGCCGCCCCGCCCGCCTGCGCCTGATCCAGCAATTGCAGCATGCCTCGCAGACAAGCATGAATGAAAATTGGCGACTTCTTGCCGAGGGGCGTCCAGGAGGTGGCCTCCCCCTTTCGTGGGCTGAGTCTCTCTTTGTCCTGTGTGTGTGGCTGCAGGTACGAGCCATGCACAACGTCCTGCGGGTGAGGCATCCAGGGACGGGCAGCTGCTGCGTGTGGCCGCCAGGGGGTCTTATTGTCCCCGCTCGATTGTCGTTGCTTGATTCCTGGTGCTGTTTGGGGAGCTTCCCGCTCTGTGTGCGTCCCTTGTCTCACCGCTGCGGTTGTGCTTAACAGCTGTTGGTTGTCTGATACCGTTCCTCTCTCCAGGCACACGTTTTGCAAGGACTGCCTGGCCCGCACCATGGACCACGGTAAGGATGCGAGTCCGCTCAGAGAGGACGGCTGGGTCCAACTTTAATTGCTGACGTTGGCAGTTGCCTCAAGTGCCTGAACAGGTTTGAGTTTCCGATAAGCTCTTCAGCAGCATGTGGAGCTTGCGGGGTTCATTAATTGGTTATGGAGATTGGTCAAGGGAGTTGAGCGCTAGTGCTGAGTCCTCTTGCTCTGCTGCCTAGCGCTCCACCTCGTCTGGCGCACCGCCTCACGCCACGCTGCCCGTTGGTTGCTGCAGGCCTGAACCGCTGCCCCATGTGTCGCACGGTGCTCTTCTTGACCCCGCGCAGTCATCCCGTGAGGTGAGGACCACCCTTTTTGTCGGAGCCGCCTCTATTCTTTACCTACGCCGTGTCTCTGCGTCCAGGCCTCCTCCTGGCTCCCCCCCGAGTCGCCCTGCCGGGCAGGTTGGGACCGTCCCTGTCCCGTCTACGGTTACCCGACGCTGACACATATCTATTCGCCCCTTGCGCAGCATCACCCTCAAGAACGTCATTGAGAAGAACTTCAAGGCCGAGTACGCCGAGCGCCGTGCCGAGATGGAGGCCATCACTCAGCCCGCCACCCCAGAGGTGACGCCCGCTTCTGCGCTCAGCGTTGTACCTGTTCGACAGTCGGCCCGACCGGATTGTTTTGGTTGTTTGTGTTCTTACTTGAGGAACTCCCCTTCCTTTCTTCTAGAGGCTGCCCATGAAGAATCTTGATACGAGGCCTGCAGTTTCGCCGAGCAGTGAGGCGAGCTATGGTCTGGCGTTGTGCTTGACAATCTGTGAGCCCGCGTGCAGATCTTGCCGCTATTTGTGATGGACGTGGTGCTCCCCGGCAAGAAGATGGCGCTCAACATCTTCGAGCCGCGCTACCGCCTCATGACCCGCCGCGTCATGGAGGGCAACAGGATGTTCGGCATGGTGAGCCGCCCGCACCTCCGCGCCTGCCACGCCCGCCCAGTCCTCGCCTGGGAGTTGGCCGCTGCTGCGAAGGCGGCCTGCTTTTGGCCGGTCCGGCACTTGGGGTAGGAGCGCTCAGCAGCGTGCGAGTCTGACCAGCGTGTCTGTGGGTGCAGTTGGGGTACGATGCCCGGACGCGCAACGTGGCGGACATGGGCTGCCAGGTCGAAATCACCGAGTGAGCGCCAGAAGCCCCTCCGCACAGCTTCTTGTCCCCATGGAGCCTCTGCCGCTTTGCCGCTGCCTGTCCTCGCTCTGCCGTTGTGTTCCGACTCGGCCAGTCCCTTTGCTCACCTCACCGTGTGAGTGGGTGGTGCAGGTGCCAGCCCATGCCCGACGGCCGCTTCTATCTCGAGGTGAGCCGCACCACTACCCACGTCTAATTCTGGCCTCTGATAAAGGTAGGCACTATCGGGTCGAAGTAACGCACACAGCGCAGCCAGTGCTGGAGAGCGGAGGGCAGCGACTGGGGGCCCTCTTGGAGACACGCCTGGTCAACTTGTGAGCCGCGGACTGACGATGCGAGTGGTGCGTGCAGGTGGAGGGGCGGCAGCGCGTCAAGATCATCGAAGACTGGGAGCAGGACGGTCAGTACCGACGGTGTACAGGAGAAGTCCTCCTCAGTTGCTCCCTTGCAAAGAATCAAGATACAACAGTGTCGGGTTCAGACTTAACGCAGTCGTTGTCTTGAGGTCTGCGCAACGATGCACTTTGCAGTTGCAATGCATGTGTCATCTTCATCCTCACACATTCGTTGCATCCAGCCAGTCCGGTGCTGTTAAGCACACAACCCTATTCGCCATGTTCCTGTTTCCTCTTGTTTGGCCAAGCGGACTGGCCGACGGAATGCGGGCTGTATGTTTGACTGCGGTGTGCTGGTGCGCAGGGTACCGCGTTGGGAAAGTCGCATTCGTGGAGGACACGGTCGACGAGGGCAAGCAGGCCGAGGTCAGCCCCCCGCTCCTTGTGCGGCCAGCCCGGTTGCGCCCTCTCTTGCTGCTCCCGCTCCCCCTCCTCTTTCCCTGCCTGCTGAAGGCTCCGCGGTTGCGGCTGACCGCGCCTGCTTGCCTGCTGCAGGTTGCGGCGGCTGCCGAGGAGACGGCAGCTCTGGCGCGCGAGTGGGTGCAGCG